AGCTAATTAACCCTAGTTCAGTAGTATAAACTTGTAAAAGTGGTTCCCAGGTCTTGAAAGTTATTATTCCGTATGAATTCAGAGTAATAATTTGCAATGTGTCAGGATATACTGAGATATTTTCTTAACATTTTGCACCTTCCAATATGTACATTTCCCCACCTACTTACAGAAGCATGTATTCTTCCAATAGATAACTATATTTTTGGAACTCTAGTTCTTCAAACATGTCAAAACTCTCAATAAATCTCACGAAAATAGCAATTACAAGAGTTTTTTTGCGTGCATAGTAAGTATATCTGGGTGTTGTATTTAGAAGAGTTCATATTTTACAATCGAGTAATGGCTTATTAGTCATGGCTGGCCATATATTTCAGCTCAGGCCAATATATTTTGATTTACCAGACCTATCCTTGCTTGAAATTGCAGATGTTTCTCCGGCTGAGAAAAAATAATGTGGAATGTTTTCAAACGGGAACCATAGGGACAAACTATGGTATACGCCCAAAACATATAAGAGAGCATCCACCACACAGTCAACACCAGCTGCCGGTGTTTGCACATAATTACGGATGAGGGTTTCTGGATTTCCATGGTCAAAATGAAATATCACATTCGCTAGTTTTGATAAACTATGTAGAATTCCGATCTTCGAGCTGAACTTGTATACAACACTGACTCTGTGAATTCTTGATTCATGAGGCTATGCCAGTTATATAGTTTTTGTACGATGTGATTTTACTTAGGAGTATCCATAGAAAAGTGGTGCCACTTGAACCATGCTGAAATAAGTGAGTGAACTACATGTGTAAAAGCAACTGCAATGTGTTTAAGTAGATAAGGTACGATAAAACGCGAAGGTGATCGAGTGGCTTAATGGATACAATCGCAACTCGAATATCCACCGACTCTTCTTGTGGAACAGTTATCTTTTTCTTTGATGAGATCTGATGGCTGCATTTTCATTGTAGTATCCACCCAGCATCAACAAGTTCTGCAGAAACAACCCAATTAAATCATCTCTACAGTTTACCTTGCTTTTATATTACTTATCTAGTGATTTTGATAATGGAACATGGATGGTGGAGTTATAGACACGTTGGATTATGGTTTGGGATAGTTGGGTTTGTTTTTTCCTTATGACTGGTGTACACTTAGATATTTTCCTTTTCGTGCTGGGTTCTGTAACAATTTTTGTCCTTTCCCTTTGACACTTGTTTGACATATTTATTCAATCAAACAGCTCATTTGACAACATGTGCTAAAAGACACCTTAAAACAATATAAATTATAAAACCAGAATCTAGGCCAGCTCGAAGTACACATATTTGTATACAAAATTACATTCCGCTCACTTTCATTTCATACTATTATGTTCATAAATTATTATAACCATAATTTCGGTTATGAACACCGCATTCTGACAGTTTTACTAACATTTAAAGTACTACCCTATACTAGTAATATAGACCAGCATTAATCAAGCAAAAATAAGCGAAAGCAGTTATCTAAGATTGGCTCTTGTAATTGAGATAAATGATTTCTAGATTTCGTCAAATTACACAATGAATTATTGATATACAGTCTTTTCCATAAACAACTTTTCCGATTTCTAAATGGCATGCCAAGTTTGTATGAGAATCGCACCCCGGCGATATTTAGCGTTTATTTATACAGGTTGAACTCATTTAATTTGTATACTTTACTTATAAGTTTTTTTCATTTTTTGATATTGTACTTTATTGCATGATTTTGCCCTTTGTGCTTTTTCGTTTTAAATGGCCTCGTGATGAGGTCAAACTATTAAGTTCTACATCTGACCCTTGATCTGAATTCTGTGAGGGGTGCAATGGCAGGGAGGAATGCAAGCTGCTATGTCACGTATACATCACTCACGTCAACAAACATGACTTATAACGGAAGTTTGGAATTCCACTAATATACACATACTAGCAGGTCTGAAATATGATATCTAGGAATCGGGTCAATCCATGGCTTGGTATCACATACTATGGTCATAGAAAAAAGATTTTATCCGTTTGAATGGATTCTTTTTCCACCACTTTACATATTCGAAATCCGGTAAACATTACGCCTAAACGCCAACCTATTAAATTAACATAAAAATCAAAGTCAGAACCAGGAAACAGATGATGGTTTTAAAATTAATTGGAATCTGAATCAACTGTCTTTTATGGAGTGCCCATAAGTTGAATCAATCAACATGCTGAACTTTTGACCATTGATTGATCTATGCTTCCGATTAGAGTTTCACATCTCAAGTAGGTTGAGTGGTCTCCTTTTTTCAAACAAACTCCCATAATGTGAGAGCAGGAAAGGGCTTGGCCTCAGCTAAAGGATAACAATTTGAACACCATGCCATATGGTTTTGGACAACAATCGACACTACTTTAGTAATTTGCATCATTCACTTTCCAATTTATGAAATTTTGAAAACTGAATCTTGGTAGTTGAAAATGGGTATTTGGCAGTTTGGTGAGTTTCATAAGCTCGTGTGGACTAGCTCGTGTGAACGTTATTACAAACGATCGGAGAATAGCTTACGGGGAGGTGTGTTGGATGTTTGCAACACATTTCACATTTTCACACAACCAACATGTCATCGCCTCCTATCAGTTCATTTCTAGAAACATGAATATACAGAGCTCTCGATGCGTTCAGTATCAATGCCAACTGCATGTTAAATCAAGTAGTAGGAAAAATGCGAATACCAGCGCATTTGATTGAGTGAAATAAAACACAAGTTCTCGAAATGTGAATGAGGGCTTTGTATATCTAAGCATGAATTGACCTCGCTAATAAAGAAGGATGGAATTGAAACTTGAGACTCTAGTCTCACTACTGTTATCTTTCACATTATTTATCAAAGCTATCACTCCTTTACTTGTAAAGTCGCATCTGGTTCAGTTTATCTAGTTAACTCCAGGATTAGAAATATTCTGTGTCCACCATGCTAATCTAAATCACGATCTACCCGAGTGTCGGTACCTATACATAGTACATTACATTAGATGAAACAAAATCAAACTTTTGGAATGGTCTTCGCAATCTCGGTGGCTAGACTTTGGATTTTAGTCATTTGTTATAAGAAAGATACGACTATTAATATTGATATCGAATAGGCCTTGGCTACTTATAAATAGCATTTTTTATAAGCCAAGACTTGGACATTTAGAAATTCCCATTGGGTACCTTGTAAACAGGATTAAATTTGGTGACTATTCTGGTACTATTCTTGTATGTAGGACTACATGGAGTCGCATATTATCAGCTGGACTGTTTGTCGGGGACTCAGTTACAGCATTTATCATGTCTATCGAAACTATCACACTGAGATTCCTGTCTCGATATAGTATAAATATCAATCATATAATTTGAGTCATGGTTCGGGCATTTGTCTATTTCACTTTCAAGGCTGATTGCCAGGAACTGACAGACGGATCTCTCATAGTATCAGATTTCGCGTCCCCATAATCGCAGACATCTGCTGAGCAGAGGCATACATCAACATTCGCGGCATGCCTCTCTCTTTTCACATAATCACAGCCCTAACAATTTACATTTTCGTAATATTGTGCAACAAATTAGTTAATTGCATCTGTTGAGATCTTGAAATGCCGCCAGAATCAACGGGGAAGGACATATTTGAATACACCTGTTATGTTTTATTTGGGGGTAAAAAGTAACTTCTGATATAAAACATATTTGTAATTGGTCTCTAACCCAGCCTTTATTATTTTTGCCTGTAGTGGCGAATGGTGATAAATTGTAATGGGCTGGCTTTTTCAGTTTATCTCTGTGCGATATGAACAAAATGGCTACTTAGCGTTTAGTTAGTTTTGGTAATTTCTCAAAGCAATGAAAACTAAAGCCTACAAATATAGAGCAATGGTAACAGTTACTGAATCCCTTACAATTTTGATTTGATTATATAAACCATATGATAATCAAAGTGAAAGATGAGTCGAATGTTGTTTCAGCATTGCACTAATTATCACTGATGAAGGTGATTAATTAATTTAATGCATAATTTCGATTAGATTAATTTCTTATCACAATCCTATCCAAACTACCCCACATGTTGTACTGATTTCTTGTGTTAATTTATCTATTAATGTATTCCGTTTCACAGGATTATTTTAGGTACCAAATCGTATATGCTGGAAGTCCCTTGGTTTTAAGGTAGTTGCGCACATTCAGAATAAAATTGAAAAAAAATTGGTTCAATATATGCCTAATATCAACAAAATATTTTGATTTTCTGTAATACAAGGTTTACATGACATCCACATATACTTTATATATTACCGAGTTCATTAAATTTTGTTGGTTACATGAAAATAACATGAAAACACTATGTGGATCTACCTTAACAATCTAGATTGGGTTGAGAGAAGTTGAAAATGTGTTATTAATTAATTTATTATATTATTGTGAATGCTGATATCTGCGAAGTAGTTGTTAAATTAAAGTACAGGCTATCTGTGTATTTTCTGATGTTGCCATTTGTCTTTTATTTTGCACTTTAAAACCAAACCCAAGTTTATCTTCAGCACAAAATTCCTTATTTTATCGACTCTGTCATGTCTGTTTTTGCTTTGACAGATAAGTTATGATGTCGGGGGGCTACACAGAACATAACAGCAATAAAACACTGGAGTCTGCATTGCTTTAGCTATTGGCAATGTGCCATCTAAATAATTCAACCAGCAGAACAATTTATACAACTGTTTCTCGTTTCTGGCACAATTAATGAAACAATTTCGACTGTGACTTTTAATAACAATCTTTATGCTTGTAATGAGTCGGAAGTTGAAATTGTTCATTTTCCAATTTGTGAAAATATTATTTTAGATAGCATTTGTACTCTAAATATTATAAACCATCTTTCATTATTCTTCATATTTATGGGAATCAATAAATGTTTTTTATAAAATTGAAAATGGTTGTAAAATGTTCATTATTTTAGACATAATTACCTTCACTTGGTCGTTCAGCTGGGTGGGGTCCCTGTCCAAAGTGTCAACGACAATTGGTTCAAACAGTGGTGCCCTGGGCTCCTTTGGCTCTTTAGGCGCTTTAGGTTTCTTTTCTTTCTTCGGTTTCTTCTCCTTTTTCTTTTTCTTTGAATCTTTGTCGTCATCACCGTTCAGTTTTGCCTTTTCGTCTACCGTTGTGACATCCAGAACTGAAGCGTCTGCGTCTTCTGCAGCGTCCTTCTCAGCGTCTTCCTTTTTATCTTCAACTTCTTCATTTGGGGTTTCAGCTACTGGTGTATCGAGAGGATCAACTGGTTTTTCTTCTGCAACCTCAACTGTTTCGGGCTTGCTTTCTGTTTGATCAGACATTTTTGTTTCTTTTTCGTCAACAAGAGGACTGTAGCTTATAAGCTCTAATTCTTGTTTCCCCGCAATTTTGACGGTTGTAAAAATACAACTTAAAGTACTGAAGTTAAACTTTGTTATAAAATACTTCTAAGATTGTAAAATGTATGTCCGTCGATATTCCAAAGTCAAAATGCGAGTGCGCGAGTTATTGTAGTGCGTCTGACTGTTCCAGCTTCTGGATAAAGACAACGCCTTGCTCTGTGGAATTCCACGCTATTACCAGGTCAAGCAGGGGCCAGTGTGAATGCAACTACTATTACTACGCACAGCCTCTAAGAGTGGTAGATTCTAAACGCTGGAATTTACGGGACTATATATATGTACATGGAAACTCAATAATTTTATATCGCATGATACTCCATATATGGGGGGGGGGGGGCACTGAACTGACAAATGGTGCATTGCCCCATGGGCCTCGTTGTGTCTTCAAGGTTCGAATTCATTGGGGCGCCATGAGGTAGTCGTCGGAACTGAGAGAAATTAGATTCAATTTAATGTATGATGCCTTTTAGAATGCCGAAGGTACTGCCTGGTAACCATACTTCTGATAGGTTTAACTTGATTTTTTAAATTAAAAGAGAGGTTCATCTGATAAAACAAGGCACTGGAATTAGGGTTGAAATTATAAAATTTCAGATTCTATGATTAAATTCAGATTTATTCGATGGGCCTTCTAACGATACACGAAAGACCATGTCCATTCCAATTTTAGTAGATAACTAGGATGTGTTCAAAATCTCAGCAAGAGCCAAAAGCATAAGTGACGAGGGAATGGAGGGCAATTGACCATGCCTTATGGGGACTCACTGCAATAACGATATAAAAATTTAAGTTGTTCTTATGCTGATCGAATGGTAGTATTCCTGATCATATATCACATAATCCAAACAAAGATATCTTATAGACCCCGCCCCCACCCCTCATCTCTGTAAGCCCAGATTTGTGAAAACGGAACTATTATTTGAAAAACAAAGGGGAAGGACTTCGAACACATTGAATTAAATACTTGAACAACAACTTATCAACCCATAACTGGATAATTACAAAATTGATACAAGAACTTTGCAAATATAAAGATTATGCACCAGGATGATTTGATATTTTATCTCATACTTACATTTATTTGGGCAAGGAAAAGCTCTATGTGTAATAGATAGTTGGTTGGTACCTTGAAGTGCCTTGAAGGAAAAATACCATACCATCCTGCCATCCCGATGGTTGAACCCATTCATACCCATGAAGACAAAAAGAAAAAATTAAAACAGTTGAAAATTGAATTCTTTTTTAATTCTTTTTAAACTTTAATTGAAACAAAGTTTAGTTTATGATTAGGATTTTTAACCTGTTCTGTTTCGTGTCTTCATGTTTTGAACATGACTTATCGTGGTATAAAAGGGTCGCGGCCATAATTGCATAAGCTCTTGTTATCTCTTGAGATAATTCCCATATCCAAAACCTCCCAAATACGCCACTTTTGTATGGAGACTACTCAACTTTACACAAGGGATAATAAAATACAGGGTGAGCCAAAAAAGGTAACCCGAACATTTCGTCTTCTAACATGGATACGAACTTTGGCACAATTAAACCTGGTAGAATGAAATTTTTTTAACAAGGTTCAATTGTGCCAAATATGATTTGAAACCCATGTTGGATGTCTGAGTTATTCACATTTGTTTGGGTTACCTTTTTTGGCCCACCATGTATATCTTTTAGGCCTAGGTTCTGCGTCAAAATGGTTTTGACAACTTTCGATATATCACGCCATTGACTAACTAGCCACTAGAATATAGTTCTGAACGTTATGTTGTTTATTACGGTGTAGGCCCAGGGTGTTATCATGCGATAACATAATAAATATAAATGATCACCATCCATATATTATAATGTCTATGAAACACATGGATTTATTCGTAATATCGTTTGATAATCAACCACTCGTAAATATCAATAATCTACACTCGCCCGCTATGCTAACTAGTATTGATATCCACTGACTCGTGCATAAATTACCATTTCTATAGGATAACATATTCCGAGGTTGGTATATACTAGTGCCCCAAACCTATTCACTTGAGATAATCGATGTAAGTATACAAACCTTACATGTACCCCGTTTGTACATGTAGGGTGAGTATAAGGTGAATCTAATCAGGTGACATCATCATGATAAATAAGGGTTATGTACTGGGAGGTTTTGGATATGGGGTTTATCCAGAGGGATATATGCATATCTACCTGAGGGACCGTAGGGACCGAAGGTAGATGTGCATATCTCACGAGGGATGAATCCTATATCCAAACCGACCGTACATAACTGCTTTATCCTATACCAAGTTGAGTTTTCAGGGGCATATGGTCATTTCAATACTACAAGGTGTAAAAATATACAAATCATTCATATGCAAAGTCAGGGTTCGTACACCTTTTTCAAAATGAATTTCCCTGACAATTCCCTGACATTTCCAGGCAAAAAAGGAAATTTCCAGATCTAATTTTCCTCGCGCGCCCTCTAAAAAGTCTCAAACAACTGTATTATTCAAGACAAAGAGACTTATTATGAAACATTTGGGTTTCTCCTTCAGTACCATTTCTCATGACTTAACTACTTGTACAGGCAGTCTTATTCACCAATTTATTCCTGATACATTTTATTTTTAATATTACATATTTTACATTGCATAAGGCCAAAGGTAAACATACATGTACAGGGGTAAGCCAACAAGTATCAAGGAGGTGCATCTTTTGGGGTTTGCATCACTGCGAGCGAATGAAAACCAGAAGGGGGGTACGGGGGTTCACCCCCGGAAATTTTTCAAAATTGACAATGTATATGGTGCATTCTAAGCATTTCAAACTATAATTTGTTAATGTTTTGTAATGAATCCAAATGACAACTGAAACTTTAAAATTTTGATCTAAATCCTTCTAGAAAAATAGCAACTCACTTGAGGGGCAATTCCCACCTAATGAAACATATTTCTATTGAATACTATCATTGTGAACATTATATGATAGCAATAACCTGGCATTACTATTGTCTTCTCCCTTTTGGGAAAATTACACCAAAACAATTGAGACCATATTAGAAATTCCTTCTCAAGTAGCATCACCAGATCAAGAAAAGGCTCAGGCCTATGATACCAAATCAAATAATCAGTATTTTGTGTTATCAGGAATCAAATTTCTTTAAATTATCAAAGATTTCATAAAAAAATGGTGGCAATTTTGAATTCAGAGACCATCTTGAATATTTCTTCTTGAGAAGGTCCTTTGTCCCTAAGGCTACATCATACAAAATTTGAGCCAAAGTAAAATGCTGGGTTCATCTTTACAAGAAGAAAAATTTGGACCAAATTCAAAAACTGTTAATAGTACCCCACACACATTTTGGTTGCCTACTTCCATGTGCTAAGGTTTTCAAAATTGGCAAAGCCCCTGAATGTTAAAAAGACTGTCAAATAGACAATACCAAATCTAATGTCATTCAACCAACCCTAATGAAAAGATTTGCAATTTGAGGAAACAACTAGATGATTTTGGATTTCACTTATATCCTGTCATAGCCCTAAAATGTATTTTGCTGGAACATTATTCTTTCAACATTGATACAAAATTCCCTGACATTTCCCTGACACATCTACTGTTTCAAAATTCCCTGACATTTTTGGCCCTTTTTGACCCAATTTTAAAATTCCCTGACATTTCCAGCACCTGGAAAAATAAATCAATTTCCCTGACATTTCCAGGTGTGTACGAACCCTGAAAGTCATTGTATTGCATTACCGGAAGCGGGAAGATATGCACCGGAAGCGAGAAGATATGCACCCAAGCGGGAGATATGGCGGGAGATATGGAGGTTCTGGATATGGAAACCTCAAAATCAGGATACGGGATATATCTTACCAAATTATCTCCCTAAAACTCTACTTGGCATAGGATAAACAATGACATCTCATTATTCTTCTCAGTCCTGAGATGTTTTGTTCGTAAAATAGAAAGATGTGACATGCGTGATGAGTATCAGAATGAGGTGACATGTCACTCTCTAAGAACATTTTTTTTTATTTATTTTTTTATTAAAAATATTTATTCTCTAAAATTAAAATCAAATACATAATAACACTTGACACTTTTAATAAGTGTATCAGCGTGAAAACATTTAAATATTAACCTGAGTCAAATGGAAATGAGAAAAAAGAACAATTTAAAAATATTTACTCAGTTAAATGAGAATAAAATTGATAACAATATATAAAATCTACATATATGTTTGTCAGTAATTCAGTTCAGAATAGGTTGATGTCATATGAATTTTAAAATTCTTTTTAAAACAGTTAATGGAAGGTAATGTTTTCAAAGAAGTTGGCAGATTATTCCAAAGCTGAGCACCTGAATATTTTATTGAGTTTTGACCTATAATTGTTCTAAATTTTTTCATGTGAAGGCAATTTTGGAATCTTGTCTCATGTTCATGAAATATCAAATTTGGAGTAAAATAATTTTCAAATATGTCAAAAGGAAAGTCATCGGGTTTTGTTGTGTATTGATAAAGAAATTTTGCAACTTCAAGCTTATGTATGTCAAAAATATCTAGAAAATTGAGTTGTTTAAAAAGAGGTGGGCTATGTGCTAAAAAGTCAGAGTTTGTGATTATTCTCACTGCACGTTTTTGTAACAAAAGCAATTTATTCAAAAAGGTTTTACATGCATTACCCCATATGATGTTGCAATAGTTCAATTGTGATAATATAAGTGAATTATAAATGGTAATCTTGGTTTTTGTATTCAATTTATATTTAATCTTTCCCAGAATACCAATAATTTTAGATATTTTATGTATAACCTTATTTATGTGCTCATTCCATTTTAATTTACAATCAATTGTTACTCCAAGAAAATTTGTATGCATTACTCTTTCAAGAATATTACCCCCTATTTTTATATTAAAATCTTGATTTTCATCAATATTTAACTTAGATCTTGTAAATAGCATATAATTTGTCTTGTCTATATTCAAAGAAAGTTTATTTGATTTGAACCATTCTAATGTCTTTTCCATTTCTAGATTTACATTTCTATATAGATCATGAAGGTCTTTGTTTGAACATAAGATATTTGTATCATCTGCGAAAATAGTAAATTTAAGAATATTTGAAACCTTATGTAAATCATTAATATAGAGAATGAATAAGATGGGGCCTAAAACAGACCCTTGAGGTACACCAAAAATGATAATATTTTCTTCAGATAGAGTGTTGTTAAAAGAAGTAATGATTTTCCTATCAGATAAATAGCTTTCAAACCAATTTTTTGCGACATTGCGAATTCCAAAATTTTCAAGTTTTTTTAGAAGAATTTCATGATTTACTGTATCGAAGGCTTTCGATAAATCTAAAAATATTCCAATAGCATGAGTTGAGCTTTTATCTAGAGATATCCTCACTTCTTCCAAGAAGGAGAGGATTGCCATATAAGTTGAATAATGTTTTCTAAAACCAAACTGATTTTTGAATAAAAGTTTGTATGTTTCAATAAATGTTATTAATCTATTTTTCATGATCTGTTCTAAGAGTTAAGAAAAGACACTAAGTAGAGATATAGGTCTATAGTTTGAAAATTTTGAAGTATTTCCTTTTTTAAAAAGTGGGATAACTTTGGCTGTTTTCAACTTGGTGGGAAAAACCCCTGTATGGATAGACAAGTTTGCTATATGAACAAATGGTAAAAGTAAATTATTTCTTGAATGTTTAACTACTATTGGTTTGAATTCATCTAGGCCTGGTGAGCAATCTTTTAAAACTGACATTAAATTTTCGATTTCATCCTTACTCACAGGAGTAAGTTCTAAAGAAGATTCATTGATTTCCATAAATGTAAAACGGGACGTTTTTGAACTTATCTTTGATGCTAATTTAGGTCCAACATTAGAAAAAAATCTGTTAAAATGATTAGCAATATCTTTTCTATCAGTCAAAGTATCATCTCCATCATAAAATTTATCTGGAAAAACTGAATCACATTTTTTGCGGTGAAGTAAGTCATTTATAACTGACCAAGTATTCTTGATATTATTGCTTGTTTCAGTAAATCTATCACAAAAATATTTCCTTTCTGCTTTGCGGATTAATTTATGGAGTTTGTTTCGAAAAGTTTTGTATTCAGCTAGATTCTGTTTCGTTGGGTGTTTCAAAGTATTTCGATAAAGTTTATTTTTCTGTTTCACAGATGTTAGTATACCATGTGAGAGCCAAGGCTTAATTGAGTTCTTGTGAATTTTTGTATTTTTGACTTTTACAGGGAAATATTCATCATATTTTCTACTAATTTTGTCTGCGAACAAATTATAAGCCACATTTACATCAACCTTTTCATTAATCATACCTGTCCAATCTATATCTTTCAGTGAATCACTAAAATTATTAATTGCACTCAATGAATATTGAATATTTAATAACTATGACAGTACTGTCAGGCTGTCCCCCTTAGAAATTTGCAATAGTTTTCTTCAAAATTTTGCAAATAAGATTGTGGATTTTGCGATTTAAAAACTATGGATTTCGCATCAAAAAAAAATTGATTTACGAAAAGAGACGTCAAGAAGCTAATGAAATATTTTGTTTGTGCGACTTTTTACATCAATCAAAGTAAAAAACTTGTTTTTTTTTCATTTTTGCACCAGATTGGAAATTTTGCCATTGACACCCAAATTTGCGAATCGCAAGGCAGAAACGCCTATGTGTATGTGGACAGACAATGGTGTTAGCATTTGCCGCAACCTGGTGTATGTGATCTGATTTAACGTTAAAAATTGAGAATCAGTGCATGTAAGATCTAATACATGCGACACTTTAGGTGGTCAAAATTCAATTTGAATTTAGAAGTTCTTGTAAACTAAACTATTGTAGTTTCTTAAGAGACAAAACAAAACGAATTCACCTAGGATGAAGAAAAGAACCCAAGAAAGTAATGCTTGGTGAATTTTTATGGTAGTAAATAGATGGCGAGACAGTATAGAGACATATAAGAACGGAGAAACAAGACCTTCGGTCGCTGCTCCAAATCTATATTATATGCTTTCAGTAAATCGTTACAAGAAATTTAAGAACTAGACACAGGCCCGTAGTCAGAATTTGCCAAGGTCTAAAGGGGGGTTCACTTTTGACAACTTTGGTCCAAAAATGGCCAAAATCACTTTTGATGTCCTCAGAATGATGAAAAACTGCGCATGATTTTGAAAGGATTTTTTGGCGAGGTGGGGTTCGCTCGAACCGGGGCTCGAACCCATCGAACCCACCTGGTTACCGGGCCTGTCTAAGACGTTTACATACTTTATTTTCACCACATTTAATAACTTTTCTTCCTGATAAGTTACAATTAACGTCGTTTTTAAAATAGTCAATGCATTAGTAGACAGTAACCTATGACGTCACATATTTCAATTTGGCGTCCCTCATTTGACATATAAGTGCAAGATTTTAATCCAAGGGCTCCAATCAGCGGGCCGTTTTGGCCATTACTCGGGCCTTATTCTTTAGTTTAAGGCCAAATCATCAAGAAAATGGGCTTTAAACAAAATTTGAGTCCACTTTATGTTATTAGGGCCGGGGCACAATTTTTTTCCTAAATTTCTTCAGACTTGGAATGCCCCCCTCTCCCCTTCACGGTTCCCAGAGCCGCCCCCACAGGCACAGGAAGATTTAAATCCCCCACCCCCCCAGTCACTGTATAGCTAATGTAAAAAAATATATTTTCTACCTAATACATAGTGAGTGGGAGGGGTATGCACTGGCGGATTAGGGGGGGGGCCCAGGGGCCCGGGCCCCCCCCCCCCCCTTGGGTGGGTCCAGAAAAAAAAAATTGGGCCCAAAAAATTTTTTGGGCCACACAAGGCCTTCAGGCCCCAAAAAGTGGGCCTTTTTGGTCGTTACTGGGCCTTTAAGGCCTTATTTGTTAATTTCAGGCCAAATTTTGAAAATTTTCTCTGACCTGAAATTTGGGCCCCCCCCCTTGTTGGTTCCTGGATCCGCCCCTGGTATGAACTCTTGTTCCCTTGTCTGTGTCCGCCCCTGTATTCTTTGGCAAATTAACACCTCAAATGCTACCAAAATGTACCTTTTCGCAGATCATGCGGCAAAGCCTGTGCCAAAATGTACATCTCTAAGTTTGTTAAGTAACCCGCCATTTTTATTTTGAATCTTTAAAAACGTTGAAGTGAAGAAAATGCCTAAAAACAGTAGAAAGACTTCCAAGCGAACATCCCAAGGACGTAGGCTGGATGAGTCGTGTTCTGTAAGTAACGTTTTTCCTTTGCTGATTTCCAAAAACTCAAATCTTCAATGTTGAAACGCGAAAGAAAGAGATTCGTGGATTTGATGAATTCGACACGGACTTGACTTTCATTTTTGGAGACTCCGACTCTGTAAATAATACTGAAATAGTCTAGCTTGTCGAACAAACAAATTTTGAATGAAAATTATAAATATTCAGACTATGGCTCACATATGTTAAAATCTGGGATTGATCAAGACTAGCAAAAGTCCTGTGAAGTGCGAACTAAAGATTCTGTCAAAACCCACGGACATCTAATACGTTCTTCGAACTGCCCTGGAACTATATCTATACCAGGACTGCCATCCAGATCCAAGTATTTTTTAAGACCGCCAACTCGTTGGGCTATTTATCCCTATTGACTCAGTTGTTCATATAAATTTACGTACCTTAGATGCTTTGTAATCGACGTAGATAGAAAATATTGTTTCCTAAATTGTTCTGAAAAGCGATAATTATTACTAAATGTACTTTGAACAGGTCGACTGACCAAAAAGTCGGACTTCTGGCACAAGGTCACGTGACCAAATAGAATTTGTATAGATAAAATTGATGACGTCACCGCCATCGGTGTAGGTCAGGTCAAAAGTCATCCATCTTGCCATTTGCCCAGCGTATTCTTACCAGTCGACAAAAAACGATGAAATCACGTTGAAAATAAAATATACACTTTAAAATTGAGGCTGATTGAATATGACAAGACTCCATTGAATACAGCTGTGCAATTTACAGTCACCAAGATGAGCTAATTTCGGAGAGATTCGGTGAGATTCGGGAATTAAAAAAGGTAAGCCCTTCCGGTTTCCCAACTTCAAGTATTTGAAATCCCAGAATTTCGCCAGAAACATCCTCTCTGACTGTGTCAAAACCAGTGGTCTTATTTCCCATTGGAAATAGGCCTACACAGATGATCAAAAAGATCAGACAGTGTAAACGGGGCTTAAAGTACACTTTAACAAACCTTGCTTTTATTTTTACCATTCCCAGGTGTTATGTCACAGTACCACACAATACATAGACCGAGATTCCCGGATGAGTGAATAGATGCACAGTTGTTCATGTATTAGGAGAATAAGAGCATGGCTATGCTGCATTCTAATTAGCATTAGTAGAGAAACTTAATAGACTATATGCGAGTAGAAATAATCTTGATTTTCGTCATTAAAAATTCAGTCAAAATTTGATTTTCTTTGAAAATGTGACTTCTAGGTCGGGGAGATTCCCTATGGAATAAAATTATGTGTTATAAAATCACAAAAAGTAAAATATCTTTTCTTTTATCGGACAGATACTATTTTGTTTCACTGGACATATTTCAATTTGCAACTATCAAATACATAAGGCTAATATGAAAAATGGATCATTTAGAAACTGATGAATATTTAAGTTTAATAGAACTTTCTAATACTCTGCCATGTTATCTGACCTAAGTTAGCCACCTGGTGGTGAAGCTGGTAACTACCTACTGGCATCTGGTTTATTAGAGAACAGTCACGATTGACTAGGAAATATTCCACAAAAGGCACGGAAGGTAACACTGTATCACTTGAGTGGTGATACATTGTTACCAGAGTGGAATACTTCCTGTATCACACAAGGTGAAACGTGTGATACACGATTTAAGCACATGTCAGTCTTGCGATTTTTAAAACATTTTGATTTAGTCAATTGATGTGTTCAGAATTCTGTACTCATGCGACAATTGTAATTGTTTTTTACATGACATCAAACTGCCAAATCAGTACCAGGCTTTACTGACATGATCTGATGTATTTTTACAGTTTCACTTGTCTTTGTTCTTGTAAATGATACATGCTGTTGGTGTCACAAAACTCATTTTGCATGATGTGTTATAGGATGAAGAGATGGAAGTGAGTCAGTAGTGATAAAGGAATTGACAAATATTTGGAAATTACCTCCTGTTCAAGTTCCAATCATTTTAATAGATTATATTGATAGATTTAATATCACTGAATATGGTATTGCTTGTTGAGGATCACACAACATTACCGTTTATCATTTATTTGAGATTTAAGCAGGGGTCCATTTTTTAAAGAAATAATCGTTTTAAAAGATTTCTTGTGAATAGATAATAAATAAGTACAAAAAGCATGAATTATTATATATCAAGAGCATAATGTAAAATTTCAACTGAAAAATTAGATCAAAATGGAATCCATGTTCACAGTGGGGGGTATAACTCATCAAACACTGAATAATTTTTTTAAAGCTTATTGTTACAGCCTAATGTTTTTAATTTGCTTTTTTTAGTTAGGATTATAACATTGACCATTTATGAATTTTTGAGCACCATACAAAGTTACAGAACTTCATTTATGAACGATTTCAGCAGGGGTCTATTTTACAAATATTAAATATTTTTCCGGATAGATGAAAAGCGAGTACATTTTTACGATTAAATTACATCATTGAGGTGTATTAATCATGAAAACAGGTTTCATTCTGATGTCTTCAACCTAGTTCGTATAACGCCATGTCACAATTTGGGGGAGGGGACATTGGCCTCCACTTTGGGATCTTTATTACTTATATGATATCAATATTACAGTAATGTTCGGTATCATTATAAACAGGCATTAAATAAGTGTAGACTATTATAAATACGTTGATAGCAAGAAGATTTATACAATTTAAACTGTAAAATAAGATAACAATGGGCTCTAAAATCACAATGATTGGTGTAACTAATCAAATTTTTACTTTATAAGCTTAGTATCATGTCCTAACAATTTGAATTAATTTTAAATTGTTATCCAATTGAACGAAGTTCGGAGGGATATACGTCCGTCCGTCTGTCCACCCGTACATACGTGTACGTCCGTTCAGGCAAAAACTCAAATACTGTTGGCCCAATTTTGTTCATATTTTGTACACATATACCCTATGGGGGTAGAAGTTCTGCTCGAGAACCGATTTTCAAAATGGCCACTCAATTCAAAATAGCGGCCATTTTTGTGCCGACTTTACAGTTATTTAGGTGCAATATGTAAAACTGTAATAGCAATATCTTTTAAATGAAAAAATGATATAGGACATTAATAAAGCTAGAAATGCAGATATTAAAGAAGCACATGGCAGCCATCTTGAAAAATGGTGGCCTTTACTTGTTATTTTACGATTTTTGCTGTAACTCGAAAAGTAGTGGAGTGATTTCGTTCATATTTGGTATGTGAATACTATAAGCATGGCACACTGTCTAATGACACTTTTGAGAGAACGTGGCCATTTTTAACATAGCCGCCATTTTAACATATTTTACTATAAGTCGAAAAGTTGTGGAGCGATTTTGATCATCTCTGATATGTGAATACTATAAACATGGCACACTGAATTTTTTGAATATCTTAAAGTGGTTCAGATTTTCATTTATTGAAGATTTAATTCAAGATTAATTCAAAAATATATAAATATAAAAAAAAGAATATTTTGTGGATAGTTCTCGGATCAATTACTATTATTACCACATTGCGGGCCATGTTTTAGTGGTATTAGGCTAGTTTAGGTGGCATTTGTTACTATATCGACCTGAGCAATAATTCTAATAACGTCATTTCTGCGGGCAATATTAACCAAAAATATTGATGATCAACAGCTGATAATGGCAGAATACCTATTCGAGAAAAAAATATTGGGCGAGACGGTTTTTATTAATTTCAAGAGAAAGTTTGGGTTCTAGCATTGCCTCATAGGACAGTCTATTTTCTACTAAATAAAATAATCAGGGTAAAGGCTTTTCTATTACTAAAGTTATTTGCTTGTCGAGATGCTTGTAGAGCCCGTATCGCAAAAATCATATATCCTTTCACCCAACATCATATCATATGCTTTATTGATATTAAAATCCATTTTTATAAATAGTGGGAATAAATTCCTAACTCATCTTAGATTATGATTTAAATGCAATATCAATGTGATCAAATGCTTTTTCCAAGGTTTTAAAATGTAAACAGTGCTCAGTTTCAGTGCTCAACAGGTGAAAACGTATGTAGGAATATAGGCAGAAACAATTTGCAGATCAACGAAAACAAGATTGTTTTCAAAGAAAGTGAACTAAATGGAACCATTATTTTTAATCATGTTGAATGCAAAATATAGTCAGACAGAAGATATTATTTTCAATTTAAAAGATAAAATCAATATGTCATGCTAATGACCTTTCCAAAAGCCGATTCATAAGTGGAAAATTCGTTGTTAACTTCAAAAGTGTCAATATCTAATATTTTTCATTATTATAGACCTCTGTTAAACCCCTCATCAATGATAAGTAAACGGTAATGTTGACAGGTCCTCAACGGGTGAAAACGTATGTAGGAATATATGTTTTATCATTTGAACATATCATTAACAACGCAGATCAACGAAAAACAAGATGATGTTAAAAGAAAGTGAACTAAATGGAACCATTGTTTTTTATCATTTTGAATGCAAAATATAGTCAAACAGACGATCTTAGTTTCAATTAAACAGATAAAATCAATATGGCATACTAATATTAATAACCTTTCCAAAAAAACTTCAAAAATATCAAAATCTAATATTTTTTATATTTTTTTGTGAACCCCTGTTAAACCCCTCAATAATTAATAAATAAGTTTATTGATCTCTTGAATATCTTATGTACATCGAGATAAAATCAATTTGTTATACTAGTAAACTTTCCAAAAGCCGATTAATGACTAGATAATCTGTTGTAAACTTCAAAACTATCAAAATCTGATATTTTTGTTGACCCCTCCCTGTTAAACCCCTCAATAATAAGTAAACGGTAAAATCCTCAACAGGTGAAAATGTATGTGATAATACATGTTTTATCATTTACACATATCATTTAACAATTGGTGGATCAACAAAAACAAGATGATGTTAAAAGAAAGTGAACAAAATGGAACAATATAATCAGACAGACAATCTTATTTTCAATTAAACAGATAAAATCAATAGGTCATGCTAATAACCTTCTCAAAAACCGATTCATGAGTAGATAATCCTTTGTAAACTTCAAAAATACCAAAATCTAATATTTGTATATTTTGTGGACCCCTGTCAAACCCCTCAATAATAAGTAAATGGTAATGTTGACAAGTGCTCAACATGTGAAAACGTATGTAGGAATATATGTTTTATCATTTAAACATATCAAAACAATTGGCGGATCAACAAAAACAAGATGACGTTAAAAGAAAGTGAACTAAACGGAACAATTAATTTTAATCATTTTAAATGCAAAATATAGTCAGACAGGTGATCTTATTTTCAATTAAACAGATAAAATCAATATGTCATGCTAATAACCATCCCAAAAAACTGATTCATAAGTAGATTATCTGTTGTAAACTTCAAAAATATCAAAATCGAATATTTTTTATTTTTTGTGGACCCTTGTTAAATCCCTCAATAATAAGTAAATGGTAATGTTGACAAGTGCTCAACAAGTGAAAACGTATGCAGGAATATGTATTTTATCATTTAAACTCATCAAAACAATTGGAGGATGAACAGGAGGAAACAGCTTAATTAAGGCTTATCTGAGAGATTCCATTATCACTACAGGTCCAAGCTACCCAGTCAGTGTCACAAAACTCATTTTGCATGATGTGTTATAGGATGAAGAGATGGAAGTGAGTCAGGTCCAAGCTACCCAGTCAGAAGCTACACAGTCCAACACACAAGCAGAGAAAGCTACCAGGGAGCTTGATAAAGATACACGAAAGAGGAAAGTCAATGACCTTGTAAGATATATGTTGGTAGCTGATGGCAAAAAGATACCAATCAAAAGAACAGGTAAATTAACAGAACCTAAAAATTGCAAGAAGTCAGCAGAAAATGTTTTTGACAAAATTGTCATGGCCATGTTCTAATGAATCTTAATTTCATCACTGGCATTTAAATTCTCTGTATTTGAATGATGAACTTTATATTGTATTGAATACTTCATATTTATATTTCAGACCTAACCAAAGAATTGCTGAAAGATCATGCCAAGGCATTTCCTGTTCTTTTTGATCAGGCCAAGAAGCAACTAAAAAATGTGAGTTTAGACCAAAGTATATATTCTTGTTGTTTCTTGTTGCCATAGATAGAAATTTAAGACCAGAGCATATATCCAGGTTATAATATTTTTGTTAAGATGCCAGTTTATCATACTTGAGATTTGCATAATGTGATTGGGGATGATTGTGAATGGCATCCAGGTTTTTTGTCATCAAGATTACAGGCAATCTGCTTGTTGGATTTTCATCAAATTCATATACATTTTAGAGGGTACAAAATTCCAGAGCTGATAAACTTAAGGGCAGTCATCTTGTTTTCTGGCAGCCATTTTTGAACTTTTGATAAATTATATCGTCACAATTTCTAGAAAACGTCTCACTGGGTTCTACCATGGGCTTCACTAGAATTTCTCACAACTGGCTAAATAAATGAAAACTACAGGCTAAATTAATGGAATTCATTAAATTTAACATGGAAAAGTTGAAAAGTCTCTAAAGACAACCTGAGATTTTGTGAAAACAACCAATGAAAATCACTTGTTGCTTACTGCCAAAAGAAACCCCTGGTTCTACCCTGTGTCGAGTTATAAACTACCCTCTGCCTAGTATAGACTGTATTACAGTTTAGCAAACCTACCGGACTGACATTTTCTCAACCAATCAACCAGCTGTAAGGAAGATGTGCTTAATGTGTGCTCATTAACTATGCTATGATGTCAGAGCAAATGACCATGTATAGAAAATTGTCCTTATTTTGAGTTCAGAGATTTATTGTAAACTGAAAGAGTGAAGCTAAGCTCTCTTTTACAAAGCAAAGTAGAACAAATGCAAAGGGCAATTGGGTTCTCTTTGTAAAGATTCCAAGAAAACTGCTTGTTTGATTTCTTCACATTCATACCATTTTCTATAGTTGATTAACTTTTGGGTGCTGATCTTGTTTTCTAGCAGCCATTTTGGACGTTTTTAATAAATCTTGTAATCATGATTCCAGGAAAATGGCTCTTTAGATTTTCTTCACATCCATACACATATTAGAGGGTACCAAGTTCTAGAGCTGAGTAACTTAGATTCAATTAACTTTAAATTAACTTGTGCAGGTTGAACAGCTCCCAAGTGGAACACTTAAGAGGAGCAAAGGTGTTCCACTTACATGGGTTTAACTGAATTTATTTTGACTTTGTGTTTCAGATATTTGGCATTGATGTGGTAGAGGTAGAGGGAAAGAAAAGTTACATGCTTATCAACACGTTTAACTGTAAATCCAATGAGGATCCTTATCTCAAATGGTGGGTGTGACATTAGATTTTAATTTTAACAGCTCTCTAAAGTTAACATCAAAAAACATCACTTATAGTGTTATTTTGTTATCTCATCAAGGAACATGTTATAAGAGCCTCTTAAAGACAACATCTTGATTTATTTTCAGCTATGCAAATTTTTCAAAAGGGTACTATGTGAAATGGGTGCAAAACCTGGTGCAGCACCCGCCAAATACATGTTTGTCTTCTTTGTATAGGTCAGATGAGGAGAATGCAAAGAATGGCCTGTTGACTGTCATACTGAGTCTCATTTTCATGAATGGCAATATTCTGGAAGATGGTAAGTCTCTGCGCAGACTTCAGATTAATACATACAGGGTTACTTCAGTCCAGCAAACGTCAGGGGAAACACTCTTGGAAAGTTCGGGATTTTCAGAATTGCTTCAAAATGGTTAAATGAGTTGGATGATTTTACAATTTAGCCTGCTAATCAAATGATGAACCATGCATCTTCTTACCTATTCAAGTCCCTTTATATCACGATAAAAGCACTGCAAGTGCGAAGAATAAGATTTAAGGTGAAATATAACTTAATAATCTATTGCATGTTTCTATTTATTTTAGCGGAGCTATGGAGGAGCTTAAAGAAAGTTGGAGTTGATGTCGAGTAAGTGTCTCTTCATAACTCATTGGTCATTGGTCAAAATTATATATTATCTTCTTTATTGGTCATGTGACATACCTCATTAAAAAGGGAGTGTCTCTAATCTTTCATAACCCAAAGGAATAAAGAATTCTGCATCATTATTTATTGGAAATTTAAAACCATGAGTGCATGTACTAACACATACACATAATGCAGGAGGGTGGAGCCCGGGTACATTATCAGGATTGGTTAGTACATGTACTAACACATACAATGTACACATAATACAGGACGGTGGAGCCTGGGTACATTATCAGGATGGGTTAGTACATGCATGGATGTTTTTTAAATCCAATAAGAATGATACAGTGTTCATTATTGCAATTCAAATATACTATCACTACCTTATAAAAATGACATTATCCAGTTCTTTAGGAAACCATAATGCACTGTGATGATGTCACTCTTTAATGGCACCAATTAATAATGACACCATTCAGTTCATTATGAAACCATTATGCACTGTAAAATAATGTTTCTGCTCAGTTGACCATACCATGAATAAATGCACTGAAATACTCTAAGCTGATTGGTTGAGACACACTTGGCATATTTGAATTTAACTTGCACCAATAGAGTACATGTATGTACAAAAACATACTCAAATGCAGTTAATTCATTTTCTACATTAGCAAATCTTCACTGATTAATAAAGAAAAAAATTAGTTACATTATCAGTATTTTAAAATATTTTTTGGTGTTAAGGATCAGAAATACCCTTTGATTGATACTTTTTGTTAAGTAGGTTTATAAGTCTACTCGACTATGCAGAAGAAGCAAACATTTTCTGAAATCTAATCGACATATAGAATGAATATCAGCACAGTGTGATGTTTTATTTTGATATCATGAAATAATGCAGCAATATTTTTTCAGTCGAAATCATGAGGTTTTTGGTGATGTAAAGAAGCTTGTGACCCAAGATTTTGTCCGTCAGAATTACCTGGAGATGACCCGAAGGCAACCAGAGCCACCTATATTCGACTTTGAGTGGGGGCCAAGGGCATTTGCAGAGATCTCAAAGAGGTCCATACTTCAACTTGTGTGCAAAGTAAGTAGTGAGAGGGAATAGTAATATGTTGTTTTAAAACGTCACTCATGTATTTTGTAGCTCTTCTTGTTTGGTATTGGTTGTGTCCTATTGCGTTTTGTTTATTAAACATCTTAAATTCACAAAAATTGCTAAGATTGAATAAGCTGTTAAATTTCAAAATCCCAAAAATGTGAAATATAATGGTACTCATATTACCATGAGAACAGAATCATTCTTAAAGGTCTATTTCAATTTACCCATTAGCTCAATTAAATTGGCAATGCAATATACTTCTTCTGAATATGTGTTACAACCGATGCTTCAAATGTCATTGCAGATATATGATCAGGAGGACACAGATAACAGTGACTCGAATCTCAAGATGTGGAAATCTCAATATAGGGACATGGAGGAGTCAGAGGGAGCTGGGGAACAAGCAGATTGAGACCTCACATCACACAGAATGCTTAAACATGCCAGCCTAGTCAAGCACACAATTCCTACAAGAAAACATTGGTGTTGCCTTGCCATTGAGACTGAATGTCTTGTCGAAGAACATCATGTCCTTCTATAAGTAGACTCTAGACATGTTATGAAGAAAAGGACAATATTTTATGCATGCAAGTGAAACTGACACTATGAATAGAAAAGGTTGTGAATTTTAATTCGAAAATATGCAATACAAAAATATCCAATACTAATTAGGAGAGATAGCGCCCTATTATTCAATACTTAGATAATTCTTTAATTGCCTTCTTTGGATTATATAAGCTTGACCAGTTTCAGTTCACATGAGTCAACACATAGTGCTAGTCATTGTACATACGAAAAAGCAATATTATTAAACATTGGAAATTTTTAGTGTGAGTGACTTGAACCAGGTTGTTCTAACAACAACACTTCATTTTGGTTATAACATGTCCATATGTTATGTTTTGTAAGAATTTTCTTACTACTTGGATCATGATAAACCAAAGTACCTCTATTCTTTGTGCCATGTATCTGAAAATCCAAGCTTTGGCACAGAGTGTCTCATGAGTTTGTGGTAAAATCCATACTAGGATTTAATACCAAAACTTAGTCAGATACCAAAAATAATTGCGTTGTCATCATCGCTTTTCAACAGATCTTCAACAGAATTTTCTTGTCAAGGTGTCTGTTTTTGTATTTTTGTATTCACACAAGAAGGAATATTTTAGTATTACACCGCCTATGTAGTCAGAAGTTGCTGAATGTGTTAATACTAAAACATGTAATCAATGGGGTACACTATAATTCTAAATTGAGAAATACAAACAATTGTACAAATATTACATAATTGAAAATACACATTTTGCTAACCAAATTATGAATTTATTCTGATTTAGAATGAGACCATGTTCCATTGATTGTTATTATTTTAGCAAAAATATTCAGCAATAGTCTAATTGTCATTCTGACTGTAGATGTAGTTAGACACAACACTAGAATAACCAAATTAGAACTTCTCATTATAAACTTATTAGAAGTAAAGAGGAAAACACACACATCTTTATAAGATAGCAATAGTTTTGTAAGATGTAAATAGTGTAAACTGGTGTAAATAAAATATTTATTTTCCTTAAAACTATTTTATGTAAAATTTTCATTTCATGATAACTTAGAAAGTGTAAATCGATGAGCTCATAAGTTTGATGTAATTTTCAAAATTATGACAAATTATGCCCAGTGTAAATATCTTATGAAAAATGTTGGTCCAAATCCACCATCAGTCAAACAGTCTCAGAGGTCAGTAGTGATTTCACATCTCACAACATGTTTCGTATTACAACTTACGAAGTGTTTGATTGCGTCATCATTTATTGGCAGCTCTACGTCCATAAGTGTGATGTTTTTATGAATCGTAGTCTATACGATAAAATATTACACTTATGGACATATAGAGGTGCAGAATAATTGATGACAAAGTCAACAGCTTCTTAAGTTATACGTTAGACGGGAATGATAAACATGCTATAAGTGAGATGCGAAATGTCTCTAGTTTTTGTCACTCCATCTTTAGTGCATGCTATCTGTCCAGTCAATATGACTCATTTTTCACTCAGGCAGTAACTGAAATACTGCTAGGCTGATTTTGATTATAAATTGTTGGAAACAAAAGGTAAATTGACCAAATTGTTTTCAATGGCAATAAAATTCACCACAGATCAAGAAGATTGATGAAATAGTATTGAAATGGCAGCACATTTGACATAACGTCTGGATCCCCTTATATAAATAATAATGTATATTACCAACATCCAAAATAACACCTTTGAATTTTTGAAAGTGTATATCAACTTTCGAAATTTTTCATATCTAGGTCGGGGATTCCACATATGATATGTTTATAAAACCTGATACGATCTACAACTATTGGTGAGACTGGTAACCACTTACGAGCACTTGGATTGACAGTCAAACTAAGTCTAGCTTTGTCACCAAAAAGAAAGTAGTGGCATATTCGTATTGCCATCGCATACACAAAATATGCCATCTTTTGCGACTGTGTGTTAGTGCATTGTACAATGTTGTCCTTGTAGGTAAGCTCAACAATAACCAAAGCAGACGGGTTTGGTTAGCTCAACAAATGATAAAAACAGAGATATAAATAAACATGTCTCAAGGTTCTGTTATATGTATTATCAAAATAACTCATAAAAATGTAATTTATGACTACCCTTATATATTTCAAACGACGTTAAAAATGATGAGCTAACACATTTTGAACTTATTTGAGATGTTTGAACGTTTTAACAACCTTAAGTTTGAAAATATAAATTATTGAATTGATCAATTGCGGTCGGTTTTTAATATGTATAATGGGTTATGATTGTCAAAAAACAGTATTCAATAAACCCACTCTTGATAAATAAAGGATTGTCTGATTGTATCCTATTTATGTTGTCAAGTCTTTGTAAAGCTAACTTCCTACCTAATATTATTTCACAACAACTAACGTCCGACTTAAGTAAATGACTTTGTTGCTTAATAGCTTAAGGCTAGTTGTCAATACATAAGTACATCTTATTCATTTACATTCTATGCTGTCTATTGAGATTTCCAAATATACCCACTTTCTGAATTTTTGGTAAATAAGAATTTATAAACGATGACATTCGTCTCCTGGAAACCATAATATTCTACTTAACATCATATATATATGTATATTGTGAGAAAGTGTATGCTGTGTGGAACATGTTATCAAGACCAGCTCATTGGCTTATCATTGAAACACTTGAGTATTGTCACACGCAGCTCAAAGGTACTTTGACTCAACTTTTCAACTATTTCAAAATACGATAAAGTTGAACAACGGGACGCTACTATAGTGCCATATCTTGAATAAAGTCTCCAGAGGATATACGACAACAAAAGGACAAATTTAAAACATTGGATTATTACAAAACATAGTGAAATACACTTCAATAAAATTCAAATGATGAGAAGGACATAAAGATAAATTGAAAATCGTTTTAAATCTGAAAAATAACTTTTAATTAGAGCACTATAAGATAAATTAAACATGGATAAGTTATTAGGAGTTTTAGGGTCTGTTGGTAAAATTGAAACAAGGTTAGACAATGACGGTGTCGACAGACTGAACTATAGGTACACCGTTGGTCTGCTGGGAATATTCTCCCTCGTTGTCACTACTTCGCAGTATGTCGGTGGGTAGCCTAGCATTTTCCAGTTTTAGTACATAAACTTTTACATTAAAAAACTTGAACAACAACCACTGTGACACTATTCTTTGAATGGCAATATGAAGACTGATCAAATATTTTAATGTACCCCTCCACCGTCCGACCGCAAGCTGTGCCTAGTGTGCGCATGTTCATTGATGTCAGTCTTTGACACATTGTATTTACTGAGTAAATGTAAACTTTTATTCTAGTAATATATGTTAAAGTATATTCCAACAATTTGGTGTTGACAAAAGACAAATTTTGCTTCAAGCTGAGCAGTTGTTTCCCAAAAACAAAATGGGTCGTAAGAACACATATTTAGATGTTGCGTCAATAAATTATTACGTGAAATTAAAAAGACGTGATACAGCGAACGACATTAATTTGTTATACGAGCTTGTTTGTAAAAAACTAAATAAACATATATGGGTGGGCATTGATTATCAGATTGATGACTTTATATAAGAATTATCTTGGTAACAACTCACATATCCAAACGATTCTCACGATCACATGCCAAACTACAATACTTTATTGTGTCAATAGTCGAAAATAAGTTTCACTCTTTTTGCGATGTTAGGCAACTGTTAGTGATTCTTAGATTTACAAATCATTTGCTTGTAGAGGATAACAAATAAATCAACGAATTACTCATGACAATTTGATTTATATCATACTTTATTTAAGTCAATCAAGTAAAATGTTAAATCCCAATACGTCGATGTCACGTCAGTATTTCGAAAGATCATTTCATTAGGCTATTTCACCTAGCCTGAACTGAACATTCGGGTCTGAATTTAACAGCTAAAAAAAACAAAAATAAAAATAAGTAGACAAGAAAAGGTTTACATCTCACTCCATGTCAACTGAAAGGGAGTCAAACGGAAAAGTCAATGGTCATTTATGATGAGTAGCCCTATACCATTCCATCCAACGCATTCCAAGTTTGAACTTGCAATATGATGGTCACTTTTGCTTTTATCATTGGTATCATTATTATTTTAGGTGATCCGATGACATGTTGGACTCCGGCCCAATTTACGAAGCAAATGGTTGACTACACGGACGACTGGTGCTGGGTGAAGGGTACATACTACCACCCAATGGAGGAAGTCGTTCCCAGAGAGAATGAACCGAGACAGTTTGAAGTTGCGTATTATATCTGGGTTCCCCTGTTTTTGATATTGCAAGGGTTATTGTTCTACATTCCCAGTATGATTTGGCACATCTTTAATAGCCGGACGGGCTGTGATATAAACACTGTCGTCCAAACCGCATCTTTGCTAGGAAGTGTCGTGCAGGATAAAAGAGAGATGAATCTAAAGCACATTGTGCGTTACATCGATAATTATTTAACAAAGAATAGAGATAAAACCCAACGGAGTAGAGTTGTAAAAATTCAAAGATTCTTATCGCAGAAACTCTGCTGCTTGTGTTGTGGCAAACGTACTGGTAATTTCATGTGGACGCTCTACATGCTAGTGAAAGTCCTCTACATCGTTAATGTCATCGGTCAGCTGTTTATTCTAAATGATTTCATTGGTTCTAACTACCACGTGTATGGCTTTGAAGTGATGAAGGATCTTGCCCAGGGCAACGACTGGAGGTCTTCTCCCGTCTTCCCCAGAATCACGTTATGCAGTTACAAAATGAGAGTTCTAGGTAGGCTCTTTGTGGTTAATGTAAAATATAATCAGTCTGTCATTTAATAGTAATACTAGAGTGTATATCATGAAGTTCGTTGTGACGCATTGTGTGATGGGGTACAATTAAGTGAGTGACACATTGGATCGAGTGACAAGGTACAATAAAATTTGGTATGACATAATGGGGTGACGGGGTACAATAAAATCCTGTTTTGCACGATGCTATGGCGTTGTATTGTAAAGTTCGATTAGACAATGGGTTGAAACATTTTGATATATCAAAGTCTCTCTTTACTTGTATCTAAAGAGTTTGTAATCCAAAGGATAGATCCCACGATGACTTAGCAGAGCCAAATAATGTTCCATCGGTTCGATGTGACAGCATCTCATATAATGGAATCATTTTGATTGAAATTTTGGTATTACTATCTAAACTTGTGAACTAATCAAGTTGAAGCCTATTAAATATCCGAAGTTTTCCATTTTTCCCACTGCCCAGGATAATTTTCATGAGCCAACTCCTTGACAACAAGCAATTATCTTGCATGGCTGTGGAGTGGAGAATAAGTGCTTTTATTGACCCCAGTCTCGCCGTATCTTCTTGTACACATTGCTGCCCACTCCAATGACACACGATTATCACAACTCAAATATGTTCAACTTACCTTGGTATATGATATTGTAATGTCATTTATAATTGTACCGTTATCAGTAACTTCAACTGTATTATTTGTGCTTAAACATTAAAACCACATCTGTCAGTCTTTGAAGAAGTTTAACATGAGGTGATATGAATAAAGTTAAGTCTTACTACTACCCCTTGTGTCACCCCCCCCCTGTCCAGAGACTTGATGCAAGACCAAACAAAGTTATTTTGATTTACCATGGGCTTTCACCAAGATCGAAAGCCCATGAATTTACTAGATATTTGTTTGGATGTCTGTCTTGCAATGGCGATTGTATGATATTTGAATGAGATAAAGCATAATTCACGACAGTTCATCCTTTGATCAATTTATCTAGCAGTTCATAATACTCTTAGATGAAGCATTGAGTGAAAGCTTTAAGAACGGAGAAACTCTAAAAGTCAAGTGATTGTTGCTTATATGATGATTGAAGAGTAGTCAGTGAACTTCTTCAAATGTCAATTACTACTTAATAATTGCCATGTAATGATTGGGCCATGATTGTCACAAATGTAGAAATACCATTCTGATTTATCAGAGTCTCTCTTTACCTAACGTTTTTGAGAGACTCTGATATATCATGAGGCAGAACATGTTCCTAGCCAGTGCATTCTCCACGTAAATCAGTGTATATGGAGGAATAAATTAGTACCTAAGAATGCACCTTCCTGTTTTCCCCTTTGTAAACTTTAATTCAATGAATTCATTATTTGGAAAACTTTTATTTATCTTGATGGTTCTTGTTTTTATCTTGAAAATTAATAACTATGATAATGTTGACATACTTCTTTTTTCTTATTGTTTTCCAATTTAGAATTTTAAACAATAATCATCATGCAAATGTCAACACTTGGATTATTTGGGAGGGAATTGTGTTTGGTCACACTCATTAGACTTTGTCTGATTATGTAATCATGCAACTGCAGGTAATGCCTTCCCATGATACTCATGGTCAATAGAACTCTGTAAATAATTTAATTGGTCCGTACATTTTAGGGTTAAAGGAAACATTTATTACAGTCAGTATCCCACAGTCTGAACTATTCCAAAAGGATAGTAAAGGCTGTGGATCCCACAATGTAGAAATACATTATTTATAGGTGACGCTTTTATTTTCTTTATACATAGATTGGTTTTAATGAGTCAATTATTTGAGCATTTGGCTTCTTCGTCCTTAGTTTATAAGATGTCCACTTAGTCATGTCTTACATTGAACTTTAAAAGGTGTTGGTCGTGGCGTTCTATTTTCGAATATCGACTCGGCGCCAATGTTCTAGTGCATATATACCCTTCTAATTGACCATTGTCTAGGTTCTCCTAGATCCTTCAAATACATTTTGTCTGTACTAATATGTACTATTATTTTCCAGGTAACGTCCAAAGACACACATTACAATGCGTTCTTCCAGTGAATCTTTTCAATGAGAAAATCTACATTGTTATCTGGTTCTGGTATGTGTTTGTCGCCACTGCCTCATGTATCAATTTTGTCCAATGGTTACTTAAATCGCTCAGTTCAACAAGGAGAGCGTTCTTCAAAAAGCACCTTGTCTGGATGGGACGCCTTCAGCCAAACGGCAACTCAGAATCAGATAGGAAACTTTACCGCATGTTCACAGAGAAGTACCTGCGCCCAGATGGTTACTTGATAATGCGTTTCATTGCGGTTCAATGTTCGGAGTTTGTTGTATCTGACATTGTTGCAGCTTTATGGGATAATTATAAACGCATGAATCCATTGAAAGAAGGACTACTGGAGTTTGAAGAGGACGAGAAAAACTCAGATAAAGATATGTAAACGATACTAACGATTTTGAAAACTGAGCGAGAAAGCTTGAGAGGAATGATTTTTGTAGGACGTCCTGTTCCAGTTGTAAGTGTGTTGCATCAGGAAAAAATTGAATAATGTGAAGCAAAACCAAGCATTCCGTAAACATTTTAAGAGATCATAAAGTGTCACCAAATGTTCACCATTCTTCAGGAACAGACATATGCATTTAACACTGAGACGTCATTCGGAACCTTTTTCGGACAGAACAATTTCAAAGAGAATGTGTGGATTTAATATTTTGTTGTTAACTTCTTCATCCAGGACGGCCAAAGCATGAGGTTCTGAATACGCGTTACCTGAAAGTACAACATTTTTGTTCTCATGCGCGTTGTGAAAAATATCAACAGTAGTTTAGCATGCCATTTTGGGCTCATACTTATGTAGCCTTGGCATCTTAGTGGTTAATCTCACTCTACTTGTCAGTGAAAGTAGTTTCTACTCCAGCTCAGGGAGGTTAACGTACACGTTTTTAAACGAACGTGTAAGTGAACGTGTAATAGTAGAGAGCTTTCGATATAATTTTCAGCTAAACTTATAAGGTTTCTCAAAGAAACCAGGAAAGTGCATTTCATTAGAAATTTTTTCCTCGTTTCCTAATCGAGGGAATTGATTTGTGAATATCCCAGCAATGGCAGAATTAATTTCTAAGTTGTAATTATATTTTGAAACCGGAACTCCCGAACTACATACTTGCCGAATATTTTGTTGTGATTTGAGTTCCTCCACAGTACAATACTTAACTTGTACAATTATAGTTTTGCGTGTACGTATTCCAAACATATCGAAAGCTCTCTATTACGGCCCCTTGGATTGTTTTCTCTCATATTATATTTGTTTCGTCTGGGGACCTCTCCTACGAAAGCGTCTGGAGAGCGTCTGAAGGAGTCTAAATGTTCGCGTATTTAGTTCCCTTAAACGGCGTTTAAAGATAAAACAATCGCGGTCTGTTTGATGCTTTAAAGAAGGGAAGGAGCAGTACCCCTGTTAATAATTAAAGATTAGAGAAAATAAATGTGGATGAATATCCAAAAGATCCGGCTACGGCCAAGAATACAAAACTGAATATGAATATTCTAAATTAATTCCACGAATGGTTGCAAAGTTTCTGAACTGCTGCCAATTGAACATTGTGAACAAAATGACCAAGATTGGTATGGGATAAACAGATCATCCTATAGTCGGTTCAGGATATTGGGATTATCCCGAACCTCATATAGGATAATCTATACTTATCTCATGGTTGCAAGGGTGAAGATCGAATATCACGTGAAGGTATATTTGATATGTGGATCAAGATATATATATCATATTTTAGCGAAAAATCCCCAAACCATCGAATATCACTTCTTGAAAAGTGAACAATGGAATCCTATGGTTGTAATCCTATGGTTTTTCAACAATATTAATTATATCCACTCATAGATATCAATATCTTCACTCATTTGCTGCGCTCACTCGTGAAGATATCAATATGCACTCATGAATATAAATGATATTTTTTCAAAACCATAGGATCCAATAATATTTCAAAGTCATTAAATTAAGGACAATGAATAGATGGCGAGGAAGTCAATGGGCTTAATTATATACTTTAAAATGTGAAAGTTGCTTCATAGGAAATCACCCAAGGTAAACAATGTAAATATCCAAAAACTTATGATATTGAAATTTGTTTATTATGTGTATTTGAAGTTTAAATACAGCAAAATTTACATACAAACCAATGGGAAGCATCTCTTCACACTTAAGACCGATATATTGTTTGAAATTTAGAAAACACTAAAAGCCATAATGCCAAAAACATCAAAAGAGTGTGGTACTGTAAGTATATGATCAATACAATCAAGGGTACTGTGATCCCCGGGCCTGTACACTGGTGTAGAGGAACCTGGATGTGACAAAGTTAGCCGCAATTTCAATCAGCAAACGTTAGGGTTATGAACTGAGAAGTTTTAGATACAGGGATAATACATAATTTCACTGAGCACATGGGCAGCATTTCCAGACAAACCGTTCGAAAGATTCATTTGAAATTGTCAAAGATGTTCCTTTGTATGAAAATCTAGAACTGATTAGTTTTAATTACAGATGGCATTTAGTTTGGGGCCATATTGTCGGTCTGTCCGACCGTCCGTAAGTACGTACGTACGCCCGACAATGAATGATAAGAACATAGTTTCAAGCTTTACATGGGGACTTTAATTGATTAAACATAATTTATGCTATTTAATTATTGTATTTAAACTAATAAATTATGTGAAATAGATGAAATACATAAGTAAAAGTTCTTATACAAAAGTCAGAACTCAATAACTAATTGTGCTACATTTCCAACAAAACGGTTCCTTAACAGAAGTTGGCCATCATTTTTAAAAAGCTGTAATTATAATGAATATTGATTGTGAGTTAAACAAAACATTTTGTTTGTTAGGAATACTTTAAAGGTCATCCAGTAAAAACTGAGAATTGGAAAAGTTAACAGGAAAAAAGAGGTGGATGACTTGTTTTGTCCCGGCTACTATATTGATAGTAAAAAAATATTGCGAGCATGCGCACCAGTCATTCTTAAACTGGCAAACTGTCAAATGGCAATGACAAATATCCCGAAGAAAACTCAATGGAGCCAAGCATGTGGGGGGTTTCCTAACAGATCAGATAGATGAGAAAAAGAAATAAACGCATCGTTGATCCAACATCAAAAATTTTCAGCTTCCTCGTCCTTTACCGTATCCAAAAGGTCTCCAATTGCCTACTCTTCGTATAGGGGTGGGGTAGTGACCTTTTGTCATACTATAGCGCATTGTATAACATCGTTCTGGTAAGTAATCTCAGCAAATAGTAAAACAGAGAAGTAAACATGTCACAAGGTCCTTCATGTGGATTATAAAAATCACTCTCATAAAAATATAACTTATGACTACCCTTACATTTCAAATGAACTTTCTCCCTGAATTCAATAAAAAAAATGTTTGAACTACTATCTGACAATATGAGGAGTTTCAAAGTCTCGTTTTAACAACTTTTTACTTTGAAAAAATTTGAATTATAGCATACTAAATTGAGGTATTTAACATGTCAAACGGATAATGATTGTTGAAAAAACAATAAAAAGTAAATCCACTCTTGATAAAAAAAAGGATTGTCTCGCATCATGTCCTGTTCATGTTTTCAATTCGCTGTAAAGCTGATTTCGTAATATTTGACAACATGTATGAATTTCTCAATAACTAACATCTGACGTGTGTAAATGATTTATGGGTTAAGTTATTGCACAAACTCAAGACATAAAAATTGTTGGGAGTATGAAGAACGTGTGTGGAATAACTTATCAAGACCAGCTCGATGCATTGTCATGAAAAAGCTGAGCATGCAGCTCAATCGTACTTTGATTGAACTTTCAAAATACAACGTTTCAGAATGAGACGCTTCAATAGTAGCATATCTTTGATAAAGATTCACATGAACCCGTAAAACAACAAAAAGACAACTTTGAAATATTGGATTATTACAGCGCATAACAAGTGAAATATAACGGATGACATTTATCATTCTAGTATATAAAAAAAGAGCTTTGAATCGGAAAAATTGCTTTTAATTTTACTAAAGAGTACTTTTGAATAAATCAAACATGGATAATTTATTGGGAGTTCTAAAATCGGTTGGTAAAATTGAGGCAAGTTTGGACACTGACGGCGTTGACAAACTGAACTATAGATACACCGTCATTTTGCTGGGAATATTTTCCTTCGTTGTCACAACTTCGCAAGTCGTCGGTGGGTAGCATTATTCTTTTTAACATATGTTTTTACATCGGAAAAAACTATAACAACAACCGCAGTGACACTATTCTTGGACATACAAAGTTTGTTTTTCTTACATGCATTATATGGTTGGCAATCAAAAAATCAGCCGTGAGATCGAATATTTTTAAGACATAGGTCCACTTTTGATTTGCGTTTCTTCGAAATTGACACATTTTGTGTTCACTTACTTATGTAGCAATCCTCCTAAAACATGTAACGCTTACCCATTCAGTCTGAAAGCGCGGAATCTTCATGTATATTTTGAATCTAATTACATCAAAGAAATATTTGAAACATAAGAAATGGAAATTAGAATTTTGAGACTAGAATCTTTTTTTATTTTTATATATCGGCAAAAGTTTTATTTTATAAATAAAACGTTTCCATCCAGTGACTTGCCAATCGCAAAATGGCATTATTATAAGCCAAGCTTTTGAGTACGTAATAAAGAGCATCATTTTGTGCGTGGTGGCTGTAAAGGACTAGGGTTGTCTGGCTAAGAATGAAAGAGTTTAAGGGTGTCAATTTGAATGTTTCGTCATTTTTTCTCGATGAGGGTATCTTATCTATGCATTTTGACATGAAATATAAACTTCCTATGCTACACACTCACTAGGCTACGAAGTATGTGATCTAAATATTTGACCAGGCAATTGCAGCTAAATTATCAGAAAGAGTATACTGTATATTTGCTTATTTATATCACTTGCCCTAATGTTTCCTGGGTATATCTTTAAATTTAGTGATTTTATAAATCCGAAGCCATTATATTTTGTTTCTAGGCAATAAGTTATATCAGTTTGAGAACGGCAAATATTTACACATCAATCCATGTTGACTGAAAGCTTACGTAAAATGTCTCAACTTTTTCGTCAAAGGAAACTGGGAAAAGCCAATGGTCGTTTATGACGAGTAGCCATACTATACTATTTCAACTAATGTGTTCGAACATGTTGGTTTCTTCTGCTTTCTTACTTTTGTTTTATTTTTATTTAGGTGACCCGATAACATGTTGGACTCCGGCCCACTTTACGGACCAAATGGTTGACTACACGGACGATTGGTGCTGGGTCAAGGGAACATACTACCACCCAATGGAAGAGGTCGTTCCCAGAGAAAATGAGCCGAGACAGTTCGAAGTTGCCTATTATATATGGATTCCGCTATTTTTAATGTTGCAAGGATTATTGTTCTATATTCCCAGTATGATTTGGCACATCTTCAACAGTCGGACGGGTTGTGATATCAACACTATCGTCAAAACCGCCACTTTGCTCGGAGATGTCGTTTAGGATAAAAGAAAAATGAATCTAAAGCACATCGTAGATTACATAGATAATTATTTAACAAAGAATAGAGATAAAACCCGTTTGAGTAGAATTGTAAAATTTCAAAGATTCTTATCGCAGAAACTCTGCTGCTTGTGTTGTGGCAAACGCACTGGTAATTTCATGTGGACGCTCTACATGTTAGTGAAAGTCCTCTACATCGTTAATGTCATCGGTCAGCTGTTTATTCTGAATGACTTCATTGGTTCTAACTACCACGTGTACGGCTTTGAAGTAATGAAGGATCTAGCCAAGGGAAATGACTGGAGAACTTCCCCCGTCTTTCCCAGAGTCACGCTATGCAGTTTTAAAATGAGAGTTCTAGGTAGGGATTTTAAAAAGATAATCAGTCTATAAATTAATAATAACATTATACCTTTCATCTTTGTTGTTTGGTGTGACAGTGGAATAATTGGGTACAATAACGCTTCCTAACCCTACTATCACACCAAACTAGTTCTCACCACGTTCTCGAAAACGGGCTTCAACTGTATACGAACGGACTGGACGTACTTAGAACCGGTTGGGGTCTATTTACAAACTTGATAGAACGTACTCGAACGAGTAGGTCCTCTAGATTGACACCAAGCGTAGCTACAATGTTATACGGTCTGTTTTCGAACTTCATGGACTTTCCCGGACGGGGAATGTGATTTATTCAAAATTCGATGGCGACCATACCGTTCTGTAATCAGGTCATGATGACCTTCTAGACCAGTGGACGCATTATACGACGTTGCACACCGACGTGGTGCGACCTGAACGAACTGCGAATGAGATGGACGTATTGAAGACTCTTTATGAACGAAGTAGCTAATTATTTTAGACATATTTCCCGACCACAGCCAGATTGAGCCTGTTTTACGACGTTTTCGTAGGACTGGCAAGAACGGGTAAGAACTAGTTTGGTGTGATAGGGGGGTAACTCACTGCGAAATCATCCACTCCTGCGGAGGTTCGGAGGTGAAAAGTGGTCACATATGTTTTCATTTCCACTGAAACCTCGACTCCATGTGACCCTAGTACCCATGTACTGGGCACTGTTTATTGTCTGGAAGCCCCTACTATGTACCTGGTATTATTTTTCTCTTATGCTCGAAACACACCATTGTTCCAACACTCTATTGCCCGGTAACCAAAAACATTTATAGAAATTTCTACAAATATATTTCATTTCAGGAAACGTCCAAAGACACACATTGCAATGCGTTCTTCCAGTGAATCTTTTCAATGAGAAAATCTACATTTTTATTTGGTTCTGGTATGTGTTTGTCGCCGCTGCCACGTGTCTCAATTTCCTCAATTGGTTACTTGAATCGCTCAGTTCCATAAGGAGAGCGTTCTTCAAAAAGCACCTTGCCTGGACGGGACGCCTTCAACCAAACGGCAACTCGGAATCAGATAGGAAACTTTACCGCATGTTCACAGAGAAGTACCTGCGCCCAGATGGTTACTTGATAATGCGTTTCATTGCGGTTCAATGTTCGGAGTTTGTTGTATCTGACATTGTTGCAGCCTTATGGGACAATTATAAACGCATGAATCCATTGAAAGAAGGATTTCTGGAGTTTACAGAGGACGAGAAAAACTCAGATATAGATATGTAAAAGATTGTGTAAACTGAGAAAATTTCAAGAGTGACAGTACTAGTACCAGTATATTAATTTTTCTAGGACGCTCAGTTGTGATATGATGCAATACCAGAACACTGAACATATTAAAAACAATCAATCATTCTTTCAAAGGTCTCAAGAAATTATTAACAATGTTCACTGTTCTTCTGGAAAAGACATTTGATTTTAACATTTTCGGCATGGCTCGGAACATTTCCAGATAGAACAATTTCAACGAGAATTTATAATACCAGGTCGTTCAATAAGTTCACGGAAAAATGCTCTCATTTCAAAGATTTTTGATAATTTCTCATGAAATTTTCACACAATGAATAAAAAATACTTTCTGATTGAATATTAAAATATCAGCATCTCTTATTTGATTGGTTAAAAATAAGGGTTACTATGGTAACTTGACTTTTGGGTAGGCGGGGCACTTTTTACGTCACATTATTCATTAGAAAAACAACAGAATAGTAGGTAATTTATGAGTATATCACATGAATTTCTTCTCCGCTTTCTACTTGTACATGATATTACTTAATGTAATAGTTACAACTATTGTCCCATAAGGTTTCAGAAATATTCTCCCGCCTCATGTTTAATGCACAGTCGCTTGCATTCAGCCCATTGACGATACAGTGCTCTGAAGCCATCTGGAAAACTTGTTTAAAAGGCATTCTTGACTACAGTCGAAAGTTGTTTCATTGTTCCATAAAGTGCACCTCCTAGATGATCCTTCATCCTAGTGAAAACAGCAAAATCAAGGATTATCTCATCTGGAGATTATGTAGCTTGGGGCAGCTTTTCCATCTATTTTGCCAATTAATTGTGATGGTTTCCTGCACAATATTAGCAGTGTGATCGGCTGCATTATCCCGATGGAAAAATTTAGAGTTTGGCTGGATGGTTAAGTTTTAATCAACTTTCCATAGCATTACTCTTTGTTGATTTTCTGGTCCACTGGCACAGCACTGACTAGCATGATTTCAGAAATGACCGTGATAACAATGAACATCAATTTTCCCTCAGAACATTTGTAATATAAATAAGAACAAATAAAAAATAGGGATCCTTCATTTGCACATATTGATAGATATCTTTAATGGTAAATTGTGTGACGTAAAAAGTGCCCCGCCTACCCAAAAGTCAAGTTACCATAGTAACCCTTATTTTTGATCAATCAAATTTGAGATGCTGATATTTTAGGAATCGATGAGAAAGTATTTTCTGCACATTGTGTGAAAATTATATGGGAAAATATCAAGAATCTTTGAAATGAGAGCATTTTTCCGTGAACTTATTGAACGACCTGGTAATAGGGATTTTAAGCTTAAGGAATGTTTTTCACAACCTAAACGTGAACGGAAAATGTTTAAGCAATGAATTTGTAGGGGTGATTGATCATACGTATAGGCTGGTGTTTCGATTTTATATGCGATCTTAAATTCCCTAACATTTTGTGGTCAACGTCTTCATTCTTGAGCGACCAAAAACCCCAAATTCCCAAATTTCCCTCCATATTGCAGTCACAGCTGCACTCAATATGCTTGGCTGTTATCCCGTGCCAGGACTATAGTCCTGCAGTGAGAGCATTCTTTTGCCTGTACGATTACAACTTGGGAGAATTATCTACGCCCCTTACACTTAAGATACCTACTTCAATTGATTCCTGGGTATTTTAGCATTCTTTTCGTGTAGTTGAATCCACAATTGTCTGGGTATATCGGCAGAACGGGAACATTGTTCTTTTTCATCGAGAGATATTCCATCACTTTCCAAGATGGCGGTTGGATTTAAATGGGGATTCCCCGTTTGACTGACCCGGATGTGGCCCGGAAGCACCAAAAATGGAGGAATTTGACGGTTGAAATAAGTTAAATATTACACGCAAATATTGTGATTAAAAACGAAAATTTCTTTGTTCTGCCGATAAACCCAGACAATTGTGGATTCAACTACAAGAAAAGAATGCTAAAATACCAAGGAATCTATTGAAATAGGTATCTTAAGAGTAAGAAGCGTAGAAAATTCTCCCATGTTGTAATCGTACAGGCAAAACAATGCTCTCACTGCAGGACTATAGTCCTGGTACGGGATAACTTGGCTGAATCATCATAAATTTACTTAAGAGTAATACAAAATTTATAATAATTAATTAAAAAGATAACTATCATAACTTTCAAGTTATTATTGGTGAATTTTGCACTTAATTTGTATAACTTGTATGCACCCCTCCCCCCATAAACTAAAACATGTAGCATCGCTAGGCCCAACATGTTATATATCATTTTGTTCATGGAAAGTAACAAAGATTGCAGAGTTTCAGAATCCACGGAAATCCCTGAAAACAGATACAATGTATCAAAGTTTGCGGGTACAAACCGCATTAACGGGGTGTAACTTCTGGTCATTTTTGGACTCAGTCCGGTGGCCATGGTCTGCTCACTTTGTCTCATCCTCATTTTCAGTGATATAGGTCCCACCACGATCCCTAACCTCCCTATTACCCACTACATGAATCCTATCTATATATCTTTGTACATAACTATCACACTCGTGTGCACTGTGCTCTGTCATGATGACAACTGCTAGAAATGTGCAACACAGAAACAATTTTATCTTAAATTGCTCTCGAAATGAGCAGACGAGCAGAAATTCTTCTCGAAATGACCTGTATCCACATACTTTGATACATTATATGTTTTTTCAGAGGTACGACTGGATTCTGAAACTTTCCAATCTTATATAACTTTCTCTAAGGAACAAAATAATATATAAAATGATAGTATGGCAATTCTACATGTATGAGTTTATGGTTGGGGTGCATAAATATATAACAACTTGTTTATATTCTATTGGAATGCCAGAATTTTGAAAACGTATAAATTCTGGTAGTTTTGTTCACAAAAATATTCACACTGATTATAAAACTATGTAACATTTGTAAGTTTTCCGAGAAGCATTCAAGACAATAAAAACATGATTACCATTACATTTAGAACTAAGGTTCGGGCATTATTGTTGAGATGCATTGCTATGGAAACAGATTCCTTACATCTTCTTACTCCTACATTAGACTCGACTTCATCAGAGACATGGAGGTAGAAGCTACATAACATGTGTATACTATACTGGGAGTGTCTGTGCATTTGAAAGATTGTACCAAAACAATTATTTTTGACAGCTTTTTAACTCACTGTCAACATTGAATCGGAAGTGACTAACCAGTTAACCATCGTTGTTCCTTTAAAAGAATGATGGTGCGATACGGTTAGGCTAATTTTTGCAGAAAAGATTTCTTGGAAATGATCGAAAAAACATTTTTGTTTTTATTCATTCGTATTCGTATCACTTATGAATTTTTCTGACATTACAAATCTAACCATGTGCATGTCTCACAACAGTGTACCCAGTTTTGTAAACTCATCGATGGTCCGACATGGTTATTTTTTCTCCGCATCCATATTTGTTCCGTCGACTTTCTTCTTTTTTATTTATATGAAACAGCACGATAGTGACATTTGTCATCGACCTAAAGTAAAGCATTGTTTGAAATTGCCCTTGTAAGTAACATGTCACAATGTCCATTTTACATTTCAAATGACTCAAATTATGATCTTTTTCTCCATGAATTCAATAGATAAAATACATTTTATAACTAATCTGACAATTGAGGAGTTTGAAAGTCTCGATTGAACAACTTTTACTTCAAAAATGTAAATTATAGCATTATTAATTGAGGACTTTTAGGTCTTTGCATATCAAATTAATAATGACTGTTGAAAAAACAATAGGTAATAAAGCCCCCCTTGATAAAAAGGAGTGTCTTGGGGCATCGTCCTGTTTATGTTGTCAATTCGTTGTAAATTGTAATTTCGTAATATATATTTGATAAAGTCATTTCTCAATAACTAACGTCTGACATAAGTGAAAGGCTAATGAGTTAAATTTTTACTCAAAGTTAAAATGTGTCAACGTTAAAAATAGTTGTGAAAAAGTGCGTGAATACCTTATGGAATGGAATATGTTATCAAGACCAGCTCATTGGCTTATCATTGAAACACTTGAGTATGCATTATCATACGTAGTTCTGTCGTACTTTGATTCGACTTTTTAACTATTTCAACATACGATAAAGTTAAACAATGCGACGCAACTATAATAGTGGCAGATCTTCGATAACGTCTCACATAGACATGTAAAAAACAAAAGGACAACTTTAGAATATTGGATTATTATAAAACATAAGTGAAATAATTAAAACCAAATTTAAGTGATAACATATACATTGAAAATAATATTGAAAATAGTTTTGAGTCGAAAATATCGTTTTTATCGGAGTATTTTTGGATGAATCAAACATGGATAAATTTTTAGGAGTCCTGGGATCGGTTGGTAAAATTGAGAAAAGGTTGGACAATGACCGCGTTGACAGACTGAACTACAGATACACCATGAGTCTACTGGCAATATTTGCCCTTGTTGTCACTACTACCCAATACGTCGGTGGGTAACATTTCCATTTTATAAGCTTTTACTATACATTGAAAAAACTTGAACAACAACTGCAGTTATACTACTATAGTATTCTTGGAAGTTCAAAATTGTCTAATTTTACATTAGACATAATAAATTATTGGTAATCTAAAATTAGCCGTTAAATAAGACCTTTGATTCTGGCGATCATACCATTCACCCTCGCAACTCAAATTATATGGATTTAAAAATATAAAGGCAATGCATACGATTGATTTGAAAGCTATTTGACTAATAAAAAATAATTTAAGTATTTGAAAGCTTTGAAAGCTCTAAAGTGAATACGATCATATGTGGCATCCCTCAGGGATCGATTTAGGATCCTCTCATTTTATGTTCAAAAGTGACTCTAATACAGTCAGTAATTTATGTACCATACTTTAAACAATAGTATGTAGATTTTTCCAATAAGTTATAAATATCTGAAAATAATAGTCATAGGCACTATAATCTCTGTTCTTATACTACACATTTACCACCCAAGGCCAAATGGCAAATGGGCCTACGTTTGAACTAATAAATGTAGTGACATTAAAAAGGGTCAACTGTCTGAATGTTTCATGGGTATATCTTTAAATTCAGTGATTTTAATATAAAGAGCCTATATATTGCCTGAATTTTAAACACCCATTGACAGTTTTTTGATTTGAAACCGGAATAATCTAAAACTCACTTCATGTTAGATAGATTTTGGTCAAAAGGAAATTGGGAAGAGACAGTGGTCATTTATGTGGAATCGCCCTATACCATCATCCTCCGAACGCAGGGTTCCAGACATCATCCACAAAGTTCCCTCCTTCTTCCTTCCTTCTGGAAGAAGGAGGTACGAGTTCTGGAGGCCTGTGTTCGGAGGATGTATACCATTCAATTAAGTATGATCTAATTTGCTGGTGTCTCTTGCGTTCTTGTTCTTATTTAATTAATTAGTTTTTTATTGTTATTATTTAGGTAAACCAATGACATGTTGGACGCCTGCCGAATTCAAGGACCAAATGACCAAATATACCGACACTTGGTGCTGGACCAAGGGCACATACTACCACCCAATGGAGGAAGTCGTCCCAAGAGAGAATGAGCCCAGAATGTTCGAAGTTGCGTATTATATATGGGTTCCCCTGTTTTTGATGATACAAGCATTATTGTTCTACATTCCCATCAAAATTTGGTACATCTTTAATAACCGGACGGGTTGCGATATGAACACTGTCGTCAAAACTGCTGCCAAACTCGGAGAAGTCGTACAGGATAAGAGAGAAGTGTATCTTAAATACCTTGTGCGTTACATTGATAACTATTTAACAAAGAATAGAGATAACACCCGAACGAGCAAAATTGTAAGAATTCAAAGATTCCTGTCGCAGAAACTCTGCTGTATATGCTGTGGCAAACGCACTGGTAGTTTCATGTGGACGCTCTACATGCTAGTGAAAGTCCTGTACATCATTAATGTCATCGGTCAGCTGTTTATTCTGAATGTCTTCATTGGTTCCAATTACCACGTGTATGGCTTTGAAGTGATGAAGGATCTGGCTCAGGGTAACGACTGGAGAACTTCCCCCGTCTTCCCCAGAGTTACACTATGCAGCTTCAAAATGAGAGTTTTAGGTAGGGACTTTTGAAAGATACTAGTAACCAGTCATTAATATTAATACCTTCACCGCAGTCTTTAACATTTCACGCGAATAACGTATTCCACTTTGTCGGTTGCTAAATATATATTGAAATGCACTGGTCCCCCTTGTAAAGACGACGTCTTTATAACAAAACGGATGAACTTCCGTCAGAGGAAAGTGTCATTTTTACCAAGAATGAGGTCGATTTGTATGCAAATATTTTACCGGTATGTTTTGTAAGAAAACAAAAATTCAAAAACAAATTGTTCTACCAGAAGTCCGACCACGCTGAAACGAATTTGAAGACAAACTGTCTTCATTTCCTGTTGATCCCCAGTGCTATTGTCGGTGTTGATTCTGTGTTGACAGTGAGTTAAAAAGCTGTCAAAAATAATTGTTTTGGTGATTCTTGAATTTGTTCTTGCACATGCATTATGTATTATATAGTAGCCCGGACAGAATTGTTCAATGGTCACTTTTTCTTTAATAACTTTTTTAATTTTCAGTATTATCAAAATCTGATTACATATTTGAAAACTAGAGTAAATTTCTGACATACAAAAAAAATATTTAAGGAACATTTCTTAATTTATTGATATTATAGGTGCTCATAGTACGAGTGACGCAAATACATAATTCACCATTTTGTCTCATATTTGTTCAAAATGGCAGCATATTTAGTGGTTTAAATGTTCAGTTGAAAGTTAATATTTAAGAAATGGCATAGGCCTACAAAATTATGTAGACTGCTGCTTTGGTATGAGGTAATGACTGCATTTATAAACTTTTGTTTTAAATTGACTTGTATGTATACCAGTACTTAAAAAGGTTTGTACATTGTATGTACAGTATATTGGTAAGGTCGCAGGACTTAAAGTTTTTTGGCCATTCTATTGTTGTTCGTAGTGGATTAGCAACCAGAGATTGTTTAACCTGTGCAACTATAGGGTCATACTGCAACAGTTTGTAATGTCTTTTCCAGTCACACGCCTCTTAACCCATCCTTGGCATGCATGTGAATTGTTCTTGAGCTTTTCAATGGCCTCTGAGATGGCTGTTTGGAGCTCTTGAAAAGATTGAGGACCTACTCTTGCCACATCCCGCACATTCGGGCGCCACCTTTTCACATCCTCTTGAACACAACCCTGAACATTTCAATAGAGATGATTTCATATACCCTTGGAGGGAGTTGACTTCTTGTATTTGTTGATTGGTCAGTTGCTGCATTACATCAGGATTGTAACGTTGGCAGCATGGCCCTATAGTCCTATGACAATCTTTAAATATCGACTTTCAACTGAACATTCAAATTCCCAAAATATGCCGCCATTTTGAACAAATATGAGGCAAAATGATGAATTATGTATTTCCGTCAGTCATACTATGAACGCCTATAATATCAATTAATTAAGAGATGTTCCTTCAATATTTTTTTTGTATGTCAGAATTTTACTCTAGTTTTCAAATATGTAATCAGATTTTGATAATACTGAAAATTAAAAAAGTTATTAAAGAAAAAGTGACCATTGAACAATTCTGTCCGGGCTACTATGTATATGTCCACATAGCAGTGATGTCAGTTTTTCGACAGAAAGACATGACTGGATGATTCTTTTGGGACTGGGGCTGAGGTAAAGTTGCAGTTCAGCGACTGTGGCTTAGAATTCATTGTTAACCTTGACAAAGTCTTCTGCTTTTAAATTGAGGTGATTTCATGGATAAGAATATTTACAGGGCAAACCAAACTTTGCTAATAATCTATTCCTTAAGTCTAATCATTGTTGATCAGTAGTCCAAGGTGTACCACAAGCGTTTAGGACACATAGTCGTCTGTCTCTAAAATGAGGTGGTTACATACTGATAGTTAAAATTATTCTATTGGGCAAACTTGTTTTATTTATTCCCCAACAACAATAAAAAACATAATGAAGATAATGTGAACACAATTTAGTGGAACGCTGTTTCACATAATACTATCTTGGTACGAGATAAAGCACAATTTATAATTTTTATCCTTTGACCTGTTTATCTAACAGTTCATGATCTCAGAAATGACGTAGATTCCCTTAAATATCAGTTACCCTAAATAATTGGTATGAAATAATTGTCATATAATGCCATGATTGTCACAAATGTAAAATAAAATTATGTAATAGCTGACGTTTTTAGATTAATAATGAAATAAATTATCTGGAGACAGTAATTCTCTGTCAAATGTTGGTATTATTGCCCATTTTTGTAAATTTCTGAGTTTACTTTAACGAATTCTTGCATGTTTTTGGCTCAGTTTGACCAGAACTCAAAAAGTAGTTCAAATAACAGTCACTTATGTGTTTTTGGTAGAATATCTCATAATTTGTTTAAAATGACTATCAGAAATTACAAGTATCTTATCATTTAATTTTGGAGTTGATTAGGTTTTAAGCAAGTTAACACATAAGTCATTTTGAATGAAGAAAAGAAAGTACATGCAATCATATACTGTATAGTTTTGATTTGTGTAAGTCTAAGGTTTAACATAATGCCACACTTAGTACTGGATAAAAGTCCGTTTTGTGCGATAAAATACATTAATATACATATACATACTAAAATATACATCATTTATAAATTATGTTTTTCGGGGCCTAAGTGAAAGGTGGAGGTGGTCATATATATGGTTTCACTTCTATTACAACTCGACCAATATGCACCTAGTACCCATGAGAAATTTTTATGATCACACCATCTGTGGGCTATAGTCGTCATAGTCGACGTGATCGTGATCGTTATCGTGATCGTCATCGCCATTCCAGTAAAACCGCTCATCAGATTTTCTACAAATTCGCACACATGATAGAGGATATCAAGTTCTAGAGCTGATAAACCTTTGGGCGGCCATCTTGTTTTCTGGCGGCCATTTTGAAGGTTTTTCGATAAATCTTGTCATCGCCATTTCAGGAAAACCGCTCATCGGATTTCACCAAATTCGCACACACGATAGAGGATATCAAGTTCTAGAGCTGATTAACTTCGATGGTGTGATTTCGTTTTAATGCTATAATATTCTCAAATACCTTGTTTAAACACCCAATAATGGCGACAATCCATAACCTTCGTAAGTAGTTCTTATATGTTTTATTAATCTTTTTCAGGTAACGTCCACAGACACACCTTTCAATGCGTTCTTCCAGTGAATCTTTTCAATGAGAAAATCTACATTTTTATTTGGTTCTGGTTTGTGTTTGTCGCCGCTGCCACGTGTCTCAATTTCCTCAGTTGGTTACTTAAATCACTCAGTTCCACAAGGAGAGCGTTCTTCAAAAAGCACCTTGTCTGGATGGGACGCCTTCAACCAAACGGCAACTCAGAATCAGACAAAAAACTTTACCGCATGTTCACAGAGAAGTACTTGCGCCCAGATGGTTACTTGATAATGCGTTTCATTACGGTTCAATGCTCGGAGTTTGTTGTATCTGACATTGTTGCAGCTTTATGGGATAATTATAAACGCATACATCCATTGAAAGAAGGACTCCTGGAGTTTGAAGAGGACGAGAAAAACTCAGATAAAGATATGTAAAAGTTTGTGAAAATTGAGAAAGCTTGAGTGTATATTGATTTTTCTAGGACGCACGGTTGTAATATGTTGCATCTGGGAAACACGGACTGTATTTTAAACAACTGATTATTTCTTGAATTATTTCAAGAGATTATAAAGTGTCATCAAATGTTCATCCCGAACCCCTCCCTCCCCTAACAAAATTATCTCGTTGAACGTGAAATTTTGGGTCATCGTACTTATGTTACCAAAGCTTTTATTGGTTGACACAAAACTTCAAAATGTCCGGAACATTGAAGTTTCGAAATGGTCCTGAACAAATTTGGCGAGAACTTCTCTACAAGTTTCTATCACAGATCACAATCTACTGAATATGCAGTGGTGTGGTTCTTCTCGTGACCCCAAGAATAACCACTCTACTAATCAGTGAAAGTAGTCTCTACTTCAGAGTTGTTAATAATTACGAATATATTATTGAGTGGGACTGCTTGAAAAAATATAAATAAGAAAACTACAGTATATGTTAATCAAATTAAGGACCCAAAGAATGAACAGCTGAAATGCCATCAGGCGAGGCCATTCAAAGTTTATGTTTAACGTCTCATTGGGTAATCTTAAGTATAATGTAAAGAAACATTAAATAAGTGTCCATCTCCCCATTTGGACCCTGCAAACATCCAGCCCGTTTACTTTCAAGATTCAATATGAATAAAGATGTAAGTTCGTAAGATTTTGGCCCAAATATTTGGAGGATGGGATAAAAAGCATACATTTTAGTTTGATTGGCCGTAGATATGAAATATACATTGCTTTTTGAAATATTAAGTGCATTTCAACTTGCTTATGTTAATACGACTGCTATCATTGAGTTCTAAGAAGGTCGGGTATTCAAATGAGATAACAATTTACAACCGACATGATATTATAAGTTATATGTCATGTACATATGTCTCAAGATAAAACTGCTCTTTATATAATTTTTATCTTATTTTTCTGCTCATGCTCAAAATAGCGAGATATTGTTTAAATTATGTTTTCAAAGATTAAAACAGTACAGTACTTAAATAAATCACAATATGAATTATTTCACCTGTCATGAATGACGTTTATTAATTTATTCATGAATCATTGATATATGTGTGTTATCTCACATTATATTGTAAGACTTGCCACTATAAATAAACAACTAAACTAAACGAAACTAAACTATAAATACATGGAAAAAGCTAAGAAAAGCTAATGTCGAATTGTTAGTTTAAAAATATAATTGAATTCCATATTTCTAGCCGTGCACCAATTCTCTGGTAACCCCAACCCCCATCCATTTCCGTCCGTCAAATGTTAGCAAGATAATCAGACAGACGAGATTATTTCTGTCACCACAGATCGATGATTCTCACCACCGAACATTTAATGAATAGAAATTAAAGATTTATATCATTTGGGTGCTTGAGACATTTTCCTTCCTACTATACTAATAATAAAAACACTTAAGTTAATTGAACAATTTTACAAACTTATGAACCGGGGTATACATTTATAGAAATAAAACATCACTCATAATACTCCACTTATTTCCCACCTATGTTCCTTCCTATATGTCGGAATTTATCTACCAATATATACACGCCTAACTATCGACAACGTACAGTGACAAGATACACCGTCGTACACTTTAGGTGTACGGTGTCACTATTAACTGATTTGAAGCGAAAACTATGATGTAGGTTTGTTGTGGTTTTCAAAAATTATTTGAGAAGTACATAAAGGATTTCATGTTTGATTTCGTGTGTACTCGATTTGGAAGACATTTACCTTTCTAATTACGTAAAAAGATTTTCGAGCAGTGCTCGATTTTTCTCGTTGTTAATCTGCCCATGCAATTGGTCGATTGGAAAAATGTGTTTTTTACACATTTCCTTTGATCATTTTCTCCTCTGTCGCCTAAGAGTGCCGAATATTTTTATGAGAATATGTTTCTCTAAACTACATAATTTAAGACGGTTGAAGGTTTTATAAATATATTCATGTATTTGGTATAATTTAAAAAATCAAAAATGTACTTTGTCATCTCCAATGTACGTTGTCCCTGTAATTGAAATGTAAACAATGCAATGATTTAATTTCGAAACGCATTAAGGGTTTTATGAGTAACAGGTGATATTCAACGAACATGTTCATGTATCCCTGGTACAGGTAAAAGTGATTTTTTACCTCTTCTTGAATGCTATTTTATTTTATAAAAGTGTTGATATGGTGATTAATATTTGACCATGGGATGTTATCTTCCGACCTCTTTGACCATTCTACATCGATACGTTACGTAATGTTGCACTTTTATGAATTTTAATAATCTTAAGGCGTACATGAAGAGATCTATACTAGGTAATCGAAGATGACTTTCGAAATCCAGTTTATGCTATATCCGGAAGGTGCAGAGGTTCAATATTTCAATCCGAAGTTGAATTAGTAATACTGGATTGTTCCGTTTCAGTTTTAAATGAATCTGATCCCCCTGACCCTTAATGTTATGAAAAATACGTTGTCTACATAACAGTTAACTGTGAATTCAGATATGTAAGTTCAATGGGACAATGTACATCGAGATGACAACGTACACTCATGATTTTTTTATCATTATTTTAGCAGAAAATATTTATTAATCTTCAACCGACCTTAATTATGTAACTTTGGGAAACATATTCTCATAAAATAATCGACACTCTTAGGCGATAGGGGAAAAATGACCAAAGGAAATGTGAAAAAACAACATTTTCCCGGTCCCGGTTTATTTTGTCACTGTACGTTGTCGATGGTTATGCGTGATATAGCGGCGAACCTTGTAAAACATAAAACGACAATGTACACCCCCTCCAAGAGTTTGGAAACCTTTTACCCCATGAAACTACATGTTGAATAGTACACTCGTGTTGATTTTTTATTCAAAAACCAGTAAAAATCCAGTTTATCAAATTTTCTCTGAATTTTTTTCTCATTCACAAAAATTGAATTTGGATGACACTAATTCATATAAGAATAACATGTAAACAGCGATTTTCAAAAGTTAATCAAATATTTCTTCGAAGTAGGAAATGTGAGGAAAATTCTAGGGAATGGGAAATGAAGTCAATTTATAGGATCATTGATAAAATAAGCCAAATTTTACTGGTTTTTGAATAAACAAGCACGAGAACCAAGTATCATAAAGTAAGAAAAGGGAAAAGGGTTTCCAAACTTTTGGATGGGAGTGTATATGTGTGTCAAAATAAATCGCTTAAGGACGATAAAATTATTCCTTTTTATATTGTTTTGGACCTTTGAAATGGTAATAGCCGAGTAATCCTACTAAGATTTTGGGCCTCCTTCAACGACACAACACAGCATTTTGACAGGAAAGGGGGTCCGGGGTCTTGAAGCACGACTAATGGCTGATAACATATGAAAATGAAGCAATGCCAACGACATCTTTAAACAAATGCTAAATAACAATTTACACAAGGTAAAAAGGTAACTAATATTGTGCTATTACTCTGCACTGCTAATATGAAAGGCTTCTGACCATCGATAACCCTGGTTTAAACTGCGTATACCCTAAGAATAAGGCGAGCAAAAGTGTCATTACCTTCTATTTTTCGAAGAATTCGTTAACTTCACATTAACAATGATATGAATGATAACATTGCCAGGAACAACCAACATACAGGGTGGTAAAAAATGGAATCCTGCATTTTCCTTGTATCTTTGTCACTTTAATAAATTACTCCCTGATATTTCACACATTTGTACATCATTTAATTACCTACAACCCTACCATATTTCATGACCATCAGACCGATAGTCACAGTTTTACAGCACTTTGAATAACATGCTTCAGCAGATTTGGCCATCATCGCGCTGTAGGCAAAACACTGCACATTTGTCAATGACCCAAATGCATTCCTCAGCAGGTATGGGCTGAATGACACGAATGATCTCACTTTTGAGGTTTGCAACTGTCCTGAGGCCATTCTCATATATTCTATCTCTGCCTTATCCCCACAGGTAGGGACATTTTAGACGATGAGTACAGGTTTCCCCACAACGCAATAGTGGCCACTGGGCATGTTCTTTAAAGTACTGTAACATTGTGACTATAAATCTGATGGTCATGAAATAAAGTAGGCTGGTAGCAAATTGAATGATGTACAAAAGTGTAAAATATCAGGGAGTTCTTTCTTAAAATGACAAAGATATGAGGAAAAGGGTATTAGGGTTTCCATTTTTTACCACCCTGTATCTCGACATATCAAAGAATGAAGCACGAAGCATATGTAATCGCTTGGAATTATCTGGTATGTTTTTATGTCTTAAAAATTGTTTTTGGCACGTCTTGTATAAACGTCTATAAACAATATTTCGAAAACAACATTCAGATATAAGATAATATTGAAGGTCTCTATGTACATGCGTTATTGCCTGAGCCGTGTTACAGTAAATATCAACTTTCTGTCTTTAATAGCAGATATCTATCCAAAGATATGATTGATAATTTGGATGATTGGTTTGGTCCTGTTCTTGTTAATCATTGTTGTTTTTCTTCATACCTTTAAAGGAAATGGAAATTATAAACCATTATAAAACATATTAATTCTGATTATTTAATTTCATACTAATTGTGGTTAAGTTCATTCCGATTAATAAAATGTTTCACTATGTACATTTCAAATTAATGTAGTTATGCACACGGAGGCCTAAACATAATTGACGACAAAGATATAATTTTATATTAAGAAAAGGTGGGTGGCAGAGACTTTGTTTTTTCCTAAAAGATAGAGGAAATTAACTGTATCGCGGTATATATCTAATGTGCCACTTAAATGTTTTAGCATATCAAAAATATTTTGCAACCTGAGTGATGTCATCGATGACTCACTCAGGTGGCAAAACATTTTTTGAAAAAATGAAATGTTTTTTCTATGTCAATCTTTTCTAAATATGCTAAACTTCAAGAATAAACCAATGTTGATTGTCTAACCAGGTTAAAAGGTAGAATACATGTTTTAGATATTATTCTACAATTGGTTTCTATGAGAACTAAAATTTTAAAATGCATTTTTCTCTGAACCATTCATTTCTCGCTTATTTATGAACCGATTTTCTTAATTTTTTTTTCGGCAAAAAACATGTGAGGATGGATGGTGTGCATTGGTATGAATTATCCCTTATTAAAAGATAATTTAACCTCTAAAAGTTAAGTTTTAAAGAAATTTACGATTTTTCGAACAAAACGTCATTCAAAAACCACGTTTTGAAATTAAAATAAAAAGTTTCACATATGACACTTAGATAACATTGGGTAAGACTACAATATAAGCCAAAGTGGTTTAAACTTTATATGGCTACTTTAACCGTTTGAGATTTTGAGTATGGTGCAGCACAGTGTTCACGGTACCGTACGACCCGGGGCGTACGGGATTGTTATAGTCGACGGCACTGTACGGTACCACATTTTACAGTGCACTACAATACCCTAGCCAAAACGGTTAGACCTGCACATTTCATAACAATTATAGCTTATTTTGTTACAATGAAAAATGATAATTGTGCACATTTTGTCTAATATTTTGTAAATTATGCAGCAATGTGTAACAAAACATCCAAAGTATGCATTTACTTTTTATGTTGACAGTAAAACCTTTTAAAAGTAAGCTGTCAAAAAATTTATATGTTTTGAAGCAAATATAATTACTGCTATGCTATCAGTATATAGCCATAATGTACTGTAATATGGAGCCATCTCTATAGTTGTTAGGTTGTCATCACGACTGGGAATGAACTCTTGCCCCTATAAGTAATACGTAGTTGGTTCTTTGCCATCAAATGGAATGCAAGCCAGTGGGTTGTGAAAAGGGTATCCGAGATCAGACTTTAAATAGCTAGTCTTGAGAAGGAAGAACACAACTGCGGATGATTCAGAAGAGCAAGGGCTTCATATTTTGATCCAAAGGCTATTCGAGTGCGATACTACAACATAAAACAACAAACAATGTCATCTGTGGTGAGGTATTTGAGAGCAATGGTGTTGGTAGCCACAATTGTTGCAAATAGCAACGTGATGGGGCATGGAGAAATTAAATACTGTGGACGGAATGTACCAAAGTTGATCATCATAGCTTGTGAGATGCTCAAAAAGCGAAGTACTGAAACTCAAGCGTTAGGTATGTCAAATTAAATCCAGGTTAAAACTTGGTTCCTAAACTTTTGGTGTACATTTGTAACTGATAAAAATTAATGCTGTGCTGAGTTATTTTTCAGTTTTAAATATGTTTCCAGGTATTATTGAAGGTCATCTGTTAGCATAAGAACATTTTATATAGAAAAATAAAATAAAAATAAAAAACACATATTCATCAGTTGTGTGTCTATTAGAAATTGAATTATGTTAGATTAAATAGTTCTTGTAACTATCACATCGATGTATCATGTATGTATACCTTTGTCATATAAGCAAAAACTGTGTCTTATGTGTTTTTAATCGCTTAGAGTCTTTCCCGAGTGATGTACATATTGCATATTTTCATCCATCAATCAAAAATCATTGTTTTTATGTATTGTTCATCGAAATATAACCGATGATGGTTTTATTACATCGTTTCAATGTCAACCCCAGAATCATCGCATATCATTGCGTTTTACAGCAGCTCGAATCATTTTGTTTATTTTGTTTCATTTTTAATTTTTCAATTAAAATGATTATTTAGAAATAGTTATTCACATGATTATTTGACAACGTGATGTATATAACTTTGAATAACAATAGAAATACCCTAGCCTATCTGACAATTTCAATGACTGACATTTAAAGTGTACTGGTTAAGGTCGCAAAAATTTGCATCATAAATGTTAGTTAAATGATCCCATACATAAGAGGATACTTTATGACAGATCATAATGTTGATGGTGAATGGTAATGAATTGATAAGTAAAAACATGCGCTTTCGAGAAAAGCCAATGGTAAAACTATCAAAAAAGCACTTAAAGTAGCCGGTCACATAGACATCTATACATGGTCGGACATATCACTGTATTCATATGATTTGTTGTTACAATAATTAAGAAGGATAAACCCAATGGTAATGTTGAGTTATCATTGAAATATCATACAGTTGAAGTTGCTTATATCAACAAAGACACTGCTGTTTTAATAGAAGATGTAATACTTTATCAATTTAATATATCAAATTACGTAAATTGCCCATATTGAAATGAAATTGATATAATTCAACACAGAATAAAAAAAACAAAAATCTTCTTATGAACACATTTTTCCCACAAAGTTATGTTAAATCCAGAACTCCGATTTCATGTCAGAAATATGATTTTACTTTGACGTTTCTAATGAAATTAGGGCACATCTATTTAAATATTTGATTAAACACCTCGGTTTTTATAATTTATAATTTGGTTTTGGCCAAATTAACTTCTTCATTTAAGGCAATCACTGGTGATCCGCTCGATTACGCTGGTTACCGAAACGGTTCGTTTTGGTAACAAAATGTCGGAACGTCGACGGTACGATTTTTTTTCTTTTTTGCTTATTTCGCTCGTTGTAGGCAGAATCCACACGACATTTTTTCTCACAAGCGTATATCAGTATCATATGTTTTATAAAAAGTACATGTTTGCGAATAAATAGCTCAGAAGACGACATAATATGGTCGATTTAATTCCTCACTTAAGTTACATAAACGGGTTAAAAGTGCAGATCTTAACTGTTTTTCGAAATACCGTTTCTGTAACTTAAGTGAGGGATTAAATCGACGATTCCGTTGTCTTCTGAACTATTTGTTCGCAAATGTGTACATTTTCTTAATCATACGAGGCCCGATCAGAAAGTAAGTAACCAACTGCTCTTATTTCTTCATACTTTATTCAATCACATTGAAATTTTCACAGATGATGTAGAAAATATTAACCTATTAAAGAAGACCAAGGACAATGGGTTAGCGTCAATTTCATTGTTATTGCTATTGCTATGGTGACAATTGTTTTGGGTAGGTGGGGCACTCTGTTTAAAGTGGCGTTTGAGAAAATTTGTAGAGCTTTTCTACATGTTGTAATACCTCAAAATATATCAAATTCAAATGTGAGACTAAATTTTAGCACAAAGTCCTTCAAATTAATTACTACCAAAGTCAATGCAGTTGAGGCAATGTTTCACTCCATCCTTAAAAAAGTGCAACATTGCGCCATTCAATGTCTGCAAACTGCTATTGAAAGCTTTAATGATGGCCTTATTTCTGTCCAAACGGACTCTCAATGACAGCATCTTTTCATTTGGAAAGAATATAGTCACGTGGAGCAAGGTCTGGGGAATAATGAGCCTGGGGTAGTTGTGTGGCCATGGAAAAGGCTATATCTACTGTATCTTTGGCAATGTTGGCTCTGTGGAGGTGGACCATTGTCATCATGCCAGTAAAACCCCCCTTGAACAACATTTGACTAGATTGAAACTGTGACTGAATCATGACCATCATTATGACAGATATACCCTTGATATCTTTGTGCCGATGACTTATAAATTAGGCAATGGAGCGTAGTTACCATTGTGATAATACATAAAACAAATTATTCAGTCTTGCATAAAAAAATGTTAGGTCATTTGGAGGAATATGGCATGTAAAAAAACTCAACAAACCATCTTCCAAAGCCGCTTACAAAAGGGTGCCCCGCCTACCCAAAACAATCATCACCATAGCAACAGCCATAACAAAGCCATTGACGCTAACCCATTGTCCTTGGTCTTCTTTAATAGGTTAATATTTTCTACATCATCTGTGAAAGATTCAATGTGATTGAATGAAGTAGGAAAAAATGAGAGCAGTTGGTTACTTACTTTCTGATCGGGCCTCGTATGATGCTGATACATGTTTGTGATAAAAATGTCGTGGGAATTTTGCCTACAACGTGTGCAATAAGGAAAAAAGAAAAATCGTGCCTTCGACGTTCCGACATTTTGTTACCGAAACAGTTCCAGCGTAATCGGGTGGATCACCAGTGACAATGCTTCTCATATTCTAAACTCTCTATAGTTTAATGGCACTTGTTGCTTCTAGGCGACCTGAAGAATTTGGCGAAAAAGTTTTACATTGATGGTCTGTTACGGGAGTTATGGCACGAAGGCAAGTTACTGGATTCAAATGGGCATCCTCTAAATGCAAAAAGTGGTAGTGTCCCGACTTCGGGTGATACCGTTTCTCTTGTGAGAGGCGCAAATAACGAACAAAAGGATCGGAGCGACAAGAAAGCAAAGCTCAACCTATTGAAGGAGATGCTCCCTGGTTTGATCGAAATGATGCAGGATACACCTCAACAAGAACATCAGAGAGAGGTACTTGCTGAACCAACTAACACACAGGATACTTATGGGAAATCCAACGATGAACTTGTCAGCCTCCTTGGCCTACTTGGTTTGAGCAATAGCGGTTCTCAATCAGGAAAACATGTTACTGCCGTAAGTGAAAACCCAGCTGGGGTCGTTAAAAAGGATTTCGATCCTTTGCGGAACGATGGTCGCCTGTTTCATTATATGCAAACCAAGAGAGATGGAATGGCAATTGTTTCCCTCATAGACCAATGCTGCAGGAATGGCTGTAAACTCAATCAGTTGCTTGGAATTTGCGACTGAATATTATCAGTTAATATAGTGTACATTCTCAAAAACAAACAATACATATTTATTAATCACGGAATTTCACACTGTTCGTGTACATATTCTTTTGATTTTTGTGGTCACTCCTCATAATAATGCTTATTCAAAGAACGAACGGACATATTTATTTCATGACGACATCAAATATCAGAGATGCTGAACTGTGATGCTAGATTTTTCAGAAATAACACAATATCATGGGCAACGCTTCCAATTAATATGGCGTCTTTGTAACTTGCGTAACCAGGTAACGTAGCTACGCTCCAGGCAAAAACAATTGTATCATCTCCAAATACACCGTAGACTTCTTAGCTACCATAGCAGGGATATGACTATAAATCAATAAACGTGGCAGTGTAAAGACTATAAATCAATAAAAGTAGCAGTGTAAAGTGATTACTTCACCTGTTCAGCGTTACACTTCGTGTATTTATCATTAAAAGGTCAGGTGTGCTATTGGGAAAGGTCCTAACTTTTAGCATGTATGTATTATATTCTTACGGCAAGTATGACCTTGTTTAATAATTTTGATAAAAACATGTCTGTCTCTCACTAAAGCCCAACACATATCAATCAGAAAAAGTCTCACTTGCCAAATGGAGTAACATGGTTCCCAGGAAAATAAAGATATCAATCAGACTCCCCTCATGATATTACGAATTATTCACTTTATACACGGGGCAGAAACTGTTCCGTTGTTTATACTTTCGTCATACTTTAGAACATGTTTCATTCCTTTTACTTGGACTGAATATGGTGTTTTAAGCATATAAAAATCGTCAACCATATAATTGAGGTCATTGAGCAAGTGAATGTTTGTTAATATGATATGAAGTCGTAAATCCTTGAATTGATTTCCAGCTTTTTCAATCAGTTTTTTTGTAGAACAAAACATAGTAGTTTTGCACAATTTGACGATTGTAGATTGTCTTGGAACGGAGTCTAGCCGGTGATGAATACGAGCTCCAGTGGTGGAAGAGTTCGAAATGTAAAATTTGAAATTCAAACCATTATTTGAATGATATGGTTCTTTTGATTCAAAAATAACGTGTTGTACAGGGTGACCCAAAAATGCCACCAACTAATTTTGGAATAACTCTCTCAATAATTAATTCATTATTTTTTATGTGTGGATAGAGTGTTCAAAGGAGAAAATATTGTTATGCTTGCATAGCATCAACAACTTGTAAATTAAGAGATATCCTATTTTCCGTGGAACCGACGCAAAATCAATTAAAATAGTGAATTAGAAAATCTGTCTTTCTTAAAATTTACCTAATAAGCCAATCAGTTCATCAAATTTGACAAGATTATTTAAGAAAATGAATAGACATGACATGTTATGGAAAATATGTGTGAAAGCAATCCAAAATGACTCAAATAATGGCTAAGACAGAAATATCAATTTCAGAAAATTGTATTTTTGAACATTTTTATGAATTCACCGAGACCATGCCTCGACGGAAAATGTGATATCTCTAAATCTGAAAGTCGTTGATGTTATCCAAGTACAACAATCTTTGTTCCTTTGAACATTCTTTCCACACAAAAAATCACGTAGATTCCGTTAATTATTGAGTTATTCCAAAATTGGCGGGTGGACTTTTTTTTTGGGGGGGGCACCCTGTATATAAAATCTTTCATCGTCCCAACGAACGAAGTTCGTAGGGACGCAGAGAAGCCGTCCATTCATCCATCCATCCGTTAGTCCATTGCCCGTGTAATCTTACAATTAGTTGTTTTAGTTATCATTAAAATTAGGGATATTGATCACAATTATTGTTCAAATAACATTTCAAAGGACGTATGGAAATTAATCACCGAGCCAAGTCTCAAACATAATTCACCATTTTCAATATTACACCAAAACTAACACAAAACAAGATTTTTATCTTGTTGGATTTGATGAAGTAGTATTGTAACTACATATTAAGATGATAAGAAGACCTAACATTATTTCTGCTTTAAAATAGATTCACAATCAACTTATATAGTTCCATGTACTGTATACTATACTTCCTAAAGAATGAGATAAATATGCCAGTGCAATATGGGTATTTTTGCGACAGTAAAGAAATAACTAAAAAATAGGGTTTACCTCGGTTAGAATGATGTGTGAAGAACTGAATGCTCAAACTGAATGCTTTTTCCAATGGTATACAATAATCTACACATAATATCACGGGGTACCATCGAATAATTTTGGCAACGTACCGGAGAACGACATTTACTAAGAAATGGCAATAATTTAGCACAATATATTTTTTAACTAGAGTTCTATTTTGATTTTGACAAAAGTAAGTATTCCATGCAATAACTATTTCAGTCATGAGTTTGTAGGAATTCTGTTGGAACCCAGTTCTGATCAAGTACGAGGTTATTGAAATCGGCGCAGACGGACTTTACTCCGAAAGATGGTTTTTCGATTATAACTTTTCACAACATTTAAGTATAGACTTTTGAAAAAAGTACAGTATAGTCCTTATACTTTTGAATAATTCTGTTATTTCTGACTCACACGACTCTGATTTGTTTAATTAAAAAAAAAGTTTTAAAAATATTACTTAGGAACGTAACCGGAGCTGGGAACGTAACCGGAGCAGATCAGTTGAATTATTTAATCAAAAAAATTAAATTATATGATTTAAAGCACATATAGCTTACTAATTTAAAAACATACGGGATTGTTCGAATGCGTATTTATTAATATATATGCTTTAAATCATATATTTTATTTTTTTAAATTATATAATTCAACTGATCTGCTCCTGTTACGTTCCCAGCTCCGGTTACGTTCCTTAGTAATATTTTTAAAACTTTTTTTTAATTAAACAAATCAGAGTCGTGTGAATCAGAAATAACAGAATTATTCAATAGTATAAGGACTATTCTGTACTTTTTTCAAAAGTCTATACTTAAATGTTGTAAAAAGTTATAATCGAAAAACCATCTTTCGGAGTAAAGTCCGACTGCGCCGATTTCAATAACTTTGTACTTGATCAGAACTGGGTTCCAACAGAATTCCTACAAACTCATGAATGAAATAGCCATTGCATGGAATACTTACTTTTGTCAAAATCAAGGTAGAACTCTAGTTAAAAAATATATTGTGCTAAATTATTGCCATTTCTTAGTAAAATGTCGTTCTCCGGTACGTTGCCAAAATTATTCGATGGTACCCCGTGAATATGGCTTGTATTATCAAATATTGCAAAATGAAATATTCCACTTTTTGAACCACCCTGTAGATAAATATTCTTTTCTTTGTTCTTCAATAGGCAATTGGTATGGCTTCAGTATGGTATGGTGATTTTGCCATCTTTTTGCAAATGTCATTTGAGATTCTGGTGATCTGTTTCTTATTTGATCTGTTGAACTGTTCTATTTCGGTCTGTGTACGTCTGAAAGAAGATATTCTAGATCTGTGATCGGAGGATGGTCAATACCCTTATGGCATTTTTCTTGCATATAAAACTCATACATCTCATAACGTCAAACCAACACTCAACCAAGTTTTTGGAATATGAGAGTCCATTTACATCAGTATGAGATGCGCAACTATAAACAAAGCAAAAGAAATGTTCAACACTTATCTCACTGTCGTCCTCTTCAGTTTTGATATTCAGCCAAGAATAATGTCAATATTGAATTCCATATGTGGGTGATAGTTGTTATATATGGAATTGTTCTTATATGCTTAATTCAAATTGGTCACGCGTAGGAGCGATTTGACATATTCGATTTTCGCATATACTCTTGAAAATGTCACATACTTTGACAAAGTATGTCAAGTGTTCGGTATATACCGTTTCACATACTGTATACGTTACTCTTGCGAAACGGATTTGTCCTGTAAATCGGTTGAGAACATCGAATTCTTATATTCTCAAATACCCAATACAATGTATATACGACAAATAGAATGACCGACATTGTTGAAAGAAATCGCAATACATCATTCGAATCAATTGGTTCAATTGTGCGGACCACATAGCTCACGGTGAGGCACGTTAACGCCATTTTCGGCGCGTTGCATGTAAGAATCAACTCACCGGGCCAAGGTAAAATGATGGAAATCGATCATGACATATTATATAAACTATATAATAGCCTAGTACCATAACTTGATGTTCATACAGTGTAGTTCATTTATTCAGATTAGACAGGCTTGACCTCTATTTCTAACTATTTTGCTGAAAATACCATATATGGTTTTAATAGACTAGATGCGAGTAGAAATAATCTTGCAATTGATTATCATATGATGTTAATTTTGAAAACCACAATCATGTAAAATTATTTATCAACTTTGAAAATTGAATTTTCATGAAAATTGAATTTTCTTTGAAAATGTGACTTCTAGGTCGAGGAGATTCCCCACAGACCACATGTTATAAAATCACAAAAAGTGAAATATCATTTCTTTTGTAGTATGAAAATTGATCCAAAATAACTGATGAATATTTTAACTTTAAGGGAAATTTGTAATACTCTGCCATGTTATCTGACCCGAATCAGCCACCTGGTGGTAACTACCTACTGGCATCTGGGTTATTGATATCATGCAAAGGTCCAAAAAGTGAACCCTTGCAACAAGCTACCTATATTGATGGCCTAAGTATTCTCACATGTTTTAGAGGAAGGTCTAACGTTTTTGTGGGTACCACAAAAGTCACTCAGTTTTAAACCTTGCAGAAGTACCATGACAACAACAGACAAACCTGATTATGGATGGTGTGCTCAATCAATGTTCCACGGTTCAGTATAAATGCTGCAATGTGAATGTTAAGGTTGTTCACTGCTCTGTCCAGCATATCTAGGGGTATTTTGCATTTGCATTTTTGTTCATTTTTGAGCAGTGAACAAAATTCGCATTTAACAACAATTATCAAGAATAACGCAGATGCGAGTAGGTAGTTACCAGATTCACCACCAGGTGGCTCGTTCGGGTCAGATAGCATGGCGGGTATAGGAGAAAGTTCCCTTAAACTTAAATCACATCTGTTTTAATGATTCAATTTTCATATAACCCTTATGTATCTAATAGTTATGCAAACTGAAATATGTCCAGTAAAGGAAAATGTTATCTATCCAATACAAGAAAAGATATTTCACTTTTTGTGATTTTGTATCATGGGGTCTATGGGGAATCAACCCGAACAAGAAGTCACATTTTCAAAAAAAATAAAATTTTCAAAGTTGATAAACAATTTTCGAAACCATATTTCTAGATGTACTTTTACATGCAGATTTCAAATATGACATCACCTTGACTGAATTTTGAATATTTAATGACGTAAATCAAGATTATTTCTACTCGCACCTAGTCTATTGTGGCGCATGGATTGAGCACATCATCAAATCATCGGGCATGTCTGTAGATGCCATGTAACTTCTGCAAATCGGGTGACCACCTTCACAAACTTGAGACCTTCCTCTAAAACATATGTGAGAATATTAGCCCTTCAATGTACCATTTGCATTCGTTCGACTTCGCTTTTCATAATCGGCTTAGGTTCTTCATCTACCTAATGGGAGTATGGTGGGATAATCAGTGACATAGTTTGGGTTGTGGAAGGTCGATTTCGATAGTTTGTTGCATCTTTTTCGTTTGTGTTTTAACGATGTCTCGGTCGAGTAGCATCGTAAATGTAGCTGTGGTTTGTAGCTACATTTTGATGTATAGTTTCAGGGGCGGATCTGAAAGCTTAAGGGGGTTCATAACAAGGGGCCCATATTTAAAGAGATAACAATATTCCCGCGCTTTTCTGGATTTTTTTAAATTGTATATTTTTGGCCAAAAGCCCTTGTAATGCCCAAAAAGGCTCACTAATTGAGGCCCTAAATCTTTTTAATCTAAGCCCCTGCCTCCCCCCGCCAGATCTGCCAGTGAGTTTCATATGCTTTGGTATAACATAAAGTAAGCAGCTCCTTACTAGAGACTCTAGCCATATAACTACTAACTAAACAGCTAGTTGCCCGTGTTATAGCATTATGGCAAAGTGTCGTACAGTCATTTCAGTTCGTCCTGTCGTCGTTCACAGTAGAATCAACGTGATAGCTATGACCTCTGCTGTCATTAAAACCTAAAATATGAACACCACAAGAGGTCGTTACTACTTTCTAGTCGGATAATACTGTTAACCGTTAGTACTGACAGTACTGACGATCCTTTTGTGTACGCAAGACTTTGTTAGAGGCACAAAAAGCGTAGATGCGCAAAATCCCTTCATACCCGTTTTTATTTGGGAAAATCCTGGCTGAGGGGTCTTTCGAACGCACCGACCCCCCTGTCCTTACGGGCATGCAATGTGTATGCTATATGAAGATCGGTGTGAGCGGCCCAGTTGACCTAGACAGTAGACATTGCATAGCTTTACAATGCTCCAGAAATTTTCATACATTGCAGTTTTAGCTGCAGTTTATTTGTATTTTACAAAGGAAAAGACTGTGGACATTAATTCAAAAATACAAGATGTATTAGATGAGGAGTATGACTATATTGTTGGTAAGTAAAAATTACAGATGCAGTGATGGAGAATATATTTAAAGGTGTTGCAAAGTTTTAAGGTAACTCCACATGATGTGCATATGTGCCAAAATTAATATTCAACTATTGATTTAAGCTCAAAGAACAGTGATTTTGGAGACCATATCTAGGTTTTAAGGGTCAAGGATTTGACTTATGTCTAAATCTAAGTCATCAAACAATTACTTTAAATAAAAATTCCAAGATGGCCACCAAAAAGGGTGCCAAAATGAATATTCAACTATTAATTTAAGCTAAAAGAACAGTGATTTTGGAGCACATGTCTGCGTTTTAGGGGTCAAGGATTTTATTTATGCCTAAATCTAAGTCATCAAACAATTAGTTTATATAGAAAACCAAGATGGCCACCAAAATGGCTGCCAAAATGAATAATTAACTGATTGATTTAAGCTCAAAGAACAGTTGAGAACAGTGATTTTGGAGACAATGTCTAGGTCTTAGGGGTCAAGGGTTTCATTTATGTCTAAGTCTGAGTCATCAAATAATTGCTTTTCATGGAAATCCAAGATATAAATAATTCCTTTATTTGGACCAAAGATGGCTTCCAACATTGTTGCCGAAGTGAAAATAAGATTTATTATTTAAACATATAGAGGAGTTAGAACATTAATTTTTGATATTTTAAGCCCCATATAAAGTTTAAACCACTTTGGCTTATATTGTAGTCTTACCCATTGTTATCAAAGTGTGATATGTGAAACTTTTTTTTTTAATTTCAAAAAGTGTTTTTTGATAGACTTTTTTGTTCCAAAATTTGTGAATTTATTTAAAACCAACTTTTAGAGGTCACTCATATCTTCTAATTAGCCACAATTCATACCAATTATAGCATTTATCCTCCCATGTTTTTTGCCGAAAAAAAGTAAGAAAATTGGTTCATAAATAAGTGAGAAATGAACTTATCACTTTATCAGTGCATGAAAATGGTTCTGAGAAAAATGCATTTCAAAATTTTAGTTCTCATAGAAACCCATGGTACAATGATATCTAAAACATAATTTATTCTTCCTTTTAACCCGGTTAGACAATCAACATTGGTTTTTTTACCCTTTGCATTCGTTTGACTTCACTTCTTAAAAGAGAGCTTCGTCTTCACTCTTTCAAACTAAAATTAACCTGTGAACTCACCGCGCCAATCAGTGTTCGTCGGCCAAATTTGACCGACGTTCTTTATATGGTCATTCCTTCTGACGTCATCGTTGAGCCCGGAATTGACCAATGACAAGCGCATATTTAATTAGAATGCATTTCAGCATTTGGCGTATGTTTCTTCAAGCTCGCTGATTGGTGGAAGGTCAGCGCGTTGGTCAAAAGTGATTTACCCAAAATGTCACCGGTACTCGTCGTGGGGGCGGGGCTACTAAACTGTAATATGGTCTCTACTAGGCAGAGTGTAGTTTAACTAGACTCTGCACGCAGGGTATGGTTTTTTATGAAAGTCCAGCACATTTAGGAAAGATTGACATCGAAAAAAAAATTTCAAAAAGATTTTGCTACCTTAGTGACATCACTAATGTTTCTAAATATTTTTGATATGCTAAAACATTGAAGTGGCCCATTAAATATGGCATTTTATTATTGAAATAGTGTGTCCTTTGTTCAATCTTTGCATTGGTGTTAAAAAGATAATCTTTTTTGAAATGCATTAAGAAATATTTGATGATTAAGAAATTTCAACTTTTTTGAAAAATGGCGGGAAATTTAAATATTTGAGAAATGAAATGCTCACAACTTTTTTTCAAAAGATTTTTTGTTCAAAATCTCTAAAATCACTTTTTAAGTCCTGACAAATAGTAAATAAATGATGAAAAAATATTTTCAAACTTTAGACGGGGACTTTTAAGTTTGTGTGGTCAATGATTTTAATTTTGTCTTTAATAAAATTGACAAAATTTATATGGATATCCAAGGTGGCCTCCAAAATGGCTGCCAAATTGAATTCGTATAACTACCCAGTTAACCACATAGATCACCAAGAACAATAATTTTGGAAGCAATATTCACTTTAAGGAGGTCAAGAATTTCAGTTATATAGAGCTATACCATGAAACAATCTGTGATTAATATCAGAATTCAAGATGTATGCCAAAGTGTTAATATTATAAAAGGTCAAATAAGAAAAAAAAATAACATGAACATTTGCGTAATAAAATAATCCCATAGCCATCAATAGTTGCATATTCGTTTTGGCACCAATTTTGGCGGCCAACTTGTATTTCTATGAAAAGGTAATTATTTGAGATGACTCCTTGGCTCTATTTTTTGACTCCTTGACTCTAGAACTGTGACTTGATCTCCAAAATCACTGTTCTTAACTGTTCTTCGAGGTTAAATCAATGGTTACATACTGCTATTCACTTTGGTACCCATTTTGGTGGCCATCTTGGATTTCTATAAGAAGTAATTGCTTGATGACTTAGATTTCGGCATAAATGAAATCCTTGACCCTAAACTAAAACCCCAACATAGGCACTAAAATCACAGTTTTTGCATCTCAGTGTGCTTAGATATACTCACTCTTATATTGTAACATGTGCACCGGCGGCCATTTTGAAAAATGGGTGATAACACCCATTTAGCTACAACTGTTGCAATGCTATCACATATTTTCTTACTCTAGAGGTTTTAACCGTCCCAAAAATCCCTATGGCGATTATTCCCCTGATTTGATACCGATAACCTAAATTTTGGGGTGAAGCTGTTGGCCTAAATGTATATTTCACAAAAAGCATGTAACTTAATAAATATTGAGTCAGTTATGAATATGTCAGATGGATCTCTGGGTGTGTTCAATGAACTTCTGCACATGAGTGAATATGTATATAAGTAGTTAGATTGTCATCAAAAGATTTGTCATCACTGCCATGTATAAGTATTTGAAGTTTTGAATGTTTAGATAATATCCGGTAGTTCCCAGTGTTCCCAATGTCTCCACTAAGGTAGTGGCACGTGGGGCAGCATAAAGGGGGCAGTCCAAGAAAAAATGGGAGATATAATCTTTGAAGTAACGGTTACGCGGATACAAACATATGTCATATTTCGCAACGAATATGGCATATTCACTTGCGGTGTATGGCAGATTCACCCGCGGTATATGGCATACACACTAACCAATGAGAACGTGATGCGGAAGTACGTGATTGTCAATTGCATCAATTGAAGGAACGAGTAAAAGTTTATATGATAAATTAGTATTGTAGTGATCAATGAGTCAACAGGACAGTGCATTGAATATATCAAGTAATACCATTGAAAAACATCCCAGTAGTAACTTCATTTATTGATGTTGTTTTATGTATGTGCTACACACAAATACACACCGCAAGGGAAACATTACACATAAATATACGAACCTACGTTCGTGCAGCTTATGAGTGACTTTTTAACCAAATCTAAAGTCGACAAAACTCGAACTCAAAAGCTATAGAATCACAAGTATTATTAATGTATTGTTGTATTGGAAATCACGATTTATGTATTTCTGATACTTTCAGAATTATCAGTCAGCAATCACACGTAATAAACTTACATAATAAATCCAGAATTCATATGTTAGCACTCAAAGCGCTGGCAATATTGGTAATTCAGCGTAGTTTTACATTAAGAGTCGATTCGCACGACCAATCAAATCGAGGCATTATGTATCACGTTTTCACCTGTGGTATATGTCATATTCACCTGCGGTATATGGCATATTCCGCAGGTGAGTATGATATATTCCAAAGGTAAGTATAGGGCATTCACTGTAATCAATGTATCGCATATTCACTGCGAAATATGCCATACTCAACTGCGGAATATGCCGATACTAATACATATAGTCTAACACGTGTTTCTTATCACAAGAAGCTACTCTAACTGACTCCCTTGGTCACATGATCTGAACAGTTATACTATTTGGGGGAATCAAACACCCACTGATCAAGAGATAGGGATGATGCTCCAATGTAATTTTATATTGTAAGTTTCATTTTTGAATGTTTAAAGGGTGCTTATCATTCTACAAATGACAATCAACATAATACATTTGGCAAAATAATCACAATGATGGTGAAAGAAGGACGAGCATCCACTTATTACAATATCAAAATCCTTGAGTCCAAAATCAAAATGTGTTATATCACAGCCCCACCAATCAGAAATGGTTGGGGTATTGTTTGAAATCCATTTTGGAGTTTGCCAAATCCGAAGCATAACTAATACATAAAGTGGGTCACTTACCCTCCATTGTTATAGTTGGAGCAGGGTCAGCAGGTGCTGTTGTGGCGAGCAGACTGTCAGAAGACCCGAACATCAAAGTATTGCTCTTAGAAGCTGGAAGGGCATCTGATCCTCTCACAAAGGCTCCAGTGGGCTCCAAGTTTGTTCAACGTACCAAAATGGATTGGAATTACAAAACAGTTCCACAGAAGCACTGTTGCAAAGGGTTAGACAAATCGGTAAAATATTATTTTATTCAAATTCTAGAAATTCGTCCCTTCATCATGAATTCTTTAAAGGACACGGTATAGTATGGCATTGATTTTGGACAGTCATATGTTACAATCATTACTTTCTCAATTTAAATACGGCATTTCTCATTAACACAATATGTTATCTTTCAAGTAAATTCTAAAAGATGATAAAAATATAGCGATCGAACAATTCGAAAAATTATGAATAGGGACCCCATGTCAAATTTTGTTTTAAAATGTTTAACCTTTTACACAAACGAGGATCGTCTTTATTAATTTTTATTGCACGAAAACATTATTCAACAAGGGGTCTAAAACTTCTTTAAATGGAGAATGGTATTCACTGTCTAGTTTTTGAAGATATCAATTTTCGATGACCAAAATTATGCTGAAAACAATGGATAGTGTCAGTTTTCCCAATGGGAAAATAACATGTATTGTATTGTATATATTGTAAAAGTAATGTTTACATAAAAATTATATATAAAAATGTTTACATGAACGAGAACATATAATATTCAAAACACTTAGGGTCCTCTTTTTAGAAAATATGCCTAACCTTTTTTAACAAGAATTTGCAAAGGAAGTAGTGCGCTCTCCATTATGACCTCCCCATGAAAAAAAATTAATTCATCTGATTTTTCAAAATGGGTATACTGCCTTTATTATTACATATATATGCACACTAGTATCTTGTTGACATATATTCAGCACTGTATTGATGTATAGGCCACTTATTAGGGTCAAAATTCAATCATGAAGTGTAGAGGCATAGATTCCAAACCAGGAAGTATTTTTATGTCTATCAAAATCCATTTGCATCCTACGTATCCTTACAACTTATCCAAATATGTTACTAAATAATGAAATATAATAGTATAACATTTGGTTTTACAAACTTGTATGATATTTGATAAGTGTAAAAGTTGTTTTTGGAGCATTTTTCTAGAGCCATTTTGTATGGAAAAAATGATAAAAAATGTACAATTTTTTAATTTAAAGTATGACCTGAATCGATTGCAAACTTCATATTTGCACATTTGATGAGATAAACCAATTGTATCATATTGTGAAATTATTAAGTTTGCAAATCAGCTCATAGTGTATTTTTGGTATTTTTGTGATAATCAATGGAAACCAATGGCCTCTATTGGGATCTGCTGATATCTTCATGTTCAGTCAATGATACACAGATCCACGTAAGTCAATACAACCTTACTGAACTAAATGGCCCCTATCTCAGCCTATGTGTGCCCGAGCACTTTAATATTTTCCAAAGAGTTATATGACATTGTTTTCTTTATGTTACACCTAAGAATTATTCATTTTGACCATTGGGGTATTTGCCATTAATTGCACCTCTTCCTTTGAATTTTACAGCTACTCAAATAATTTGCTTTCTTGTATCTGCTGCTCTTTACACAATGAAGTTTCCTTCATATATGCAGCTCAAGTCAGTTTCTAATTATAATATTTTCGATTCTCTTGCAGAAAATATTAGAGTTATGAGTTCACAATGCACTGTTTTCTGCACTGATATCACACCGGACCATTTCAGAAAAGATGCTCTGTTGATGTTTATTATGTAGCACATATATTTAGTGTCACATATTACCTACAAAAACTATATTTGTCAAATTATATCACAGGTTCCACAACTAGTTACTTTGACGGAACGTCAATGTAACAAAATGGATGAACTTCTTGGATATGAGTGTTTTGGTTTTCTCGATTTAAACTTACGTATAAGTCATGTTGCGGATTATCATTTTGTAGGGGCTTTTTGTTACATTGATGTTCCGTCAAAGTAACTAGTTGTGGAACAGTGAGGTTCATAGTTCAAACAAATATCAGATCTTAGCACAGCTAACTTTACATCTTATAGATGAATAATGATCCTTAGCACTCCCCAAAAACTTTGGACTCTTGACACCTGACTATTTTTGATTGAATGTGTTATCTCTACGTATGTAGTAACTCAACTTGGTCTAACATAATATAACAGATACAAACGTTGTTCTAATTCATCGGCTTAGTGTACAAAGGTTATACCTTTTTCTGTTTTTAGCTACAGAGTCCTACTGTAAGTGTAGTAGCCTTCTATATGAATCCCCCCGACAATACTTGCAAGACCAAATGTGAGATCCCAGAATGAGATTTATCAAATATATTATAGATCAATAAAGATAATATTATAGACAAATGAAGAGTCAACAATAATATGTTGCAAATTCAGAATACTCAACAGATTTTGTAAATGTGTAGTCTTGATCAAAATTACACAAAATTAAATGTTTCATTTTGTAGTCTTGATCAAAATTACACAAAATTAAATGTTTTCGCAGATTCTATATCAACGCAGACACAACTTGTCGAATTAATCGTCATGTGAAACATGGAGAAACATGGTTTTATGGTACATTGAATGAAATTGTTGTTGTCATCATTGGTTTTGTAGTTTTACAAATTAATTGTTTATTGCATTTTTTGATAGACAACCTTACCTATATGATGACAAATGTAGAAGCAAATAAGAGCATGGACAGCACAAAAACTGGTTTAAACAATAGAAGTCAAAGTGAACAGTATACAAAAAGACTTGAAAACATTGGAATTGAATATTAATTTGACACACTAACCTACTGATAACCTTGTATAAATGGTTCGATCCAATCTATGTTCCTAAATCCACCAACTTAGAGTACAAGGCACACACAGGGTGAACAATATCGTACCTAAAACATAGCCGTGTGAGCCTGATGACACAGAAAGCAAGATAGGTTAATCATTTCTAGAACTTCTTACTATGTAACATGTGTGAACATTTGAAGTAAATCCGTCAAGTGGTTTTCCTGGAATCTAAAAACTGCCAAGATGGCCGCCAGAATGCAAGATGGCCACCGAAAAGTAAATTAGCTCTAGAAGCTCTTACCATGTAACATGTGTGAACTTTGAAGTAAATCTGTCAAGTGGTTTTCCTGGAGTCGCGATGCCAAGATTTATCTAAAACTTCCAAGATGGCCGCCAGAATGCAAGATGGCCGCCAAAAAGTTAATCAGCTTTAGAACTTACCATGAAACATGTGTGAAAAGGAGCACGTAAGTTATCGCAAACAATTTCAAACGATTCTAAATTGAATTATGAATATTTTCTGATCATGAACATAGGTGTATCTTTTAGATCCATTCATCATCTTCAAGAAACGTATATATAATGATAATTTAGTTAATCAGACCAAAGTGATATTAAAGGGGCAATGGACCATTCAACATACTTTTTCAAAAATGCTGACCTAATTTTCACCAAAAATGCAACCTTTTATTATATTGTTGAATGCATAATTAGAATGTGCTTTGAGACATGTTCAAATTCCTAAAAGGAAAAGTTGATTGCTCCAGGGACTTTAAAGATACTGAATTTGGATGACCAAAATGAACTGAAACCAATGGATAGCATGAGATTTTTCAATGGAGAAATAACATGGGGAAGACTTATCTTAAAGCAATTAAGTTTTTCTTTCAAGAACTATTTGATACATCAAAATAAAGATAAATTGATCTAAAAGATAAACCTGTCTTCATTGTCAAAAAGTGGTCATAATCCAAACCTTCCGAAATTGTTTGCGATAACCTACGTGCTCCTTTGAAGTAAATCTGTCAAGTGGTTTTTCTGGAATCGCGATGAAAAGATTTATCTAAAAACTTCCAATATGGCCACCAGAATGCAAGATGGCCGCCGAAAAGTTAATCAGCTCTAGAACTTCTTACCATGTAACATGTGTGAAAATTTGAAGTATATTTGTTAAGTGGTATTCCTTTAATCGAAATGACAAGATTTATCTAAAAACTGCCAAGATGGCCGCCAGAATGCAAGATGGCCATCGAAAAGTAAATTAGCTCTAGAAGCTCTTACCATGTAACATGTGTGAACTTTGAAATAAATCTGTCAAGTGGTTTTCCTGGAATCGCGATGACAAGATTAATCTAAAAACTTCCAAGATGGCCACCAGAATACAAGATGGCCGCCGGAAAGTTAAACAGCTCTAGAACTTCTTACCATGTAACATGTGTGAAAATTTGAAGTAAATCCAAGATGGCCGCCAGGATGCAAGATGGCCGCCGAAAAGTTAAACAGCTCTAGAACCTCTTACCAGGTAACATGTGTGAACTTTGAAGTAAATCTGTTCCTGGAGTCGCGATGAAAAGATTTATCTAAAAACTTCCAAGATGGCCGCCAGGATGCAAGATGGCCGCCGAAAAGTTAATCAGCTAGAACTTCTTACCATGTTACATGTGTAAAAAGCAAGTAGTCCGTTCTCCATTATGATCTCCGCATGAAAAAAAATTAATTCATCTGATTTTTCAAAATGAATATACTGCCTTTATTATTACATATATACGCACACTAGTATCTTGACCTTGACCTATATTCAGCACTGTATTGATGTAAAGGCCACTTATTAGGGTCAAAATTCAACCATGAAGTGTAGAGGCATAGATTCCAAACCAGGAATTATTTTTATGCTTATCAAAATCCATTTGCATCCTATGCATCACTACATCTTATCCAAATATGTTACTAAATAATGAAATATAATAGTATTATCTTTTATCTTTGGTTTTACAAACTTGTATGATATTTGATAAGTGTATAAGTTGTTTTTGGAGCATTTTTCTAGAGCCATTTTGTAGGGAAAAAATGATGAAAAAATGTACAATCTTTTAATTTAAAGTATGACCTGAATCGATTGCAAACTTCATACATGTATTTTCACATTTGATTAGAAAAGCCATTTGTGTCATATTGTGAAATTATTAAGTTTGCAAATCAGCTCATAGTGTATTTTTGGTATTTTGGTGATAATTAATGGAAACCAATGGCCTCTATTGGGATCTGCTGATATCCTCATGTTAAGTCAATGATGCACAGCCCATTGTAAGTCAATACAACCTTACTGAACTAAATGGCTTCTATCTCAGCCTATGTGTGCCCGAGCACTTTAATATTTTCCAAAGAGTTATATGACATTGTATTCTTTATGTTACACCTAAGCATTATTCATTTTGACCATAGGGGTATTTGCCAATAAACGCACCTCTTCCTTTGAAGTAAATCCGTTATGGTTTTCCTGGAATCGTGATGACAAGAAAGTGAGACGCCGCCCGTCGCCCGTTAAGCTGACGATAATATCGTACCTTTTTAGGTACGATAAAAAGAGACAAGGTCCTAATCCATAACTTTTCAGAGAGTTGGGTTGATATTTTTATTATCATGGGCACTTCGCTTGAAAGAAGACATATTGTTTTGATAAAAAACACTGTATTTATGGCCAATGGTGAAACACATGACCGTCCAAAATCACTTGCCATATACTTTATCTGGTCCTTTATTGTATAATTTGACAAATGATATTGTTTTTCATCGGAAATAGAACAATGGCTGACTGATGTGGGGATTCTCCATAATGTTAAAGTATATCACAATTACTGTATCATTTTTCGAATGAAGTTTCTGAAATGAAATTCCATATTTTGTAAATTGCAATTGCTGACCCAATCCATATTCCAATGCTTTTCAAATGTTGGTGTGTTTTTTAATATATATATTTATATATAATAAAATAATCCGCAATAAAGGCAGAGAAATTATTCCGACATGTTTTTTATTTAAAAATCGTATACACTTATAAAACAAACATTTTATTAGTGCATATTGAACACCCTGTATAACTGTAAAATTACTCATTTTCATATTTTTGATTAAAGCAAAGTAAATGGACGCGTGGTAAAATACTTGGAGGCTGCAGTGCACATAACACCATGCAATACACACGTGGTAGTAAATATGACTATGATATGTGGGCAGAGCTTGGAAACACAGGGTGGAGCTACAAAGATGTACTTCCCTATTTCAAGAAATCTGAAACACAGCTTGATCCAAATCTAAGCAAATCTAGTAAGTTGGAATTCGGAAATATATCAATAAGGAAACGACAAACGACATAGTTAATGTAAAAAAGTCAGTGTGTAAAGATATCCGAATAGATACACCCTATGCAGACAGATCGAATAAAATTACATTCGCATGATGCGAGACTCGACAATGTGCAGGAAACTAGAAACATTTTGACACCCATGTAACAAATTACCGCATTTTGAACAACTTCTTAACTAAATTATCGCGAAGTAACTCTACAAGCTAAGTATTGTTTGTGAATAGATATGAAGTTGTGCAGTATATTTTGTATGTTATAGAATATCATGGTACCTCAGGGCCTCTACAAGTATCGGGTGGTGATAAAGTTGAAGCTATACAGTATGTTTATGATGCAGCTGTTGAAGCTAACCTCAAGACTACAACGGATTATAATGGCGAAGATCAATTGGGTTAATATAGATTTTCAGGATTTATTTTTGATTTTGAGAAGTGTGTATAGCACCATGTAAATCTATTCCTAAAAGAAGTTTAGAAACTCCATATGAGTTTTAGGCTAAGTTAAAGGCTGTTAATTCAACACAGTTAACCCCTTTAAGGAATAAGTAATTCATCGAGGGTGGCCAAAATTAACTGAAAGCAATGGATCGCATGAGTTTTCCCTATGGGAAAATAACATGGGAAATATTGTTTTCCACTTTATCTAATCTAGGAATCACTTATTCCATTTAAAGGGTTAACTTTGTCTTAAAACGCAACATATTGATGATGCAACAAAAATTGAAAAACAGGGGTGGAAGGGGTTGAAAATCAGGACAACATTTCAGAAAAACATGTGGGTGGGTTGTTTGCATCTTCCCTGTCTCAAAGTTGAAATTATTTTATCATCTCTATGAGTGCTTTTCCTGAAGATAATGCATTGACCTAACATATGCACCTGTTTAAATCCTAAGAAAATAGTCAAAATCCAACATATGACTGTCCGAAATCTGTTGCGATACTTCCCCCCCTCCTTTAGAATAGAAATAGCCAAGAGTATATGCTAAAAGTGTTAGCATTTTACCGTCTCGAAGGTATTTTGACCCAGTTTTGATGGCTTCCGAAAAGTATGCCCCGGCTGCTATGGTAATTTAGAAAGCCAAAATTAAATGCTGCATCTTCAGCAAAAAATCTAAATCCATCTATTAAAAGTAACGCTTTTTGTCCATCCCCTACTTATTACATTGTGCGTTTAACCTTTTCCCAGGCTGGGACTTTACTCAGGTAAGTGTGGATGGCAATGGAGAGAGATCAAGCACTGCAACTGCCTTCTTAGAGCCAAATATGGACAGAAAAAATCTACATGTAGCAACACAAGCTCACGTTACAAAAGTAAGTACCTGCAGAAATTTGAAACTCTCCCATGAAAAATATTTTATGATGTTTCTATCAATTTTGATCATAAATTGATATTCAATAATATGGTAACAGGTTCTCATTAAAGGCAAGAAAGCAATGGGTGTGGCTTATGTAAGGGACTTGGTCAAGAGAAGTGTGAAAGCAAGAAAGGAAGTTATACTGTCAGGAGGTGCCATTGGATCACCTCACATTCTCTTGCTATCAGGAATAGGACCTAGGAAACATCTTGACGACATAGGGGTAATAAGTTTCGTAGAATTATTTAAATTCATAGTTGTGTAGTGACGACAATTGGTAAATCTACAATGTGCTCAGTAACTATCAATATTCTTGGGTTTTGAAATAATCGATTCACAGAATAATATAAGTTTTATTTGCAAAGATGCATTTGATAACGTCGTGATATATTTGGAAGTGTCGATATGGCTGAAAGAGTTAGTCCGTTCTTTCTTAGATACCCGTTGTGGCAGACCTACCAGTTGGGGAAAACATGGAGGACCATCCTACAGCAGACATTCTGAATTTCTTTACAAAAGTTGACTCCATTACGGAAAAGAAAGTGAATTCTTTGCTTGAAACCTGGAAGTATAAACTCTTTGGAACAGGTTAGTTTATCAAATTGTGGTGTGTATTTCTAAGTTGTTAAACATGCTTTTACTGAACAAATAACAATGAATAACTAGAAAAACAGCAACTCTACGGAGTAGCAAATCCCACCGAACAAAACCCATTTTGATAATTAGTGGCCATCTTGAAAATTTCATCTTAAACAGAGCACATCAGCTTCTAAAATTTATATCAAATCCATTCACTGCTATTTGAGATATCAAAGATTACGTTTTATTACGAAGAAATAGTGGCCATTTTGAAGTGCAGCCACCATCTTGTTTACGAAAAAGAGTGGCCATTTTAAAATACAGCTGCCATCTTAAAACTTTCTTAAGTAGATCTCCTTTGTCCCTAGGTAGCAGCATATAAAATTCAAACCAAATTCGTTCACTGGTATAAGGTTTTTTACGAAAAATGGCAGCCATTATGAAATTCAGCCGCCATCTTGAAAATTCTTTCTCAAACAGGGGCATGGCTACTGTGTTCCTAGGCATCAGCATATAAAATTTGAACCAAATCCGTTTACTGGTATTTTGGGGAAAATGACGGCCATTTTGAAATTCAGACACCATCTTGAAAATTCTTTCTCGAACAGAGCTACAGTGTCCCTTGGCTTCAGCAATAAAATTTGAACTAAGTCCACTCACTAGATTTTGAGTTATCAAATATTACGATTTTGAACAAAAGTGGCGGTCATTTTGGAACTCAGCCGCCATCTTGAGAGTTCTTCCTCGAACAGAGCAACTATGTCCCTAGGCATCAGCATATTAACTTTGGATGAAATCCGTTCACTGGTATTTGAGTTATCAACGATTATGTTTTCTTGCAAAAATATGGCGCCCATTTTGAAAATCAGCAGCCATGATGAAAATCTCTTCTTGAATAAAAGCTCATTTGTCCCTAAGCATAAACATATAAAATATGAACCAATCATAGATTACATTTTTACGGAGAATTGGCGGCCAGATTGAATTGAGTGGCCATATCCTTCTCGTGCAGAGGTCCTAAACCCATAAAGCATAAGCCTATGAAATTTGAATCAAATCCGTCAATCGGTATTTGAGTTATTGCCGGGACAGGCGGACAAACGGACGGATGAGCGGACGTCATTTTGTTACTGCTGCATCAGTGTCTTCATTCATATTCGTCGTCTTCTTTCTCAGGCGGACGGCTTTCCTATATCCCCCTCGAACTTCGTTCGGTGTAAATAATAAATGAATTCCTTCATGTTTATCTTTCACAGGTGTATGGAAGAATACAATGGTAAACCTGATTTACTTCATGAAATCTCCCTATCAGCCGGATGATCACAAATTTCCATACATCCAGTTCCACGTATATCCAGTATTATGGGGAAGTGACAAGGGAACCGATTATGCAAAAGACAACATCGGATATACCAATGAAGTACATAAATGTTGAAATAAAGTATCAATTTTGCAATATACAGGGTGTCCCGAAAGTATGCCCCCCCCCCCTAGACAGACATATACCAGTGTCGTCATAGTATGTGTCATTTTAAAGCTTATGCAAAGTTACATTGATTCGCCAAGTATCATATGGTTCAACTCTCAAATGTGAAAAAATTACAGGCATTTTAAAAGCTAGTGTTTGGTCAAAATTGGGTTTAATTTTACACCAAATCACTAGTTAATGTGTCCTCCCGGGCCATCTTAACAGCAGCAATTCTTTTCGGGTCGGATGGATATTGAGTTGGAAAAAGAGAACGGTGAGGGTAGATACTCCATGGAAACTCTTCTAAAGTGCCTTAACAGGTTTTAAGAGGATCATAAAATTCCACAGCCCTATTTGAAGGCCTTTTAAGGTCATATCTGAAAAGAATTGCTGCTGTTTACATGGCCAAGGGGGGACACATTGACTAGTAATGTGGTGTAAAATTGAACTTTATTTTGACAAAACACTAAATTTTAAAATGACTGTAACTTTTTCCCATTTGAGAGTTGAACCATATGATACTTGGCGAATCAATGTAACTTTGCATAAGCTTTAAAATGATATATGGCACATACTATGACGACACTGGTATATGTCTGCCTAGGGGGGGGGGGGTCATACTTTCGGGACACCCTGTACATGTATATGACGCCCCACATTGTTGTTGATTGATATTTTGCATCAGTTTATGTTTCAAGGTACCTCCAAACATGGATGTACTTGTGTCGGTTATGTTTTAATGCATTTTCACTTTTGAAATGCACTATTTCAATGTAATATCGGTTATGGATTGAACTGTTTCATTACAATTTCAGTTATGGAATGCACTATTTCAATGCACTTTCTCACTTATGGAATGCACTTTTACTGATGGAATGCACTGTTTCAATACAATTTCACTAAAATAATGCACTATTTTGATGTACTTTCAGATATGGAATGCACTATTTTCAATGTACTGTCAGTTGTGCAATGAACTATTTCAATACAATTTCAGGTGTGGAATACATTGTTCCCAGATGAGCAACTCGATGGAAAAACTGGGATTAGTACTATTGTCATATTGCTCCATCCAGCAACAAATGGGACGGTTAGACTTCAGAGCACGGATCCATTCGACCACCCATTGATTGATCCAAACTTCCTTGAAAATTCAATTGATGTGAAACATATTATGGCAGGTTGATAAGCAATATTAACTTAATCATTATAAATACTAAATTTTATAACATGGTTATGTCCAAAACATTTAAGAACCAGTGAAACACTTTCAAAATAGCTAGACCAGCTGAATTGAAATCTAAATACAGGGTGACAACTAAGTTTGGATAAAACAATTATTGTAACAGTTATTATAGCAACATGATTAAAATGGCGTCGCGGGTCAATCAAAATTTGAATTTATTTATATTTGATTGATCCAAAAGTATGATTAATCACAATACCTTTTTGGTAAACATATTTCTGTGAATTTTATGTTTTCAAATATTTCTTTCTGCAGATAACATCTGTATGGTGATATAACAATATACTTTGCACTATTTTCGTATTATTCATTAGACTCGTCGAGTCACAATCGATGGCTCAAAAGATGTGGGAAGTTATCATCAATTGTAACCATGCTCCTTTCCACACCTCAGTTCAAACTACCCGTATTGCTTTTGAAGAATTAGGGTTCACATAACTTGCTCATGTTCCATATTCACCAGATAAAGCACCATTTGATTCATTACATTTGGATGTTGAGGGCATCATATGAGTGGTCATCAGTTTGATCATTCTAATAAGAGGCTAATTTCAATGGATCAAGCCAGTCTTCAAGAAATAACAGGGGGAGTACTGGGAAACGTTTTTATGAACTAGGTTTGTCAACAACGCATATGCGTCCAGGCTAATGGAAACTATTATAAATGAAATGATCCTCTCAACACTGAATACCTCTGGATGAATGACTCATGACTGATGAATGATGATGAAAAATGTGCTGACCCTCGGACCATTCTACTTTTTTTTATAATTACAATCAAATAAATTGTAGAAGTGAAAGACTGTCAATTCAGAATAAATTTGAACTAAATTGGTTGAGAAATATTGAAATGGACGATTAATTCCCAGAAGTTAATGATTACGCTGAATTGTATAATATTTTTTAAAAATTATATCATGTTTTAATACAGGAATAAAGGTTTGGACAGAAAAACTTGCCAAAACCAATACATTCAAAAAGGGAGGATTTGAAATGAATACGAATCATCACCCTTTATGTAAGACTCACAAATTCGGCACTGATGCTTACTGGGATTGTTTCATTAGAGCAAACTTGTGGACATTATTCCATCCAACATCGACATGCAGAATGGGACCAGCGAGTGACAAGAACTCTGTTGTAGACCCACAGTTAAGGTACCTATAGCTTTGGTTTATAAGTCTACCATTGCTTTAGTTACGACCATGGAAATTATGCTCGCACTTTCCATTTTTTATTACTTTTTTGGACAAGTGGTAACACGATGAAATTTAAACATAATACGACAATTTTAATGTTATTCTGGCATCTTTTTATGGATTTGGATATTATAAAAGTATTTCGGGGCTTCTGTATTTAGGGTCACCTTGTAATCAATTTTTAATTGACATAATCGTGTTTGCGCGCGAGATCTTACAATTTATCTCAATGTTTTGCAGAGTGAAAGGGATTGAGAATCTGAGAGTGGCAGATGCATCCATTATGCCTCATGTCGTATCAGGCAACACAAATGCGCCATCTATTATGATCGGAGAAAAAGCTGCAGATTTGATTAAACAATCGTAAAGATTAATTTGCGTTTACAATATACGAGCTAAATTGACTTCAAACTCATTCATTGATTCATTTATTCATTATGATGGGAGAGAATATTCTATATTATATGGTGCAATGATTTTGTGAATTCTTTAAAAATCAATCTACTGGTGTGACCAAATAAACTGAATTTATAGACGATAGAATTCTATCAAAACAACCGATTTGCAATCATCTCCAAGACTCAAGACTCCAAATCATTTCGACATTGGGCCTACTTTCGACCAACACTGCTGCATAAAACAGATGGTAATGGTGATCCGACTAAACAACTTCAGTTCAAGTCCCAGGGTAAAACAGTGTCTACAATGATGGCCTACGAAATCTTCAGGTTGAATTCCAGCTTTTGCCGAGTGTAGACGCCATACATTGGGAATATTATATTCATGCCCAATGATTCAATTAAAACAAGAGAACGGCCTGTGGCAAAAGATAATCTCAGTGGCATTTGGAGAGCCAGGAAATGATAACGTAATAAACCTCTTCAGGCTAATATGTTTTTAGTCTTTATATTACAGCTAGTTACGATAATTCACAAATAAAATTTCGCGGTTTGTTTGACCGCTTGCTTGCTTATATAGTGTTTGTTTATTTTGTTAGTATGCTCACGCATTTTAACAAAAAGAATATTGAACTATTCATTTACGCATGTCATACAGTCTGATACAGAGGTTAATTTCTATTTCAAAGGGCTCCGTTTTCAATCCAAATGGCTATGCTTGAATTCTTAGAATCGGTTTTAACAGAACTTGTACGTGGACGTGTAGAATTATGGTCCTCCATCGTGGATTTGTTCTCCTCTTCGTAGCATTTTCCGATTGAATGTAATTGTATCATCTTTGGGAAATCTCCCTGGAGATTTCCCAAAGATGAGCCAATTTTATAAACAGGCCTCATTTGCCATTGAAATTGATCTCAGAATGTTCCCTGTTGTTTTATGACTATTCTTTACAAGTTTGGATTTAGTAACTTAAATAGTATTACCGTAATTTTGAAGTGATTATGTTGAACTGATGTTAAAATGAAATAAAACACCATTTCCACGATGAATTATGTTCCTGAATACGAAAGAATACGACATAATTATGGGAGGTAAGTACTCACTTCTGAGTTGGGCCCATAGAAAAAACAATTAAGAGAGTCAGAATCAGACGAAATGGCGGATAATTTGACGTGCATAGAAACTGGGTGTTATTGATTACTTTGGCATACATTATGTATTTTCTTATTTTTTTACCCTTGAATAGGTATGTTTAAATATATTGTATAAAATGTATAGATATGTGTTTGCAATCACTGCAAATTGGTATGTCATCCCTTTTTATGCCCATAAAATGCATACATTTCTCAGTAAACAAGTTTGTGTTTTTTCTTGAGTTTGTGTTTGTTTTCCTTGTACCCTTGCATAATTTGGATTTTGCCAGGATGCAAAACAAAGAATCTACTTCTTGTGGCCTAATCAAAAGCACCCTGTCTATCGGTCCGGTTGGGGCCAACCTATAAGAGAGTTCAAAATATTCACTGGTCCAAAAATTTCAAGTTCGTCCTAGTAATACTCTACCAGCGACCACTAGCGCAAATTGATTTCAAATATGATCATACAATCGATACAGGGTGCTTTATAACCTGACCGAACAATTGATTTATCAACATGCATAGGTGTAGCCGGGGGGGGGGGTGTGCGATGGGTCGCCCTGACTGAAAGCTGGCTACACCCCTGACATGTGTACCGATGTTTTACCCCCACTTGGAGTTATGCTAGCTAGAAACAAAATGATCTTTTTCGATCAACCATCAAATAGACATGAAATTAATTATATTTACATGTAGATTAAAAAGTTTGCTTAGAGATGAAGGGTCGGAATAACTCAGTCTAAGTAGGCTACCTTAACACTGATGCACTTTCAATTACATGTGGGCCATCATCTAAATCACGACACCAGTTTTGGGGAAATTAGTTTCAATTATGGGAACACAATCTAAAGGAAAAGACCTGCACAGGTAAATCAATCAAATGATTTATTTAATTCATACGCCAGCCTTGCGCAACTGTCCGGACTTTTTGTCCGCTTTAAGTTACAATTATATCCTTTAAGGCAGTGTTGGGTGATTGATATCGCTCGTCGCGATAGCAACATTTTTTCAATTTTACTTTATAGCTTGTATACAGACTAGAATACACATGTTCCCATTTCACCAATGCAAGCAAGATCTCGAGTAGACTGGTGGGTACTATTCTAGTATTTTCTCTAAACGCAATTTTACATAAGAAGTTAATGTGATCCTTTACATCAAGAAAAAATCGAGATTGCTACCGCCACCGATGAAATATTCAATGGCTTGATAGCGCAATCTTTATACCAGCCTGTTTCTTTTGGGTTGTTTTATACCGTGTCAGATTTTCGCTTCTTATATTGATGCTCTTGATAAAAACGCCATTTTCTCCCTTTCATAAATCTGAATCATAATTACACTGGCATCGTAAGTTATACCAGAGAACAAATATACATTTTAAGAATGAAAATACATATTTAGAAAAAACACATTTAAGAATAAAAATACGTTTGAAATACCAGATAATGTTCAAGCATTATCTATTTGTGATATTTTGCTTTTTAAGGATTTATACAAGAGAGAAATGTTTCTTCGGTGTCATTTATTACAATTTTTGCCGCTAATGCTATTAATTTTAAAAAATAGCACATATTTGTAGAAATTCATTTATACACAAGAAACATAAACAAATTAAAATTGAAAAAAGCACAACTTGGATTCTTTGTTTATCTGTGCAGGATCGCCATTTGCAAAATATACGACGTACGAAAACTTGCACACAACGACCGCGCATATAAATAATTTACTATACCAATTTGATGCATCATTTATGGCCAAATGTTGTTGAAAAACGTACGTTTCATAAGTAGTCATAATCTTAATAGTCCGGACTCAGTATCGCAGGACTTTAACTACATGTACTCTGAGCTGAAATTTATTCGATGCGGGTTAATTCTCTCAGTCCAGATAAGTCAGAAGAATGTTAAGTTAGTTTATTGCCATAATGTTATCACTGGTTTCTTAATTTTCCCTGCAACTAGGCCACAAATAGAATACTTGCCAAGAATCGAATAATTTAGATTAGAATGAACGCTGTTCAAGAGAGTCGAATACGAAAAGAACCGTAACTCCGGTGTATATGAAATAAGATCTAGATTTGGTTGTAAATTAACCGACGGGGCCTACCCATTAACACTGTTCTATATTTGAAGTGGAAAACGCAATACTTGATGGTATTATGAGAAATTAGATGGACAGTGTCGGACTTGAAGCTCTCGAAGTTCCCTATAGGTGATTCTTCGTGAATGATACATGATTAATCAGCACTGCGTCTAAATATGAAGAGTGACGGACTTCATCATGACAGAAAACCATCTAAAGCTACGTACATGTATGCATATAATGATTTCTATATTTGTTTCTACGCAAATCAAAAGATCGAAAAATTTTGACTCATCATTTTTTAACAAGTTAGCTTATTCCAAAAAAACTAACTACATCAACCTTACAAGATCGACACCAATACAATTGACAAAATTGCACAGTTGCACTTATTTGGTTCTGTTTTTTCACTTTAATAAAATAATGACTTTTTCTCTTTTGCAGGGTTGGCTCTTTTCGAAGACGTCAATCAGCCGTTGATGTCCTTCATAGTATGAGTACGCCACCTAAGACGCCAACACGCCGTTCCCTCAGCTTATGTGGCGAAGACAACGTAAAACTAAAGGCACAAACGACGAACGCAAAGAACGATAGCGAGTTCATTCAGACAAAGAAACACATTGGGCCGCTCTTCCCAAAAGAGAGAACGATTGGTGGTATATCATTGACAAATATCAAATTCATTTGCATAGTGTTATCCGTGTTGTTGGCGTGTCTGTTGGTCCAGAAAATGCCCGTCAGTAAAGACCATACAACTGAGAGTAACAATGCAACTGGGGCAAACATGAAACATATCCCCGGGGATTGGAGACCTGCTGATACTGCGACGCTCAAGAAATATGGCTCAAATAAGTGTAACATTGATAGGGTAAACGCCGATGACCTAACTGAGGAGAAATTTGAATTGATTTATAGATTAAAGAAACCTGTGATTGTTTATTTCGATAATGGCGCCGCTGCTTGGACGGACCCTTCATTATGGACGCTATCCTCTCTGAGAGCATCCTACGGTGACCTTGTTGTAGGATCGGGAAGGGCGGATGACATCGTTAAGAACGGAGGGAACGGAGACATTAAAACCACGCTCAATAAGTTCATAGAATTGTTCATGGACGATAAATCGAATAATGTTGCTGAACCATTGTAAGTACGAGGATAAATCAACAAGATTTGAAGTAAACACTGTTCGTGTACGAGGTAAAAAGAGAAATTCTATGTTTTCAATTCTGTCGGATATATACCCCTGAAAAGATCGTAGATCAGTAGTTATTCGAGTGTTTTATCATAGTATGTCAGACTGAACAAGGGTCAGTAAGGGGCATTCATAAGAGGTATTAATCCGCGGGCAGCAATAACTGTCACGCAAACTTTTGTTTTTCTAGCTATTTGTTCGACAGGAACTTCTACAAATCAACAGAGCTCCAACATTCCATCAAGCCACCTCCGTATTTCAAGTCACAGGTAAGTAAAATAGTCACAAAATAAAATAATTACAAAACATATAAGATAATGTGTAACTCTGTTTATCTAAAATAGTATCTAGCATGGAATTGTATTTTTCTATCAAGCTAGGGGGCAGGGATAAGCCTAAAAATGAGGCTCTTTGGGCTTCATTTTCAAAATAGGCTTTATTTTGGAAGAGATACGATTTTTCTTCCACTCTACTGGAATTTCCAGATGCGGTCCTGAAAATAGCCCCTATGCTCCATACGGTCTGAATCGGTGGTCCCACCCTTACAAATTAAGTGTGTACTATCTGTTTCAGACCACCTCAAAGGAAGATGCCATCGTTTTTCTAGGGAGCTCATTAAGTGGTGTTACATTCCACCAACATGCAGACACGTGGAACGGTGTCATATTTGGTCACAAAAGATGGTTCCTGTACCCACCCGACCAAACGCCACCTGGTGGTAAGTTAACAACATTATTTGTAGGATGAGTGCATTGATTTTTTATTGAATATGGTTATTTGCCAGTCCTCCCCAGGCCAGAACTCATATTCAATTCCTGGCCAGGAAATTGGCATTGTACATGTATGTAGAGATTATTTACTGGGAGGGATTGAATATGGGGTTTATTCAGAGGGACAATATGATATTTCCCGAGGGCCCGTAGTGCGAACATGTCTCTCATCTATGAACCATACCGGTTTTTAAAATATCGTTAACGTACGTGTTTACTGTTTACCCCTATAGAGGTGTACATTTTCATATTGTTTACCCCATATTTCAGGCGTATTAGCAGGGTTCGTACCCACAGATTGGTATACTATGGTTTACCCCTCACTTCACCCTGAAGATAAACCAATGGAGTGTATGCAGAATCCCGGAGAAATTTTGTACTTGGTAGTATCAACATTTCCATTGTAAATAGGCTTTTTAATCATTGAAATCTTGGCACATTTGCTACACCAAAGGAAATGGGATATATTGTATAATTGACCAGGCTTCCAAGAATTCTTCAAAATTAGCTTAAATTAGTTAATCCTATTTTTACTTACTTCCCACAATCTACAAAAATAACGATCGTAAACTCTACACTTATATTACGTGAGTGATAAATCAAATAAGTGTCATATACTATCGTTGTTACCAGAATCTACGTTTTAGAAGTGCCCTATAGTACTAATGTTACTTATGACCCCGCTAATGCCTCAGTCACATTTGATCTACGGCAATCGAACGTAGGCCGTAGCTCCCCAAATGTGAGAGAAATATGCAGCTTAAATATAAGGATTAGCAACGACAATGTAGACTTTCAATATCGATTTTGGGAAGCTACGGCAGCCGTACGCCTGCAAATGTGACTGAGGCTTTAACTGGAATCCGACGTCTATATTTCCAGCCTGAATATACGTATCATTCAACCATCAACCTGGGTGATACTGTGGCTGTGGGGATCCAGAAACTTCTTCCAGTCACACAATATGGACGCACACATCACAGTAGTACGTACAGAGCACATCATAAATTAAATTAAATATTGCTCCGTAACAAAAATTACTGAAAGTATACCTGGGAAAATATTCCAAGCTTTATAGGACTGATCGTGTTCTTGAAATACAATCATTCGCATATATGACATAAACATATTCTTCCAGTAAAGCATTCCTGCCTTAAACAAAAAATACTCTTATGTTTCAGTGATGCGCCCGGGTGTCTTTAAGATACTTAAAGATGAATATGGCACCACAACTTCAGATCCTCCGACCTCTATAGCTCTGATTACATTCCTGAAACTAGTGGCTGAAAAACCAGGTGGGGTATACACTATACAGTTGTCATTTATGTTTTAGTAGGGTCAACACTTTAATTTAAATACAGGTAAGGTCAATTGTACAATTTACATAAAGGCAGTCCAATGTTTCTATTAATTTATATCAGAAATGTGAATCAAAAATTAACATATTTTAATGAAAATGCGGCCATTTTGAATTTCAATGACCATCTTGATGAAATGTTATCGAGCAGAGGTACCATGTTCCTGAGACATCAGCACAAAATGTGAATCAAATTCGCCGACTAAATGTTCAAAGATAAAAATTATCACAATATATGCAGAGTCTGGGTCCTATGTTTGTGGGATAGAGCATCAGACTATATCTCAAGAAAACCAACCGAACGCACGAACTGACAGATGGGTTCTGTATATCACTCCCAAACAATCCCTTATAGTATGCATCCATATTCAATCATTCAAAAAACATAGATTCACAAATACAAATATTTTTACTCCAGATAATACAGAGCTCAAGTATAAACTGGCTGGAGCTTACGCTAAGGTTGGAAGAATGGAAGAGGCAAGAGAAACCTACAACAAAGTCCTGGAAATGGACCCATACTTTATCCATGCTTACTTAGACTTTGCTACCATGTTGTACAAGGTGAAATTTGATTAAATGCTGATTCTGCCGCATCCTCCAACACAGTACTCCAGGCATCGTCTAATCTGGAGGAACAAACTGGATGATGTCTGGAGTACTGTAATCATGCAAATGTTTGGTTTGAATTAATGTCTACAGCTCTTCTGGAAAGATACATATAAAAGACCGCATTTTATTTAATTTTTATATTTTTATGGGGGAGGGCAGGTTAACTTCTTCTTTCACTGATGTTGGATCTGACACTGCTCCCATATTTTTCCTTTGTTTCAGATGAAGGAATTTAAGGAGGCAGAGAAGAATCTCTTGGCTGCCTTGAAGTTCAATCCCAAAAGTATGGAGGCCCTTCACAATTACGGATTGTTACTGACAAATCTAGGTCGATTCAAAGAAGCTACCGGCACCTTCAAAAAGGTACATCGGCGTATGATCTTTTACCTTAATGTTCATGTACATAAAAAGGGAGGAACGCCACATCATCACTTAAATTTTCATTGCAGATGGTAGCCTTGAGACCTTGGAAGAAAGGACCGAGGGAGTTATTGGCGTATGCCCAAGGCAGGGCTGGCGACGTTAAAGGACAACAGGCCACAAAAAACACAATAGAACAACTTGAACGATCCGGGAAGATATACACACAATAACTGAATGTTATGTAATGGTTAAACCCGGAGAAAACTCAGCATTTGCTTTGAACAAAAGGCTGCAAGTTGCAGAATATCTCATCCAGTTTCCTGCATTTGGAGGATGTTTTAGCTGATTGTTGAAGTGAATCAATAGATTATTTCCTATATCGACGGAAAATTGGATGGAAGTGCGTGGTGTGGTCGAAATTGTAGGTACAGAGTAGATTGAGAAAGTCACTTAATTTCTTTATCCATCAAGTATGTCACTGTTTGCATTATACACAATGACAGTTATGCAAATCATTATAACTTCGCTCTTGTTGGAGGGATTTATGAATGGAAACCAGATAGAGGAATATACTATTATGAAGCAACGGATTATCTTATATGAGGTTCACATTTCGTAGGGATGATATACAAAATGTCAATGGTTGAGGGAGGGAGAAAATGAATATTTTGTAAAGTGCAAAATATTATTTTCAGCATGACATTGGCCAGCTCCCAAAGTCAAGTGTAATATCATTTCGAGTGACTTCACATAACCATCGGACTTGTGAAGCAGATGGGATCAGTCCAAGAAATGACTACTAGTAGTGAAGAATGACCGGTGAGAATGGAGGTTGAGACATTGCCGTATTAACAAACAAATAACTTGTGAAACTAGATATGGCTGTAAAGTATGGAATAAAACACATGTTCACCTGTATAAATAAAGTGTAAAATGGCGCCATGATCAGAGAACATTCTGTAAATATTATACATAATGTAAAAAAATGTTAAAATGGAAACTGACAAGAGTGTTACAAATTATCTTCATTCTACAAAGTTTCTTGCATCTGTTTTGACCAGTATTCTCTAAATATTTATCCTATGAGGGGGTAGTGTTACAAAAAACTAGTTGAACTAACAGAACAATTATTTTTACAAGTATATTTCATTCATGTTTATTTTAAAAAATATCCATTCCATAGTTTTGCCACTGTTTGAAAACAGCAATACATAATCTGAATGTTTCTTCATATGACACCCTGTCGAAACAGGTAGAAAGTTAATTGTGTACATTAGTTGCAACTTTTGCAAGTTGGATGTGCTTCAGATTCATGATTATTGTTACAGTCGCTTATATGCTTAACTCCTTATGGATGGTGTCAAAATGTTGTCACTTGTGAAAGAAATTCCAATAGTTACATTAATATCTAATCTCCAAAATATTTGTGGTTTAAATTACAACCTGACGCATTCAAATTTAATCACTATCAGAGGCATCAGATCCACTATCAGCTTCCTGTACATTAATCGAGAACTTATATTCCTGATCACAGCCGAGATATGCATCACTCATATAGTACAACATGTAGCTATGGTGGCCCACTGCGGGGGCTACAAAGTCCAGTTTCACCTTGGCTTTCTGTTGGAGGGTGAGACGTTTAATTGAGATGAGCGAGTTCGACTTGGTGTCTCCTATAATCACCCACCAGCCTTCTTCACGTTTCTGGAATATCGGAATAATTTTTCATTTAAATCCACAATGCAAATTATGAACAGTAATTTGACTTCAGTTTTGTGATTTATGTGGTAAAGGAATAGGTGATGAATTTCATGTCATTTTAGAATGCAAAGCTTTAAGTTATATTAGAAAAAGATACCTTCCTAAATGTTATACCACAAGACCAAACACACAGAAGTTTGAGAAATTAATGAATTCAAACAAAAATATACTCATAAAACTTTGTAAATTTTTAATCGAGGCTGGGCAAAAAAATGTTCTTACATGTATATAAATGTTATTTTAATGTTTGTTACTGTATTAGTTAAGTTTGTCTTTTGTACTCTTATACCCTATAAGGGGTGAATTGAGAAATCAATAAATAAATAAATAAATAAAAAATATCAATCTATTTTATTTCAAATACTTATTAAACGAGATATTGTACTTATACAAAATTATTAAAAATTGATTTATATCAATCTATCTGAAATATTTGTAAAATAAGAAATTGTACTTTATACAAAAATATTAAGAAATCCGCAAAGGATCTTACTGTCATGTACAGTAAAACCTGTCTTGTCCAAATACCACTAGGACTTGCCAAAGTGTTCAGAACAGCAGGTTTTCACATTTCAAGTTTTTTTATAAAGGGAATCAATTGGAGATTAAAAAATAGGGACTGAAAGGGTGTTCATAATCACATTGAGAGGTGTTCAGATAACCGAGGTGTTCAAATATACAGGTCTCACTGTACTGTGAAAATCCCAAAAGCCAAGTGAGTGAATAAATGAATTGATATCACCTTTGGGACAAACTTTTTATATCTGAAAAGCCAACTCACCTGCGGGAAGAACGGGGCAATAACAGGCCCAGACACGTCATCCTCACGCTCCAGGGTGACAACAATATTTACAGGTGAGCCACTTGAGATAGAAGCCTTATCCTGGACCTCATAGGTAAGCTCAATGTTCGGGTATCTGTTACAGAACCTTGCAACATCCGCCATTTGAGCCTCAGTCATCTTGAGGAGTTCATTGCGGTCTGCATCTTCCATCTCCATGACATCAAATATAGTGTCAACAGACTGCAACAGAAAACAAGGGTTAATATATTAACTCTTATATTACCAAACATCACTAGTGATTTTATCTCATTTCCATGGTTTACTCAAGCAATTGTAGCATTTTTGAACAAGCCTTCTGCTGTATATAGTTATTTCCATTAAAAAACGTACAAAGGTTACGTAGAAAGAGCATTACATAAGGGTTGGACATAGTTACATTCAAATATCCAACATATTTTGCCTCAAAATTATCCAAATATTCAACATGTTTTGCCTAAAAAATTATCCAAATATCCAAAATGTTTTTCCTAAAAATTATCCAAATATCCAACATAAAGGGACTCAAAAGTTTTTGATTCAGTCATCTCATTGTAATAACTGTATTGTTACCCTGAGGCTAATTGTAATAGTTATAATCCTCCGAATATGACAAATAAATGACAGATAAAGTATTAACAAGGCATTAACATGCAAAATGCCAGCGCCTGCCATTTATTACAGATGCCGACCTCCAAACACAGACCACTGAACACAAAAAGTTGGAGACTATAACAATTGTGGTAACATAAAAACAGTACCATGTTGTCCAATCACTTACCTTCTCTTGACAAGCCTTGACGAGGTCTGCAGAGAAATGTGGGAGTTGTTTAAGATAGGAGTCTCTGCTCCACATTGCCTGGGTAACCATTTGAGCCAGCTCCATAGCAGCCAGGGCTGGAGATAACCACCCATTACTACTAAGTACATCCACACAAGCTTGAATTAACCTCACAGCCTACAAAAATAAAGAAAATTATATACAATCAATCAATGATTTTTTTTTAATGTTCCCTCGTATATGTGCGATCCAATATTGTGGTGTCCCAAAAAATCACTTTTTTGGAGTTGAGCTTAGCACAATTGGGGTTTGGTTCCTTTTGGGGAGTTTATTAAGTGTGTAAAATATTATAGAGACAGATCGATGTTTCAGTTGTTGGAATTAGACCTAAAAATGTAACGTTTTTGGCAAAAATCGCACTTTTTGACCAGATTTACTGAAGAATAATGGAAACCTACCTCACCTTCTGTTCATAAATATGAAGGCTAAATGAAAGGTTGTGCACCACATTACCACTCTAAGTAAGAATACTGCTGAGATTTGGGTATATACCCTCCAAAAAGACTCTGAAATGAGGCTAAAAATGACATATTTTAAGATTGAAATCAATGGGTAACATTCATACGTATTACAAATGTTTTATTTAGCTATAGATATGCAGATCACATAAGTAAGTTCAGATCAGTTCTTCAGGTCAGTTCTTCAGATAAAATTGTCCATATTGTCCATTTGTTGTTTGTTAAGGTTTTTAAAATCAAGAAGCTGGCGGTGATGGTTAACCACCATCTGAACACGATCGCGGCGATCCACACCCTTACCGTAGTTTGCGAACTCGGTAACATCCTTGATTGCCCGTTCTGCACAATCGTTAACTACTTCCATGGAAGTAACGAGCTCCTTAAATCTAATATACTCTGGAAACTGATCCCAGTTGTCGGGATTAAATTCCATCCAGTGTACATCTACTTGAAAGAGGTCAAAAATTAACCATGACCTTTCCCCACCAAAGTTTTCAAGCGTGACGTCCCCTGGTCTTGTTAACAAGTGATCTTTCATTTGTGTTTTCTGTGGAGGAAAGTTCTGGGGACGACCTGCATCTATCATTACTCTGATGATCTCAGATTTCTTCTCACCCTTGATGTTGTTGTCACATAGTGACAGAGGTAACAGTTCCTCAGAGAGGTACCACATATGCCGTTTAATGGATACAAGTACCTTGTTGACGAGTTCAGGATCAGATGCCTAAAAGCCAGATGTTGGTTATTGTTCAGATTGCACATTATGATTTTGAATCTTGATTTTTCATTGTTCAATATTTTACATGACGAAAAAGAAGAATTGTTACCTGAAACTGAAGAGTATTCTCCCAGAACTCTAAATCCACCCGGGGAGCAACTGCAGGAATCATGGCCTGAAGGAAGAACTTGCCGTATAAGAAGAGAGTAAACCTTGCAATTCTAACCACTTGTTGCAATTCTCTAGGAGTAACAATGTGTGGAGGAAGCTGGTGCCTAGTCATCAATATTTTGATGAGATATATTGCCTTTGACATAAACCGCGCATGGCTAACTGCACCTGGTCTTTTCATACGCCACTGGTAGTTGTAAATGTTACCACCCAAACCTCGTCTTTGGACCTACATACCAAGATATCTCTCAAATTAAAATCAAGATGACAAGTACTGCGCATATTACTCATTTAGAGTTCTGGGAGAATACTCTTCAGTTTCAGGTAACAATTCTTCTTTTTCGTCATGTAAAATATTGAACAATGAAAAATCAAGATTCAAAATCATAATGTGCAATCTGAACAATAACCAACATCTGGCTTTTAGGCATCTGATCCTGAACTCGTCAACAAGGTACTTGTATCCATTAAACGGCATATGTGGTACCTCTCTGAGGAACTGTTACCTCTGTCACTATGTGACAACAACATCAAGGGTGAGAAGAAATCTGAGATCATCAGAGTAATGATAGATGCAGGTCGTCCCCAGAACTTTCCTCCACAGAAAACACAAATGAAAGATCACTTGTTAACAAGACCAGGGGACGTCACGCTTGAAAACTTTGGTGGGGAAAGGTCATGGTTAATTTTTGACCTCTTTCAAGTAGATGTACACTGGATGGAATTTAATCCCGACAACTGGGATCAGTTTCCAGAGTATATTAGATTTAAGGAGCTCGTTACTTCCATGGAAGTAGTTAACGATTGTGCAGAACGGGCAATCAAGGATGTTACCGAGTTCGCAAACTACGGTAAGGGTGTGGATCGCCGCGATCGTGTTCAGATGGTGGTTAACCATCACCGCCAGCTTCTTGATTTTAAAAACCTTAACAAACAACAAATGGACAATATGGACAATTTTATCTGAAGAACTGACCTGAAGAACTGATCTGAACTTACTTATGTGATCTGCATATCTATAGCTAAATAAAACATTTGTAATACGTATGAATGTTACCCATTGATTTCAATCTTAAAATATGTCATTTTTAGCCTCATTTCAGAGTCTTTTTGGAGGGTATATACCCAAATCTCAGCAGTATTCTTACTTAGAGTGGTAATGTGGTGCACAACCTTTCATTTAGCCTTCATTTTTATGAACAGAAGGTGAGGTAGGTTTCCATTATTCTTCAGTAAATCTGGTCAAAAAGTGCGATTTTTGCCAAAAACGTTACATTTTTAGGTCTAATTCCAACAACTGAAACATCGATCTGTCTCTATAATATTTTACACACTTAATAAACTCCCCAAAAGGAACCAAACCCCAATTGTGCTAAGCTCAACTCCAAAAAAGTGATTTTTTGGGACACCCTAGCTCAGAGATCCCATCCTTTTTTGTGTTATCCCATGCTGATTTCAGGGAACATAACTTGGAGGGTCCATTTTTAGCAACCCCATTTTTTAAGTGATCTCTCATTTTTGAGAGATTTCAAGTTTTGCCAATCCCAATTTTTTGATTTATCTTACATATTGACTAAATCCAATGAAAGTAATTTAAAAAATCACAAATAGAACACACAGTAGAGGTCTTGGGTTCAAACCCAGGTCACAGCACTTCTTGTGATTTGTCTTTGACCTATGACTGCTGACCTATACCGGCGATTACTAGAGTGCTGCTAACTCGATAAAAGGCCGGCGCTGGCTAGAATTGTCTATGGTTCTAGCCAGGATAAAGATACCAGTTCTTCAACTCGACAATGGGAAGAACTGCTCTATCTTAGTGACTAATATGTCATGATATGACATCTAAAGAGTCGATAAAAGATATATATACAATACAAAGCTACTTTTGAACAAAATTATTTCATTTGCACACAAATATAGATCACTTATATGTGCTTTTACCTTATTCAGTATTTGTTCAGTATCTGACTGTAGTTCTGCAGAGAGTTGCATTCTGGAGAGATGAGCCTGGATTAACAGGTTTGTCTTCACATGGGGGTCGTTAAACTTGGGGTTGTTTATCTTGTTAGGCAGCTTAGCAGCTAACTGAAATATCAAATATATGTAATTAACAAAGATAATCTTGTAAAATGCAATTTTCATAATTTCATAGTTCAATCACATAAGGTTATTGAATCCATGGCCAAGGATGATGAAAATCATTTTGATCCAACAAAAAGCAGAGAATTTTCAATTTTTAGCTTTTTGTCATTAACTGGCCACTTAAATTGGTGGCAGCGAATTTCAAAAGGTTTATTATTGGGTACATCTGTCTGATGACACACCAAATATTGTTTTGCAAAATCTTAGACCAGAAATATTAGATTACTAATAAGATAATTAGATTACATTGGTTTTACAGTGTGGATGAAAATCACAAATGTACAGTACTTGATGTCTTCTAAGCAACAATGATTTTCTAGATTAAAACATTTAGAGACCATACCTGTTTGAGAATAGAGTCTTCATTATGCCTGATGGAAAGTTCCTCATACTCTGCAGCATTAGAGATAATCTCTATGAGGCCTCGTATCTTTGTCTTAGCATTGAGAGACATACTGAACAGCTCTATAGTTGTGTAGTTGATGTAGTAATAGGCTGAGATCATGCCAAGATTCAATGGGGAGATGTCCATCTCATCCTCAATGCTGATGCACTGGAACATGAACATCAAGCATGTTACATATCATTTAAAACCTGCACAATCAAAGATTGTTCACAGAGGAATTTCTTGAATTGAAGACATTGTCATCTGTCATTGGTTTATTATCTCGATGGAGGATAGACATGACAAGTAATGATATGGGCCTAAAATTAACATCATATTTGGAAATATCCTTATTAGATTATATTTTATTACCTTGGACTGCTCTAGATCTGAGAGAGTATTCTCCACCAGTTCAGACAAGTGGTCACTGAGATGTCTGTGTGAGACACCCTGTAGATTGTAATAGTTGGGATTCTGTGTCATACGTCTATACAGGAAAGTCCAGGTCATGTAATCGACCGCATCTTGTTTGTTTTCTATCGTCTTGGTGACAATCTCTGCATTGAAATGGTCGTGCATACAATGGTCCAAATGAGACTGAAATAACAAATATTTGATTAAGAAAAATGTTTGGGACATTAGGGTAGTTGTCAGGATCCAAATATAGACAAGGCAAAATGTGAGGCGAAACCTCAGTTTATTTTCATTTTAAAAACTTTGAGATATAATTTAAAAACAAGAATAACTAAGTAATGAATGGATTCCATAGAAGTTACTAAAAGTGCATATTATCAATTTTTTTGATTTTGAACACCAACAGGCAATAAAAATGATCAAGATACTGTGTGCATGCAAAATATAATGAATAATGAAAAAATGAATGATGAATAAAACCTACAAATTGAAATATCTTACCTCAACTGGTAATTGTTCATAGAGGAATTTTTTGAAGAAATCTTTTTTTGAAGTTTGACAAAGGAGGACAGCCTTCCCATCATCATCTTTCAATGGTCTGTTGGCTCGACCAATCATCTGTAAGACATCTGTAACAGGGTAGTCCTCGTATGCGTGGATCTTTCCTGTACATAGAAATAAACATTATGGAAATAACATTATTGTGGTTATGCTTTCGAATATAAAACAGAGCTAAAATGTGAGGAATAAGCAAGGAATAAAATATACAGGCATGAAGTCAACAAATCTCTAATTGTACAAAAATACCCTGTACTTACCATTATAATATTGTGTATCCATGACAACTACAAGATGTGCTGCAATGTTGATTGCCCATGCGAGACTCCTAGAGACAACAGCCACCTGTATAGCTCCACTGTTAAACAACTGCTCAATGAGTTTGTGTTCCAACTCTGTTAATCCCTCATGTAGATACGCCACACCATTGCTCACTGTCTCTTTTAGAGTCTAGGAAAAACAACAAGTACAAATGCATCAAAAGATGGCACTACTGTTCTTTGACATAAAATGTATTTAGTAAGTTAATATATCAAGTCAAGTTGAATCAACATAATACAGATATTTAGTACTATATTGTATAAATATATAAGATGAACATTATTTAGCTATAATCCCTATCTTTGAGCCAGCTTTCAATAATCCTGTTTATTAACTGGAACAGAATTCATATTGATTTGAACAATATGTTCTCGGCCCCTAACTTTGATCTAAGATTGAAACCATATTTTTATCATTTGCAAACTATTTCCAATAACTTCAACGTTTTTAAAGATTTTTTTTTTGAAAAACAACTATCTGCTCTTTGTTTTTCAAATATTTTATTTCCTTTTCGTTAATTTTCAGAGAATTTTTTTTCAACCCTTCAAAAACCACACTGTGAACTGGCAACAATTAATAAATAAAACATGATTCGCCTTCTTACCTTATCTGTCATCTTCTCCAGGAATGGTTCCAGATCTGACTCCTCTACATGCAGGAATCTGCTTGGTTGCATATCTGCTGCGCAGAATGTCAAAATATCAATTGCTGTCAGCCGTGTCTGCTTCCTAGATGGCACAAACACAACTACTGGTTTCTTGGGTGAATGTTTTGTAATGGCGTGATACACTGGTTTGCCCATTGCGACGATTCTGGAGGCATTATGGGTAATATTGAAACCCTGGATGTGAAGTTCGAGGGGTACTGGGCGGACATTTGGATGGAAGTTGAACGTTCCATTAGCACTAGCACCCAACCATTGGGCGACATCCTTAGCATTTGATAGCGATGATCCAAGGGCGATGATTCGTATATTGCGCTCAATCTGTGATGAAATATACCGCATCCTGGAGCAAATGACTTCTAGGACGGGACCATCCTCTCCACCTATCAGCTGTAACTCATCAACGATAAACACACTGACGTTTTGTACATTCTTACGCTGTTTCCACCTTCTGGATAGAACGTCCCAGTTGCCAGGAGTACTAATTATGATATTACCCTTGGCTAGAAGTTTCAAGTCTGTACCAGTCTCTCCAGTTAAGAGGACAACCTTCTTGCCAAGTTGAAGACTAAACTTATTGTGCCAGTCACTGTAGACCTGCAATTTCAAAATGAAAATATTGATTCCCACGAATTATTTCATTGAAATATTCAATTTTGTTTGTTTAGTTAAAGTTCTGAGGCTACATAGTATGGAGACTGAAAGAGAGATCTTTTGGTTAATCTCAGGCATAAGTTCAACATTTGAAAAGCCTAATTTATGAGAAATGCAACTTGTGCCCTTACATGTGACTTGATCAAACACATATTGAATATCCATTTTATGTAAGCATAAAACAAATGGCTTACATTCCCGAATACTCTTAAATTGACAGACAAAAATTAATTACAAGTGAATAAAATTTCAAATGGTTACCTGTTCAGCTAATGAATCCATAGGTGTTACATAGACACATTTACCATCAGGATTCTGAGCCAACATACGTAAGATGGCAAACTCCCCGCAAATCGTCTTTCCACTCCCTGTAGGTGCCCCAATGAACACATTGTCATCTGTGTTATAGACTGTGTTGAACACTGGAATATTCAGAAAAATTTTATAACTTATAATAGGAGTTGCAAAGTAAACAGTTTCCTCTTAAAATCACATAAATCTGAGAATGTAAGAAATAGATTTTGATTTCTAGGAATGAGAATTCCCCATCATCACATAAAGAAACAGCAATAAATAACATTGAATTCATAAATCAATATCTTAACATAGTTTTCCAATATCTATTCAAAATATCCTTACCTTGAGTCTGGATAGGGTTAAAGAAGGGGAACTTCTCGCTGTAAAGTGCCTCAAACCCTGAATTCCTGAGAGCAGAGACAGGCAAGGGCTGAAGATCTAGCAGCTCTGTAGGTGGTGGATATTTCTCAGGCAGGATTAGATGTCGGAAAGACACGGGAAGTTGAGTCTCAGATGCTAAAATTATACATTACTTTCAATTAATATATCTTACAGATCATCATTTGAGAAAAGGTGTCTAGGATATAGTTATGATGTAAGCAAGGGTCGAAAAATATTAAATCAATAATGATTTAAAACAACATGGCAATAGATGGAAAAGACCAATAGCAGGAAAGAAGTCTGTCATATTTTCACAAACAACACCCCTTGAAACTGCATCGCATTTATGTAGAGTCGTAGACATTACTGATTACTAATATTTATGTAAACACATACCTATCCACCTGTCAGAGACGACCCTAATGAAGTACTGAGGGGGTAAAGGCTCAAACACAGGCACAAAGAACTTAATGATGTGCTCATCTGTAGCAAACTTTGACTTGAGCAGGAAATATTCATGGTGCAGAATCACCTCACTGTCGACATCTTCAACTAGCACCCAGAATGCCTATAAAGCCAGAAAAATTGGAACATTGTAATGCAATGAAGAGACCTCATCATAACAAATCAGATTTATTGGTTTTATTTCATTTGATTCATGGTAAAGAGTGATCAAAATTTACCTTTATTTGGAATAATTTAATTTTTGATCTGTTGCACATCAGAGCACATTTCATATGTTTAACACCTCGCGAAATTGCAGGCTTCTATTTTATCGCGATGATTCAGACTTTAGATCATTTTGAAAGTTCATATTTAAAACACTTGAATTATCATTTATTGTCCCAATTCATTAATAAATCTAAAAAAATATCAATTTTCTCAATTATTAAAACTTTTTACCTCAGAGTTGCCGTGTATCTTCTCATCCCACTGGAAATCAGGAGTGATCGTTAACTCCACTCGTAGCGTGGATCGTGTGATTGGTTGAATGTGGACTGCAAGATCAAGTTTGGGGAACTGGTGAACATATTTATGTATAACTTTTCCCATCTTTGGCAGCCTGATCAGTTCCCCGATCTCATTGTAGCCAAGATCGTAGAATCTGTCCCAGGGGAAGTTCTTTTTCTCAATCTTTTTCACAACTTCTTCTGGAATTTTCTTGAACTGTCGCAATGGACTCATAGACTGCCACCTATCATGTGTAAAAATGTAAAATTATATTTTCAGATTTCTTGAATATTCATAAAAATATTAATGCAATTGAAATATTCATTATGTAACTTTCTTTAAATATTTCTGTGTCCTAGGAATTCTTTCTCCAGTGGTTGGGCCATATTTACTATTCAGACTAACATCAAAATCTGGTCAAATATTTTAATTTCCAACCATTTTCCATATATTTAATAGTTTTAATCCTGTTCATTAGGCCTTCATTTATATATCTGTGATCTTTTGGCCTTACAGGAACCAGTGAGTCTTCATAAGATATAACACCAACTTACATGCGTTTGTCTATCATTTTACAAAGCGCCAGTGCTTTATCAGTGAGCTGAGCCCAGCCTCTGTGCAGCACAATCTCAAATATGGCCCTCATTAAGCGGCCAGCTGACTGAGTAATAAACACCATGTCACACTGCAGAGCAAAGCCCTCCAGTTTCAGTTGGGAGATATAAGCCTGGAGAAGGACATTCACCTGAAATGGAAAAATAAATAACATTTCAATAAAGACCCTGGAGACAAAAACTTAATAGCAAGATGAAATATTCCAGGAAATGGGCTTACTTTAAATTAAGATGCCCTCTCATCATTCATTCTTAATTTTACCACACAATTTGTCTCCGTTCAGTGTTTACACTAAATCTTGAAGAGAGTAACTGGATTGTATACAGCTTATAGCATGTGAATTTCATTTTCACTTTATTCCTCGCTGATTAAAAGCCCTTTCACTCAATTTTGCACTTCAACATATCAATTAACCCAGGTACTTTTCTCACCTTAGCACTTGGCTCTTCAATGCTCTCCTTAATAGGTATGGGCACTCTCTCCAGCAGCTTCATCAACTCAATCTTTTCTTCCTCACGTACTGTGATATTCCTGAACTCTCCAGAGAGACTGAACACACGGAAAAGTTCTATTTCACTAAGGGTAGGCTTTAGTAGCTGGTTGTATGTTGCCATGGTGTCATTTGTGATGTAATAATGGCTAGCAATGCGTCCTAATTCTGTCACCTAAAAATGCGATACTAAACAGGTTAAAGTCCAAAAGATGCTCAGATGTGTATAAGAAAAAACGAACTCTGAATGCAACATACATGTAAACATTTTTTGCGATAAAATTGAAATCATCACAATTGAAAAAAATGATCCTGAAAGTTGATAACATACCTGGAAGTTGCCAGTTTTCCTATCATATTTGATGAGGTTGTGTCTATCACATGCCACAGCTGCTGTATGCACCAAGTCCTTACGTCTCTGCTCCAACAGCTTGTCTTCTTTAATCTACAATAGTTTACAAAAATAAAGTTGTATACCCAAGAAGCTGTAAAAATTATCTTTGAAAAACACAAAGAATTTTGTTTAGATTATCTTATTCTGGTAAGATATCAGTATACTGAATGGATACATTGTATTGGGGATAACTGGCAATTTCTATACCTATGATGGGACAAAATATTACCATGCATAGGATATACAATGTGCAAAGAAGTTCTATCCCATCAAGGATGTCAATGACCAAAATCATTTTAAAAAGAGAGGTTTCACATAATAATTTTTCGCTGAACCTATACATCCATAACATAGATAATACTTCATGAAAACATTACAGATAAGTGAGGTCAAAGCTTTATAATTATTCATAGTAATTAATACCTGGTCATGTGAGATTCCATAAAGGGTAGGCTGCCTCAGCATTCTTATATAAAGATAACTGTAACCCAGCCAGTGTACAGCTTCCCTCACATTCTGTACAGTTCCCAATACAATCTCTGCATTCAAATGATCAGGAAGTTTAGCTATGAACTGACTCTCTACTGGCAACTGAAAATAATTTGTGAAAATAACATTCAATTCAATTCAATTCAGAACTGTGCAATAACAAATATAAAGATTATCACAAGTTATACTTGTACAAAATATTTACCTGTAATTATTCTGTGTGTAAATGACAATGAAATTCAAGATATAAGAAGTTTAACAGAAATCATAAAAATCCTATTCAATATTGAAAATCAACTATATACAAAAATACTGTAAAATGTTTACATCATAAAACATCATACATCTTTATCTCATCTCAGTCCAGTCTTTGTTACCCCTTTAACGTCACAGTGCAAAATGTTATCAATGCATAAATATAGAGAACAAATTTCTTTGGACTGGAGCATAAGTTATTAAATTACTAGTTCATTCATTTAAATATAGTACCTGTTGATTGAGCAGAGAGAGGTAATATTGCAGCTCACTGTGGTTTGTTATTAGAATACCTTCACCTTTAGTGTCGTACTGGGGTCTACCAGCTCTACCAAGCATCTGTGAAAAGTAAAACAATTAAGTTAATACATGAATCTGAAGATGGTTGGAATAATGTTGACATTAGATCAGCGACCACAAAGCTTTTTTCTGTTTATTTAATTAAATGCTTGGCATCCTTTGATGCAAAGGTGATCAAAATATGAAAAATAAATATATATATACCCTACCTGAAGTACATCTAGTGCCCCAAGTTCTACCCATCTGCCCTTCTCTGGATTGTACACCTGGGTGCCTTTAATGATGACTGTATGGGCTGGCAAGTTGACACCCCAGGCCAGGGTTGCCGTGGAGACAAGGACCTGGATGTGACGATCAGCAAATAGATCTTCCACCAAGATACGATCCACTCTGAAATAATTGGAAGTTAAACATTAAGATTTGATTAAAGAGGAGAAGCTTGAAAAAAAGACTGAAGACTGGCTGACAACCAGCTTTGCAAAATTCAAACAAGAATTGTCCTCCAAATAATGGCAGACTTCCATATTTACACAAATGTATATCTATTAGGTTTTAGTTGAAAAAACTAATGAAAAATTATCTAGCTGTAGTATTTTGTTGAAGCAGTTACCCATCTGCCTCAAGCCTAGCTTAACACCCATATGAAACTGACCTGGTCATTCCAGCATGATGGATAGCAAAACCATATGGCAGCAGGTCCTTCAACTCTAGGTTCTTCACTTGCTCAGCCTCTGTTCTCAGGATCTCAGTCGAGGGAGAACCCTCCTTAAGGAAAGCTCCCAGAGAGTCCTTCTCTAAACAGATATCCCTGACAGCTCTTGCTGTTTTTCCAGTTTCTTTTCTTGAGTGCACAAACACAAGCACCTACAACAGATAATAGATTAAATGATTTCATTTATTTTCAATACTTCAATATACTATTCCTTTGTGCACTGAGACCTTATCATTATCAGTTTCATGGACCACTTTATAAAATTTGACAAGGCATTAACATGCAAAATGTCACCACCTGCTATACAATAAAACATACAATGACCACTTCTAGTGGTGACATAATAATAAGAGATGTTACTATTCAAGTCCTGACATCCTTTAATTATAAAATTATTCCAAAATGTTGTTGTTTTTCAGCAGTATTGGGTAATATAATCCTTGTGTATTAATGCCCTTACCTGATTTTTCCCAGCATGCTCCATAACCTTTTCGTAGACAATATCATTCATGACTTGGAATCGCTTGATGGCTTTCTTCTCTGTGATACCAACATACTGTTGCTCTAAAGGAACAGGCCTAAAATCACAATACATTGTTGTTTCTTAATTATCTTTTATAGATAAAAGCACAAGGTACCATTTCCCTAAACTTATCATGCTACAGCTATTTGCACGTACATGTGGAAACAGGAAAAACAAGGAACATCCATATTTTTACTTTGAATAATAATGGATAATTGCTCAGATGCCATTATTTAGTTACCATTTTCACCACCAGGTGGCTAATTCAGGTCAGATAACTTGGTTTATTGTTAAAATGGATGAAGCTATATTTACCTGAAGCTGTTATCAAAGTAGAAGAGACCTTTAGCTGGGTCAACTCTGAGGAATGTCGCCACATCTTCATAGTTGGGCAGCGTAGCACTAAGACCTACTAGACGTACATCTTCCTGTGTGGTCTCTATGTTACGGATTGTTCGTGCTACGAGGGATTCCAAGACAGGACCACGATCATCATGCAGCAAGTGAATCTCATCCTAAAGATTCAAATTTTCTTTAAATTTAATAAAACATTGTATCAGCAAGATGAGACAAGAAATTAACATGCAGTGTACCAGTGTCACCACCTGCCAATTGTTACAGACGCCAAACTCTTAACACCAACCGCATATGACGAACACTGTCCACAAGAAAAAGTTGGAGACATAAGAATCATAACATCAATATTCTTAAATGACATATTTCTCAGCTACATCCAGGAACAAATATATACTTCATATAATAAAATGGTGTATCTCATACTTGAGTGGCTTTGGGGTAGATATCACCCGGGAATATATATCGTATCTGAGGAGCGGGCTGGATATATTGTATATGTCCCGCTCCAGGCCAAATGCGGGCAGATATAATATATCCATCCCGCTCCCGGGAATTTTTCAAAAGTTTAAATATCAAAAGTTTTAATTTTTTAATTTTAAAATTTAATTTTTTTAAGTTTAAATGTTACAATTTCATTGTATTGAACAAAAAGAATATTATGAAAATGTTAAATATAAATATCTTGTCATTTGAAAAAGGTGGAAAAGGTTTTATCTACCCTAAACCCTCTCAAGTATGAGATACACCAGTTATGCACGGTCGGTTTGGATACATGGAATATCCCTTGGGATATACAATACATCTTCCCTTGGTCCCTTCGGTCCCTCGGGAAGATATATTGTATATCCCTCGGGATATTCCCTGTATCCAAAACCTCCCAGTGCATAACCCCTATATATTTCCTTTTTTGCACATATACTGTACATTTCATTATTGCTTTTGGATATATTTTGAGAACAAATAACTCCACAAATTGAGAGTAAAGAGAACATAAAGAAAAGATCTAGAACTTACAAAAATCATGAGTCGCACTATCTGTGTGTAGGTTTTCTCTCCCCCCTTTCTTGTGATGATGTCCCACTTCTCTGGTGTACATACAATAACCTGAAACATACAATAAACATACAATAACCTACAACATACAATAAAACTTACAGTTATTTGAACTTAGTAGCAAGTAGCCTTAATGTGAAACTAAAGGGTAACAGAAAATGTTATTTATCAATTTCTGATATATTTCAATGATATAATTAAATGTAAAATGTTACCACATACCTGAGTTGCGACTATTTGGTCCTTAGTGAGTTGATGATCTCCCGTCAACTCAGACACAGTAATCCCATATGAACTGAGTCTCTTTGTGAAGTTGCCAACCATCTCATTGACAAGAGATCTCATGGGGGCAACATATATGATCTTGAACTCATCAATGTTGATAGTGCCATCTGTGTTGATGTGTTTGCCTATCTCATGGAGTATTGTAAGCAGAGCCACATTGGTTTTTCCTGCACCCTATAAACCATATAAATAGTATAACAAATAAGGGTGCACAAATAAGCAAGGATCAACATTTTCTGCTTCAACTTTCCCTATATAAATTAAGTCTCTTCACTAACGTGTCAAAAATGTTTTTTACGATTCCAGTAAATGAATCAAAAAATGGAACTATTTGGTTGGATCACAATTATGTTGAGCTATATATATAGGTCAGACGATAGGCTTTTTCTATTGTTAAAAACTGTTGAAGGATGCTACCATTAACCTAACTGATTAACCTAAGTCAAACTTCCATAACCCAAGAGAATGTTAAACTTTCAATGTTTACTTACAGTGGGAGCACAGAGCAGTAAGTTTTCATCAGACTCGAGGGCAGCTTTGTGGAGTCTGGACTGGATGCGATTCAAGCTCTTGTAGCCAGCAAAGGCGGGTTGAGCGTACTTCGGAAGTCTTTCTATAGGAACCAGTGACTGCAATAGGTAATCATAGATTCATTTCTATTTAAATCAGAGACCAAAATAGATTTTCAAATAGTGATTCAAGTGCTATCATAATATTAGACAAGGCATCAACATGCAGAATACCTGACATTTGATACAGATGCCAAACATTTCTGTATACCTCCGGATGCCGAACACTGTCCACAAAAAAATACCATCCCTTGGGTGGTGACAAAATTAAAAACTTATACACCGATTCAAGTGCTGTCATAATATGAGAAAATACAATTTGTCCCCAAGATTTTGAAGCATATCCAGGGTAACAGCTAAATTATGCAAGGAACACAACGTATAAACCTTAAATGTGAACTTACCTCATCAGCATCAAAAGGCTTAGGTTTCAGTGCAGGAACATGGACCTCTTCATAACCTGTAAAGCATATTAAACACATTACTAAAATGTTATCCATGGGGTCATTATTTAAAAATGAAAATGTATTACACAAAGGAATGGAATGAGCATGGAACAGAGTTACAATAAAATAGAAATCATTACATTTAGAAACGCAAAAATCACTCTTCATGCAAGATTTTGCTAGAGATGCTGTAAAATAAGCACATACAGACAGACTTTTATATTTTGGAGTGTATTTTGTAGAGATGTCCAGCGAGTAGACTGCCCTCCTATATGCAGTTGTTATAGTGTTACAATCAAGCATACAGATGGGCGGCACACCAGACTGGACAATGGCACACATAGATCAGCAGCAGCACACCAATATAAATCCAATCACATCAAGCTAATTAATTGTGTGATACATACAGAACAAATATTTTCAGGAAATCTAAGTATATCACATCAGGTAAATGGCTATCTCAGTTTTGTAAAATCAAAATTGCTTCATACCTTTTCTTTGCTTTCTAAATGAACCATCGGGGAGTTGACATCGTTTGTTTGCCATCAGATGACTGCCTTGGGCAAATGTGAGGTCGTCTAAGTCTAGCTGGTTCACTGGCCCAAGGTCCTAATTAGAAAATACAAAGTTTAAAAATAAACTAAAAAGAAATTGTTCTGTTTGATTCAACTGAATAACATTAATTTTGTATAGAAATATTTGGCACCGTTTTTCATTTTTTATTGCATTATTCAACAATATAGATTTTCATGTGAAAATGGTAGACCCCCTTATGCAAGTATCATATACACATTATATATAATTAGGCTAATATTGTACAGGCGTGCACATTTTTGGTAACAGAAAATACATAAAATACAACAATCATCAAGCTTTCATACCTTTCCCTCATCAACGTCCATGCTAACTTCTGAGCGTGACTTTCGCGATGATTCCCTTCGTGCCCTTTCCTCAGTTACTGGATCATCTTTATCAGTTTCTTCCAACATGCTTAATATTTTAGACAAGTGAGAATCATTGTTCATCTTCTCAACAATCTTTTGTCTCTCTGAGGCGCTCTGTGCTTGGGCCAGAAGTGTACAGTATAAAACTGAAATTGAAATTTTAGTGAATGTATGTTTCTGATTTCTTTGGAAAATTTGAGCATCTGAAGCATTCTGAGCCTGTAACATATAGTATAGTATAAGATTGGAAATGGAAGATTCAGATCAGTATTGTTCATCATCACTATGAATGCATAAGCACTTGTCTGATGAACAATCTTAATCAAGTACTTACTTACAGTAATGCTTTGGCTTAGGCCCTGTTTATGCTGTTTATTGATATTGTTTAAATTAAAGGAACCATAAAAACTATCAAACACTTACTCATCTGTCTATGTTGTCTTAGAATCTTGATGAAGTCAAACTGATTGAAGCCTAGAAGTACGACCAACTGGTTCTCAGCCTCACGATCATCAGAAGATGCCTATTATAAAGACAATGTTTTATATATACAGGGCATTCAATAACTATTGACGAAAAAGCTGACATATTTTTAGCTGTTTTATAGTTCTGCCTCACTTTCCTGTGGCTATAACCCTTTCACATGCACAATACAGGCGTGTGTTACTCACTAATTTACTGTACAAGAATGGTTAAGAAATATAATTACACAAAAGTCAAAATTTTTATTAGCACTTATTGAAAATTCTGTCCATATTGGGAACAAGTAACATATTTATTTTAGCTTAATATGATATCTGACTTTGTTAGTATTGTCAACAATTTGAGTTATAAAAAAATATGATTTCATTTTTATTCATCATTTTCCAATGAGTGCCTTACTTTCAATATATTAAGGACTTCATTGGCCTTTGTTTGCGCAATGACAGGATCGTCATAATATTTGCCTAGTTTCCTCTGCAGCCAGTAGGCGTCAATGTCTCTGGGGTGGAGGCCTTTCTCTACCACTTTACCCATAGCTTCCTCACCCCCTGCAAGCTGCAACAAAATGAATAATAAAATGATCAACCGTTTTGTTTAAAATTCTACAGCTATAAAAAAACATGAACAGATATTTTTAATTCAATAAAGGTTTTATGAAAAAGTCATACCGATTGTATTGTTTAACCTTCATAACAGGAAGTTAGTTAAATCAAAACTATCCACTTTATCCCGGTATACAGTACAAGAAAGACAAATGATATTCTAAGTAGCTTGCTGAAACTGACCTCTGCATGGAGGGTTCCATGTTCAGAAGCCTCAACTCCCTGTTCATCATCATCCTCCTCCTCACCCTCCCTGATCTCTCCGAACACATCTGCCTCATCCTGGAATGTGGGGATTACATGTTGCAATACAGGGGCAAATACCATGGGTTTATATATTGTATTACAGGGGTATTACCAATTCTTCTGTATATTGTTCAATATAATATTTAGTGTTATCTTAACATTTCAAAAATTTCTCTGGAGATATTATATCTACTATCTCAAAATGAATATGGCGACAGTATACTACAATATAAATGTAGAAATGACAAGCTTAAAGGTAATCAACATACCTCATCTTCAGACTCTTCAAATTGTACATTAACTCCCAATGTTTCATCAATGTTATCATCTGTGGGCATCTTAGTATCAGCTCCCCAGTCAGTTATCTTCTTACCCAAATTGACCAGCAGAGCAAACCTGTGGGGGTTACATGTTGTAATACAGGGGGACACTGGGGTACTATGGGGTTATATATTATAATACAGGGCTCTTCAAGGGGACTCATAAGAATATATTGATACTTGCAGCTTTTTATCATCAGTTTCTACTTAATAGGCCTCCTCTATACCTGCATTAGTACACTTACAATTTCAGAAAGGAGCGGGGTAAAATGAGTCAACGTGCTAAATACAGAAAAAGTTTGCGAGGTGGCTTGTACACTAAGATTTTGTGCAAATATGTCATACAACATGATTAACAAAACTTAACATGGACAAAAGTAATATCACCTCTCTTCAGCAATACTGCCAAGGAGACCCTCAATATCTCTTTTCCTTTCTTTATCCCTCATCTTGTCGTTCTTCAGTACAGTCAGAACTTCATCTGCGGCACCACAAAGAATATCCCTGGGCTGGAATACAAAGGACATGTTGGTTTAAAGATTCAATGCACAAAGGGCTACACCATTTAAGGCAACTGCTGTGTGCATATCTGCTTAAAGCAGGATAGCACAAAAGACATGTCTTTTCAAAGCCTAATCGCATAACATACATGTCTGTTTATAGCTTGTATGATAGCAAAACAGGTTTGTTTTATGACAGTATCTATTTGTGTTATTAATTTCATGGTTATAATCACTGACAGCTATGTTACTGATAGACAGATAGAACTGCATGGGAAATTGTAATATCAGTCAGTCTCTTTGTATATTCTCAAAGCCTGATTGCACAAAGGACAATTTCTTTTAAAGGCCAGTTTTAAACTTCCTAGCACTCGCATTAAAGTATCAGGTTATATCCACACTTTAACATGGCAGAGAAAGTCAGGATTAGGAAGTTCAATTAACAGCATTGCTTAATACTTGATTTTGATTGGCTAAAGCTTGAGGACTTTTAAATTTGAAAAATGTTATTACTGTTTTTAAATGTCCTATCAGAATCCAACAAAATGATGAAGTTGAAATCTAACTGTAGCATATGAACTTAAAAACATTGAAAGATTCACTTATAACAAAATGTGAAGCAATTCATCTTCTCAATAAATATGATATATGAGAAAATTAACCAGCTTTGTGAAAATATCAAAAATAATTTGGCTGTTCCATTTGTCTGCCTCCTATTTATACCCCATGTCCCTCTTTAAATATATCCTGCTTTACTTACAAATGTGAAGCTCTTAACTAAAAATACTCAACATAAGCAGATATACATGAATCATAAATATTCATACATCCCTTTTGCTCAAATCAACAAAAAGACAGATCTGCATACATTTATACAGTTTTACCTGATCTCCAAGAGCAGCCTGGATAAAACTGAGCAGAACTTCATATGTTTGTCTGGTTTCTTGTGTCTTTGGCCTGTAGAGGATCCCAACCATATCTTCAATGCCTTCACTGAGGAGTGTTGCACCTTTCATCTTCATCATATCATGCTGGGCATCATCACGCTTCTTTCTCCTATTTGATAAAATATGAACTGAACATTTACCCATAATGCCCAAAAACTAATCAGTTCTAGATTTTCATACAAAGAAAATTTTTAATGAATCTGTCAAACTGTTCCCTGTTAACGCGAAGACAAGATTTTATAGACAAGATTTTAGGATGGAAAATCCAAAATGGCCACGTTAACATTTCCCTAAAATGCCAAAACACTAATCAGCTCTACATTTTCATACAAAGAAACATCCCTAAAATTTGAAATCAATCCGCTAAATGGTAGGTCTGGAAATGCATGGTGGAAAATTAAATTCAACCAGAATTCCATACTTACTTTGCCTTTCTCTCATCCATCATCGGTGGCTTACTTCTCTGGGCTTTATCACCCATTCTGGTCTTTTGAACCTTCCCAGCAAGGGACATAACCTCACCGGTAGCTTCATCTCTTGGCCTACGGTCAATGAGAGACCGATCGGCTTGCAACACAAGGTTAGAGTTCTGAAAAGTGGGTATGGCTTATCTGATGTCGAGTATTTTAGTGCAATCAAAGTGTTCTTTCTGCAAAAACTTAATGATTTTGAATGAATTTTTCAAAAGTCTCAGATTTGTTTACAAAAAATCAAAACTTGGGAGGCGTTTTCTAGGAATTAGGCGAGATTTGAGAATGAACCTAGGTGTTCTTAATTATCTATGAGCATTCATGTATTCTTTTGCCAAGTTTTAACAATATCAAAGATGTACTCACCGCTTTATATTCATATTGAAGGTTTCTTGCCGCTGCATCGGCCATGCTGAAGCAATATGGCCGCCGACGATTACAAACGACAGCGCAAAACGAGTAGCCCACAATAAGTCGTTGCGCAAAATATTACTCCTTTGAATGCAAGAACCTAAATCATTTATGAAAAATTATAATTGAAAAATTCCAGAATTTACATTTCTATTCTTCAATATCAAAATTAATACGGTAAGTTTTGTAAGTTGCAAAAAAGATTTAGTTGGGGTTGTATAATTTACCGGTATCCGCGCCAGTGATCCGTAAAACACACCCTACCTACATTTGGACATGTCTTGTAAAATTTGTACAAAAGTGCTTCAGAAATCTCACAGGTTCTTCATCAGGTAAGTACATATAGCTACATATACACACGTTACAAACATGAAGTGTTGTATCAAGTTTCACTATGTTTTGAACTATACTTTCGCTTAAAATCAAATAATACATCTATTATCGCCCACTTTATATCAATTATTAAATAGAAAATGTCATTTATTTATACTTCTAATAGGTCCTTTTGCTTTATACGATAGAGTTTGTGCATTAAATGTGTTTCTTGGAAAATCCTTCTCTCTTCTCTACTGGAAGCAAAGCACATTATGACAATCTTTGTATTAGTAACTGTACCCTCTGGTATTTTACCTCTTTTATAGATCTACAACAGAAACTTTGAATATTATAGCTTTGGAATGCTGGGGAAATTAACCTTTGTCTAAGACTGTCATTACAGCTTAAATCTCACACATTTTATTCTGCCATATATGAGTCATGTCGTGATCACAAAATTTGAAATCAAACCAGTCACCATTTTTCACTGCATAATTTGAATTGAAAGTTTTGGTCTTATTACCTCAGGAAAATTTTCAAAACACAAGAAGTGATCAATATATTAGTTCAAATCTTTTGGATTGCTACTTTGAATTTACAGCCAATGGTCCAGATGTCGTTTTGGCTCATTTTACCTAACATATCTCCTGAGCATGTCATACCTAGGTCAGATAATTTGATATTTTCTACCCAGTAGAAAATACATGTGCACAAAGCATCTTCCTTCTCGACGATCATCTCAGGCCAGAAAGAATTTGAGGAATTGAATGTGAAAATTGAACCCACTTGATTTTCAAAGATCAGGATGAATGGCGATGTTTTAGTTATAGTGTTGTCGCGATTAATCGATACATCGCGATATACATCGCCAAAGCTGGTTCTGGCGATGCATCGATGTCTGAAACAAAACATCGATGTTTTTCAAAAAATTAATTTGCTAAAAATCGCCCTTTCTTATCTTATTTTGACACAAATTGCTTACCCTTTTTCATGTCTTATTTCATTTTCCAATGTTTTCTGATATTGTTTCGCTTTAAAACTGTTTCAGCTAGTCGAAATGTCTGTTCAACCATAAATCTAAAAAAAATTACTCTACTTTCATTTCACCGTTACTAGAAGTTTCCGGATGTACCAGCGTACTCTTATTAATTTGTTCTGTTCGGTATTTCAGTGCATTAGCGTTCGGTATTTCATTGCGCTTTTCTAGAAGTGCATCAATGTTTTCTACTGAAAATTGCCGATGCATCGATGTTCGATTATGGCACATCGCGTCAACACTATTTAGTTAATGAAAACACAGAATGAAATCCTGTGCCATGGGCTGATGTGAAAAAGTCATTCCACCCCAGTGGAGATCAAACCCACGACCCCTCACCTTCTGGGCGATTGCAAATAAGTTTGAGCTCGGTAAATGTTCAAGTTGAACATTTCAGTCATCATAAAAATATTATAGTCTTGCATTTTTCAAAATATATGTATAAAAATTATTCACCTAACTGAAAAATCGTCCTGGAGGAAACATAGTTATTGTTATTTTCAGAAGAATACTGCACAACAGTCCGGCAGTTTATCACCAGATGCAGAACTGTAACCTAACTACAGATGCGCCATCTATTGTAATACCAAAGAAGATCAAGCGGGATGAACTGTCAATCTTACAGGCACTTGCATCAACAGTTGAAAGAGTATGTCTTTGATTTTCTGCAGTTATTAAAAATATTTAGTATTTTAACAATATTTTATTTATCTATTTGTTTGTACATAACAATCATTTTACAGTATAAAGTGATATGAAAAAAATTGGACTTAGAGGTGCATGCCTATGCTAAGTTCTCTCCTAATATTAACCCATGGTTTATAGTTAATAACACTCCTCAATGATCTTATGTTAAACTAAACGCCCCTTTACCGTAGCACCCATGGTCCCATAAGCAGTATAATATTAAAACTGTATTGTTTCATAATGAAAATATCTGATGTTACATGAAAGCATATTTTTAGTATTTACAAATGTGATATATTTGTATAATTAATATGATATTCAATATTATAAAGTTTGGGATTTCTCAAAGAGCAATCATGAATTAATTTCATGCAAAATGTGGGTTATATGCATAATATATAGAAGAAAGAGGGAGATGACAGGAAGCAAGTGGACAAATTTTTAGGAAATGTTAAACTCCATAGACAGCCCTCCCATATTCTGAAGGAATTCAATGCAAGGAAAGCAGTTATTCCTAATCACTTGGTTGTGTTCAAAATCCAATGTGATCCACTATGGGTAAACCACTTTTCATACTAAGTAAGCGTCATATACTTCCTTATTTATTTTGCTGTACATTTTCTAGGACACCAATGCCCCAGCTTATCAGTACATGGACGACCCATTTTTTCAGCCCACATCATTGTTGCAGAAGGTATTATAGTTTACAGCATTTTTGTTTATTTCATGTAATTAAAAAAAATGCTATGCCATATAATAGCCTACGGTTTTCAACATACATTACAACACTTTTTCTTTGTACCTATTGTATGTATTGGTTGCCATTTTTAGTAAACAGTCTAGTCATAAAACTTCTTTTCGCAATTATAGTGAGTCAAAATTTGATTTTATATTATGACAATTTGTTCTGCTTTGTAATGGATACATTTTCTCTATTAGCATCTGATGAAACTAATATTTTTCAGAACTTATTAGACCTATTACACCAATTTTACAGTATTCTTTAATTCTCCTGTTGTGTGTTATGGTTGCTATATATTATTTTGCATTGCAGAAATCATACAGTCTAGCCAAGGCATCAGGGAAGAAAGCGGCACACTATGTAATGGACAGATGGCCCTGGATCTTTGAACATGGGGTCTATAAAGAGAGCTATTTCAACATACCAGAGGCAAGTCTTTTTTTGGGTATAAATAATTGTAGGCTTAATGTTTGGATATGTGCAAGTTGTACACTCTACAGGATGTAACAGGAAGTAACAGGACTGGTGCTTGTATTTTGTTGAATATGCCTCAATTGTCTTTGAAATTTTACAAAATGTACTTTCAAGTATTGTGAATTAAATGTTAAGTGTACATACTACTTTTCTTGGGATTTATCATCTGTTAGTGTTTTTTTCAGAGTTAATACATGCATGTATGTTGTTTTATATAAGTATAAGTGATAGCAGTGATCTCCCCAGCATTAAAGCAAGTGGGGGTAGCACCCACCTGCGATTTTAAAAACAGCCTTGCACTCACCTGAAAATCCATTTCCATTTTCCACCCACTTGAAAATGAGAAAAATCATGACCACTTTTGAATTTTGCACCCACTTCAGAACACTAGATAAAAATAGTTCTATGTAAGTTCATCTCTCTGGTTAATATATCAGAAACAAGTCAAATTCTTTACTTCAGAGAATATTTTTAATTTATTGAGACTTTCGACTAATATCCCTTAGTCTTTTTCAAAATATAACAGCATGTATACATTTATGTGACGTCATAAACAGACAATGGAAAATTTAATTATTTAACAAATGACCTAGTGGTCATTCTACGTTTAAGATATTACTGTATAAACAGTTGGTGCATTTAAAGGACAAAACTAATGATCAAAAGAAGTCCGGTGTAATTTACAAAATTGATTGTAAAGACTGTATTGCCACTTATGTAGGTGAAACAAAGCGGGAACTAGTTACTAGAATCAGAGAACATCGTAGACCCACATTACTGTCGACTGGAGGTCTTGCTTCTGCGGTTATTGAACATTCCATGGAATATGATCATAATATAAACTGGAACAATGTAAAAATCATTGATAATGAGAGTCATGATCTTAAACGTAGGGTTAAGGAAGCAATTCATATTAAAACAATGCAACCTAAAATGAACAGAGATAATGGGTATCAGTTGGACAATTTGTATCATAAAATATTGTAAATTAAGAATGGTATAGCAAAGTATGCAATAGTAATATTTGAGTTTAATTGTTACCATAACGATGATATATTTATCTTAAGGTTATTATTAGGTCATTTGTTTTTTCGTATCTATGTTTTTTGTTGTTGTTATTTTTTAGGTTACTGGTCATTTGTTAAATAATTAAATTTTCCATTGTCTGTTTATGACGTCACATAAATGTATACATGCTGTTATATTTTGAAAAAGACTGAGGGATATTAGTCGAAAGTCTCAATAAATTAAAAATATTCTCTGAAGTAAAGAATTTGACTTGTTTCTGATAGATAAAAATAGTTTGATAGTGAAATAATGAGACGTTTCGATACATAGGAAATGTATTGATACAAAGAAAATTTGTACATGAGAAATGTTATTTGTTTGCAGGTGTGGAAGGTGAAGGGCAGCAAGTGCAAACATGACATCTCTACATTGGATGGCCTTGAGGAGAGACTTGAGAGACGAATGGTGGGAGAGGCCTTTCAAGCCTATAGAGCTCTCACTGAGTCTGGTCAGTTATGCAAAGTCATTTCTTTAATTCAGTGGATGAAAAATCATAATTATATTTAATCTGGTGAAAGGAATCTCCAAATCTGGTTATACTTGAATTATATATAAACGACAGCACTCGTTAATTCAGGTCAGTTAAGAAAACATGTTTCGAGAAAAAAAGGAGAGTATTTTTTATTATTTCATCGTCTCTTTAAGTATGGAAATTTTCAAGATCTCGACTAGATGCGGCATGTGACAGTGTTGAGGAAATATGTTTAGCACTTCATTCAGTCAGAAGGTCGACTTTAATGATGAAATTATGCTGATGAAATGACATGATGAAGGTCTATTGGATATGATTGCATTAAATCTTTGCAATAAATATATAATATGGTAATTGTTGAACCTCAGACCTTGTTTTTAAGGCCAAACATATATTGATTCTTTTTTATAGGCATAGAAATTCCTCAAGATATATGCCTTCAGTTACTAGACTTGCAGTCTATCTTCAATGGTTCGAATGTCACTGAAAAAGATCTACCTCCTGAAGAAATGTTCTACCAGGACCCTAATCCTAAGACAGGAGGAGGGGGACAACTTAGAGAAACTTGGAGGTAGGGATGGAGAAATATTTACTTAATTACTCTAACCAGGACTTTTAGATTGAGGCACTGCACCTCAGATTAGTTTATTCCATGCCCATTTTGCCAAGAACATTTATCTAAAAAATATTTACTTCAAATAATAAAGCAAAATTAAAATGTCACTAGGGCTGGCCATAAGTCAAAACACTGATCAATAATTAACAGGTATTCACATTTCACTCTTACATGGTAGTCAATTGGAAATTCCAAAATTGGGACAGGGAAAAAGTGTTCAGATTGAGAGGTGTTTGGATACACATGTTTTACATTGTACTTTATATTTCAAATGGGCTCAAATCATGTACTTTAAAAGTTTGTAAATGTTTACAGGGCTAACCACCCTGCTGAGGTGATGTTTGAGAATCTCACTGAGAAGACACCAGAGGCTTATGCCAGTATCATTAAAGGAATGGTGAAATATTCAGAAGCTGAAAGAGCATACCAGTTATACACAGAAATGTTGGAGAATAACATACCAGGTAATGGTTGTGATCAGTAAGTTCATTTTTATGTCACAACTTGTGACATATTGTTTGTTATTGTTCCCAACTTTTTTGTGGCGGCAGTTGGTGTTCGGTGGTTGGTGTTTGGCATTTGACATTTGGCTTTGACCTTATGGCAGGTTGTGACATTTCAAGTTAATGACTTGTCTTAAAAGTTAAGAGTTCAGAAAAATATCTGCTACGTATTGTATATGATTGTCATATATCATGTGATAATATGTGAATGTTTCTTACTCTCTCATTGATGCGAATGTTTAATTTGATGTGAGTGAATACAATGATCATTATTGTAATTTTAGTTGATGTGAGTGTATACAATATTCATTATTGTAATTTTAGTTGATGTGAGTGTATACAATGCAGTGATCCTCATTTCCTTCCAATTGAAAGACATGTCTGCAGAGCGCTGGGATCAAGTCATAGTAAGTACAGTATATGCATGATGCAGTTGCGGAGTTATTTTGTTAATATTTCATATGTAAATACTTAGAAGCATATTACACTGTCCAATTACAATTTAGCCGACCATTTCAAAAAGGCAGTCTTAGGGCGTTCAATTGGACTTGCTACTGTGTCATGGCGTTACTGTTTTTCAGTTTGGCTGCAACTTTTATATGTGTTATTTATGTTTTGTTTTTAACTGGGAAATAGTGGAGCTATTTTGTTAATATTTCATAATGTGAATACTTAGAAGCATAAAACACTGTGACACACTTAGTATGTTTTCTGATTTTCGGATCAATTTCATATATTTTTGCTCATTTCACGAGGCCCGTGAGAACCGCAATCAGAACCGAACCGAACTGTGAAATACAATCACCGAACCGAACCGTGAAATCTCAAACCGTGTGACCCCTATTAAAAATTTTTTTTTTAAATTGAGGCTCTTATTTTAATTTTAATACTTTTTTTCAGACTATAATGGAAGACATGAAAAAAGCAAATGTAGCCCCCAATCTGGAGACATTCAACAATGCCTTGCAGATCCTTGGGAGAATGCCAAGGTTCAACAAACGACAGGGGTTGGCAATTGCTACCATCAATGAAATGATAAAGTGTGGAATAGGTGAAGTACCATATTATAGTTATATACGAGGGTTGTCCCAGAAGTAATGCACTATATGCTCTAACTTTATTTAATACTCTTCAATTCAGCTGTGTATATTACAATTGAAGTTTTGTCTGTCATATCCGGAAGTTGTATAAGTACAGTAATATTAATAGTGCAGGTATTTATATATAAGTTGAATGTTATAAGTTACTAGGGGTTCATTAATGGAAATGGATGTTTTGGAAAGTAAAGAATTTTTAGATCTATTGATTTCTTTCTCTCTGTGATGTCATCATTTTTATGGCAACATCGATTGATGTAACAATTGGAACCTTACTTTAGATTGTGGTAATAACAGTTTATAGTAGAAATTATTTAAAAATCTATTTAATCTGTAAATTGATAATTTGTCCAATTTCAGAGCCTAGTTTGGGAACCTTTACATTGCTACTAAAAATATTCTACGCATTTGATGGTAGGTAAACACTTTTAGTGAATATATATTAACTTGACACTTATAATAGGGGAGTGTTTCTAACAAGTTCTAAGAACTACGACAAGCATTAGCATTTTTAAGAATTTCAAAATGAAAAGTTGACAAAAGAATAGCAATTACTGATAAAAATGAGTTTTCTAATAACTTACAATGAGCAAACATATGATGGTTGGGTTTCAAACTTCACATCTGGAATTTGTGTGTTTTATTGTCACATTGTTATAGTCTCCAACTTTTTTGTGGACTGTGTTCGGCATTTGTTGTTCAGCTTCAGTAACAAATGGCAGGTGGTGACATTTTGTCACTTTTTCTGTGATCAGCATTTGGCATCAGTGTTTGGTATTATGTGTTTTTAACAGATTTGTAACAAATGGTTACATTGTAATTGCAATCAGGTTGTGACATTATGCCTTATTGATGCCATGTGATTTTTAATTCCAGATAATAATGGGCCAATATTAGGTGATATTATCAGCTATTTAGAGTCCAAGGGGGAATCTATACTGAGGAGCTCTTTAGACCGTAAGTCACAAAGTGTAATGATCCTAAGACCAGTAGTTAAACATCCACTTTTAGATTATTTTATTAGTTTTGAAAAGAAGAAATAACATAACACAAGATATTTTACATGTAGATAAATAATAAAGATTATTGTATTGTATCTACTGTAACCACTATTGTTCTATTATGGGCACTCACTGGGATCACTGAGTCAATGACCTGAATTTCTTAACATGACAACAAGCATATTATTTTTGCCTGCTTGGACCTAGTGGCACATAAAATAACTACAACCGAGCTACATATGTGAACACATCTTAACAGCTACTTCTTCTTTTCAGTGCAATTTTTCTCCACTGCGATGAGTAAGATAGCGTACAACATGCATGACGTTGACATGGCCCACAGGCTTCATGCTCTTCTTAATGTTGGAGAAAATATCAAGTTCCTGTCTAACGCTAACAGACAAATGAACTATTAGTATGTATTTTTAGTTTATTTTTTTTAACAGTAATTTTCTGATAAAAAGAAATCAGTGTTGGACCATTATTTATGAAACAATTTTTGAATCAGCAATGTACATGTACAATGCATTTTAAGATGAGAGCCAATAGCATATTTTGGTCCAACCTGTATATTGTAACAATATAGGCCTCATTAGTCTCCCCAGGATTTTTCTCACTTTTCTCAAATTTTTACACATGTTACGAGGTAAGAAGTTCTAGAGCTGATTAACTTTTCGGTGGCCATCTTGCATTCTGGTGGCCATTTTGAAAGTTTTTTGATAACTTTTCCAGGAAACCACTTAACAGAATTACATCAACTTTTTTTACGCATGTTAACAGTTGTCATCTTGCTTTCTGGGTCAACAAGCCCACACTGCTATGTTTTAGGTACGATATTGTTCACCCTGTGCCTTGTTCAATAGGCTGTTAAATCTAAAGATTTCTTGTTTCGGTCAAATTATCTTAACATTTTACCCTTTTTTGAGGATGCGTACAGATTTTCAACAGGGTGGCATACAATTTTCAGAATTTCAAAAGATTGTTACACATAGTTTCTTAGAAGCTTGTGAGATCACTCGGTTTAATACTACAAGAAAATAATTCAAATATCTTTCTATTCCAGTAATGCATACTTCAAGCTTGTCTGTATGTTTCAACCTATTGGTGAAGTGATGGCATTATATGAAGAACTCACTCCAAATGTGAGTAATTATTTCTTAGTTTGTTTCAAATGTGACTGCAAGTAAGTGATAACATATTGTTATTGTTTCCGACTTTTTGGGGATGATGTTCAGTGTTTGGTGTACGGTGGTCAGCATCTGTAACAAATGGCAGGTTGTGATATTTTGCATGTTAATGCCTTGTTTCGTTTAATAACAAGATCTAAGTGTTAGTTTCCCCTGTTGGTACCCCTGTTGATAACAAGATCACCTCTTTAAAGGATGACATCACCTCAGGCATCGCAATCCTCACAATCGTGAAGTAATCAATATTTATAAAAAACAACAATATATTTTCACCAAACTTGTAGATAAATATTGTATACTTTTAGAATCAACTGAAATATTTAGTCCAGATGCCAAGGATTGTCATTCATTTTTATTTATAAGCTATTTGGTATTTTAGATATGGTCCCCTAGTGGCTTCCATATCCAAGAGCTGCTACAGTGCATCAAGATGAACCATGCTTATGAGCATCTACCAATTGTTTGGTCAGGTAAGGGGACAATATTAGAAAATTAGAAAGTCTAATAGCATATAAAACTACTGAAAGTTTCATGATTTTATTGATAATTGCATTTTTGCCATTGTCATAATGTAAAATATTGTCTCAAGTGCTTAAAAGATGGCATTTTATTCACAGCTTCCATTAACAAGGTCTTATGTCATTAGACATTTAGAATATGCACATTTTCAGATGGGCTTTACTACTTTCTCTCACATTTTATATATATGGTCCTGTATAAATATGCAAAGAGGATGTTTTAATTTTTTTAGTAATACATATTCCACTCTAAACTTCACATATTCTCATTTTCACTCTCGAATGTCCTCACCTACAGTGTGTATCTATTTCAGATTTGATTCTCTTTGAGCACGCTTTCAAACCAGAGACAATGTCAATGTTTGTTGAGATTATGGCATTGAAAAAGCAAGATGTTGAGGTTTGTTGTATTTGAAAACTTGCTAACCACTACTCTTTTAAAGCCCAAATTTTCCCTGACAATAAAAGAGCACGTGGGTTATCGCAAACAATTTCAGAAGGTTATATCTTGGATTATGACTATTTTCTGACAATGAAGACAAGTTTGTCTTTTAGATCAATTCATTATCTCTAAGAAAATTATGCACAGTAATAATAAATTCAAACAAACTCGGAGATATTTAACTAGCAATTAACCCATCAACACACTTTTTGACCCCACTTTGAAGATGTTGACCCGATTTTCACCAAAAATGCAATCATTTTTTACAATGTTTAATGCATTACTATTCTTTATTTTGATGTATCAAATAGTTCTTGAAAGAAAAACTTAATTGCATTAAGATAAGTGTTCCCCATGTTATTTCTCCATTGAAAAATCTCATGCTATCCATTGGTTTCAGTTCATTTTGGTCATCCAAATTGAATATCTTTAAAGTCCTTGGAGCAATCAAATTTTCCTTTTAGGAAATCGAACATGTCTCAAAGCACATTCTACTTATGCATTCAACAATATAATAATGGGTTGCATTTTTGGTAAAAACTAGGTCAACATTTTTGAAAAAGTATGTTGATTGGTCCATTGCCCCTTCAATATCACTTAGGTCTGATTAACTAAATTATCATTATATATACTTTTCTTGAAGATAATGAATGGATCTAAAAGATACACCCATGTTCATGATCAGAAAATATTCATAATTCAAGTTAGAATCGTTTGAAATTGTTTGCGATAACCTACGTGCTCCTTTCACTATTTTGTCAATCTGAAATGTTTCATGGCCATTAAACTTTACTGAAGGAATATCCAAATGAATTCAATGTTAAATCAAAATTTCACTGTGCCTTTTATTTCATGGTCTCTTCATAGCCTCTTCAGCAAAAATAGTGAAAATTAGGGCACCTTGAAAATTTGGGCTTTTACAGTACAGTATCAATGTAAGTCAAACACCAATGCTAGTTATATCCCATGTCAACCAAAATTCTATGTCAGCCTAACACATGATAACATTTCAATTCGAATTAGTAACTTGAAAACATCTCATCCTTGAGATGTCATTGCTATAAATAATGTTCTGATGCACTATGGAATCAAATGTTTACCATGAATGAAATAAATGTCATAAGTTTCATTTTAATCATGTTTTTGTGATTTTAAAAACTTTATGAAGCTAGCATATAGAACCTAAGTTCAGAGATCAAAAAAACAACTGTTCAATATAAAAAAACAAGTAAAATCCCATATTAACATGTTATGTCACCTTGACATGAAGATGACATATGACCGAGTTCTGTCCGTATACTGTAGATACACTTAATTTGGGTACCGTTTTAATTTGATGGATTGGGAATTGAAGAAATCTGCCAAATTAAAAATCCGCCAATTTTCACGAGTGTAAGTATTCCTATTTGGATCTCAGTGGTATACCAAGACTTACAATACATAGAAAACATGAATCTGAAGTGCTTATTTCCAGATCAATGATAAAAGTTGAGCTCAATCCTGACTCTGCCAAATTAAATAGCCGCCAATTAGGGCTGAATGAATAGTAAATTCTCATACCGAATATTCGGCCAGCAAATCCCCGTTCGGCCACGAATATTCGTTAAAAACCCAGAAGTAAATATAAGTTGTTTGATTTCTAAGAGCATGTGAAGTAAATACGCCAACTTTGATCATAAATACTTATTCCAAGCGCATGCGCGTAAAACCGAACCTAAAACGAACCTGGCGCAGATGTTTTTAGCTTTATATTCAAGTACTTAACTCTTATGGATGCCACTGGATTAATCAGCAGTGCTCAGAGTTTACAAGTAAGAGCTGCAGATGACTCTTAGGTGAGTAACCATGTACTGTACGCCCGGTATTATTCGCGAGCTTTAATTTCGCGAATTTTGCGAAAACACGGTTTCGCGGCTATTAAATTTCGCGAATACTGTATTTTATCGTATTCGGGGATTCCCCAGTATATGATGTCCAATCAAATTGCAGGCTACGATCACGTGAACAATCGTGCGCACGTGCGCTTTCATTGCCGCGCATGCGCATAGTAAAGTCATGGAGTTGCACAGTACTATTGAAGTACTATAACTCGATTCAAACTAGTAGATAAAAACGAAATGCATCAGAGCCCCGGGTAAAAACAAATTCCCGGGGATTTAATTTGCAATTTCGCGACGATAATTTTTCGCGATTTTAACACCCTCGCGAAAAGCGCGAAAGTTAATCGCACGCGAATAATACCGGGCGTACAGTAATCTAAATCGGCGCGCATGCGCAGTCAATCGTTTAATATTCGAATACCACAAAATGCCATTCGAATATCACCTCAGACCTATTTGCAACCGAATACTCGAGTAGCATCAAATTAAGTGTTTCTACAGTAGATCAATTTTCAATAATGAACACTTAATATCTTCATAATATCAGTAATTTATATGATGTGGAACAGCTTCATCATCAATTTAAATAAGAACTGGCATAATTAATAATTAATACATTCATAATGAAAAATAATAAGCGACTAGATGGATGAAATTGAGTTTTGAGCTATAAAATGAGAATTCGACCCTTGACCTTGATGTCAAAATTAATAAGAAAATATTCTTGTACAAATTATCCATCGTCTTTTCTATTCCTGGTTTTGTAATCAGGATATCATCATGGTCAGTTTAAAAGCAGTTTCTAAACTAAAACAAAGAAAATGACCTAGATTTTGACTTCGACCAATGATCTTCAAAATTTACTATAATTTTGGTCTGTTTGCCTCAAATATGTTTATAAATCAACACATCTGTCTCATGCATGTTTACAAATCAACACATCGGTCTCAAACATGTTTATAAATCAAACTCTTCGATGAGTCAAACAGAACTATGAGTCAAACTTGATGGCTTTGACAAACAAACAAACTAAATTGTTTATTCCTACATTTGTATTTCTTATGCAGCTGCAGCAACAGTTTGCAAACATTGCGCTGAGAATTATGGAGAAAAAAGATGAAGAAATAGAGAGGAAATTTGTGCCAAGGCCATTAGAGTGAGTACAGGTTGTGGGTATCTCATCATCTTGCCTCTTAACATCCTTAGGGGGCAAATCTTCCCCCTCCCTCCCTAAACATCAAAGGGTTAATTGAAATATCAAATGGTTTGATGTGCTTTAAGCATTAATTTACACAATCCATTTTTATTTTTGGTGTCTATAGATGGTACTCTAAGCGATTGTCTTCCATTTTAGGCTGTCGGGTCAACTGCTGGGACAATGTGCCGTTATATGTGCCAGAGCTGAGATGCCAGAAAAAGCAGAGTGAGTTAATAGCTATAGTGGGCTGTATAGAAGGGTCAGGGTTGAATGTCAAAAAGATGATTAAACAAATAGTCTTTGTCAAAATGTCAAAAAGATCATTCCACAGCCATGTCTTATAATACCCCCAAAAATTTCAAGGAGGTTTCAACTTATAAGAATGCCAACTTTTGCAACAGAAATGGATGCTAAATTAATTAAATTGTCATTTAGGGCGGCCAAATGATCATATTTACCCAATATTACCCATATTTACCCAAAGATCCTCAGCTGCCTACCTTGATCAACCCTCCTAACAGCCCACTTTGACATTCGGTTTAAACACATTTTTCAAAAATGTAATTTCTTATAATTATTTGAGTGGCTTCTGTAAGTACCTACATGGCTTTTGAAGATCCTAGAAAAATAAAAGTCCACTACTTTGTTTCACCTAAATTTACTTCATTTACTCTTTCCATAAGACCATAATAATATCTGAATTATACATTTCAGGTCATTTATCAAATACTATCTCTCCAACCAGAATACCCTCAGAGGAACTCCAAGTGTTGCTAACCTGGAAGAACTGGAGAAATTAGAAATTATCGATGAGGATACTATAGCCAAAATACAGGGTGGTATGTACTTACTTTGACCTAATGGGTCATTCATGCATCATCGGTATACTCTGTACCTACTTTTTCACCACATGCAGACAGATCGACTAAAATTACATTCGTATGATGTTTTTTTTTATAATCTGTTTTATTTCATTATATACAAGTACAAATAGTTTCTGATATAAGTGACCAATCGCTATGGAAGGATAGCATTATAGGTTCACTTTAAATATAAAAAGAACATTGAGTATGTGAAAAAGATGTATTTTTCTGACAAAGGGGTTTGCTGGTCTTTGCTGGGCAATGGTGCTGGGGCAAGGTGATAAGATGATCTGTTGGAGCATAAGGAGGCCATCTTGAGCATTAAGTGGAATTGTCTGATAAAAAATTTGTAACTAGTTTGAAAATCATAATGTTCTGTTCAGTTGAAAGATCAGGATGACCAAATAAAAATGTTTTGATTAGACCATTTTTGTCCATTTGAAGGTTACCTAATAAGTGGAGGATGTTGACATTTAGATTATGAGAGTTAAGGTTGAGACCACAATTGAAAAATATGTGCTCGACAGTTTCGACTTCGCCACATTGACAGTTTGGTGAGTCTACATTTGTGAAGTTATGAGCGTACATTTGTGATTTTAAAAATAAGTCCACTCTCATTCTGTTAAGAATGATTTCTTGAGATCGTGACAGGGTCAAATTGGAAGTTGATATAATTTTGTTTTTATATTTGATCTCATTTTTGAATGAATAAGAAGATGGGCTATTTTTGATATTGCTGGGGACTGAGTCCCATTTTTCCATCAACTGTATACATGGTGATCTTCTGAATTTTGTAGATATATTAAGAGGAATTTGGTAATCACGAATATATCAGAGTTGTCTTGGGTTGCGGTTTTTGAATGGTCGAAATATATCAGTTACATAGGAGGGTGCCCTATCATTTTGGATATTGTACATAATTTTCTTAAAGTGGTAATCTCTTATGAAAGTTAGATCAGGCCAATTTAAAATATTTAATGTCTTAGATGTGCTGGAGCCATGTAGTGCTCCAGAGCATATGAGGGCAGCCTGGTATTGCAGCCGGTCAAGATTTTTGAGAGCTTTTAGATTACTATTGTGATATAATATATCACAATATTCAAAAAGGGGTTTTATATATGATTTATACATTGTTTCGAGTATTTTTGAGTTTAATTTGAATTTAAGGGATTTTAAAGGATTTAGTGCAGTTTGGACTTTGTCGCAGATATAAGAGATGTGTGGGGATCCTGATAAGGTTGAGTCAAGAATATAGCCAAGGTGTTTATGATGATTTTTTCTTTGGATTTTTGCATTGTTAAGAGTCAAAAAGGGATAATTTTCATTTTTTACTTTTGAGAAAACAATTTCAACTGATTTTTCCGGTTTAAAGTCAAGTTTCCATAATTTTGACCATTCTTCAACTGTCTGAAGATCAGATTGTAAAATTTGATGAGAGACTGGGTCATTTGGAGTACAGGGCACATATAAAGATGTGTCATCAGCATAGATGAATGATTTTGAATTTAACCTATCAGGCAGATCATTTATATAAAGGAGAAACATAATTGGCCCAATTATACTTCCTTGAGGTACAGATAGATCAATGAAGTGTTCATCTGATGAATTTGAAAGTTGTCCTTCCACATTAACTTTAATTTGTCTGTTTGAAAGGTATGATTTAAAAAGCTCTAGGAAATTTCCATTAAAACCATATGCCTTAAGTTTTCTGACCATTAGGTTGTGCGGTATGCGATCAAACGCGGCCGAAATGTCAAGGAATATTCCGCGAGTGTCTAGTCCATTTTCAAAATTTGATGAAATTAAATGATTTATTGCAAGTAACTGGTGTTTTGTACTGTGGCCCTTTAAAAATCCTGATTGGTGTTTGAAGAAAAGGTCATGTTTAAGGAGGTGGTCCATCATTTGCTTGTGAATTATTCTTTCCAAAATTTTAGATACAATACTAAGCAGAGTTATAGGTCTGTAATTCTTAATGTTATTTTTATCACCCTTTTTAAAGATAGGACATATTATCCCAAGTTTCCAATAATCAGGGAAAATTCCAGTTTCAATGATTTTGTTAAATAAGGTGCATAAAGGAATGGAAATAGATTCAGAGCACAGTTGTAGCATTTTGACAGTGATATCATCAGCTCCGCATGCTTTCGAGGAGTCAAGATTTTGAATGATAGTTTTAACTTCTTCGACAGTTGTGAGAGAGATTTCAACAAGGTTGTTGGTACGAAGAGGAAAGTTAACATCAAGGGTTTGATTTTGGGTACCAGAATGATAAATCTGAATTGTATAAAAAAGCTGATACATTGTGAAGTAATACCTTAAAACGTGTCTCTTGAGGGTTGGTTACAGGTTTCATGGATTCATCCTAAAATTTAAGAGATGTTTCTATGGAAAGTTTAGAACTGATTTTTAGGCAGTCTGGGTAAATGTTAAGGTGGCCATTTTGAATTTTCCATCCCGAAAAGTGTATTCTGTTCAAGGGTGCGCTTCTGTTCACCCTGTGGTTTGTTGTACATACCAATAACTGCTAATTTGCTTGTACACTTATTATTTGCCTGCATAACTATCATTTGCCTGCATTCCTATTATTTATACAATTTAGAGCTGTGAAAGCCACCTTTTTGAGACCTGCATTCAGCAGGTATCTTCTGTAAATTTTTTATTCCACTGAACAAAGGATGAGGCATGATATATGCCCTTTTAAAGTAATGCTGAGAGTTAAGTATCATAACAAAATACAAATAGTCGTTATCATAGAAAAAAAACATGAATGGCAACATGTATGGCAGAAAAAGTAGAAATAATTTAGAGATACATGAAGAATTGAAAAGAAATTTTTTTTTTGAGATATCTTTTTGGTTTTTAAATTTTTTCAAACTTTTGAATTTCCCGCCAGTTTAATTTGAAGGGGGAAAACCAAGATGGTTGCCATTTGATGAAGGAAATATTAGAAGAAAAGTCGCATCATTTTTAATTTTCACATTGAGCACAGCTTTATTGGTTGGAATTTTTATTGATTCTGACTGTTCAACATCAGGGTCATGTATGTAAAGAGATTATAAAATTGAAACCATAAAACTGTGCTTGGCATGAATTTTGCAGAAATATATACCAGTACACCTCCCCCAACACAATTAAAGTGTCAAAATTGGTTGCTCAATTACTTTGAGAAACTATAATCCCTTGATTACCCAGATAAACACCAATTCACTTATCAAGAAATGCCATTCAATGTCTATACAAAGAAAGTAAGCAATGTTTTGGAGAATGTGATTCAAACTTTTTGTATAAATTATTCATTTTGTATTTGCTCTTGAAATTTTTTCAATTCTGGCATATAGATATGCAATGTCGTTGATGCCAATATTCTTCATTAATTGTGTTACAAATTGATATTCTTTGACGCTCAGAAGAAGGATGGGACATCAAGGTTTGATAATATGTGTGATTGAGTTGGTTTTTCAGACATTACAATTTTGAATATGTTCGAAGTCGATATCCGGACCCATTCCCTGACTCATCCTTTAAGTAGAGATATAGAGAAGTCATCTGTCCGTCCATCTGTCCATTGCTTACCCTGTTTGGATTTTAACTCAAATACCAGTAGCTATGCAGTTGGATTTGATTCAACTTTTGTAGGCTGATACCAAATGGGCATAGAGTCACTAATTTTGAATTTCCAATATGTTCACTTAATCCAAAATTGCAACCATATTGTTTAAATATGTAATCTAAACACAAATCCAGTTGAAAGATTTGGTTCATTGTATGTTGTAACTTGAGCAACATAGAGGTGTAGATAGAGTCAATATCAAAACACAAAATTACTCCATTTTTATCATGGTCAAGGATAATCAGATGACATTTTAAAATCCTAAATCATCACAACAAGTGCTGACGTATTGTTATGGTCTCCAACTTTTGGTGGTGTTCCGCAAATGGTGACATTTTGCATGTTAATGCCTCATTTCTTCTATATTCACATGTTACAATATCGTGGAGCAAGAGCATGAATAAATTTTGGTAATGCTAAAATTAGCAGATGGACATTTTGGATTTTACATCCAGTATTGTTCTAATAAGGGTGTTGCATTACTTCCCTTGTCTTGTATATAATTCAAAAGCAGCAATATCAAAGTATGGAACAAAATATGGCACACTTGGCAAATTGTTTCTTTATCAATTGATAGCTCTCAGAATGAGAGTTCACATTTATTTGCGTTTGAGCAAAGCGACCTTAGCAAATAAATGATTTCTTTGTGCGTTGTGTAAATGGAACAGTACGATGTATAACGTTGTAAGGATAAGAGGTAATTGAACGATGCTAGCTTAGTTAGTGAGTGATACAGTTCGAAGGATAGAGCGTTGGTTGTATAGTCATTTCGAGTTTTTGCCACGACATAAACACTCAACACATTTTTAAAGGAATATTCCTTGCTAGACCCTTTCTCTCTTGATATAGTAGCTATAATCATATATATAGTTTCCATATTTAGCAAAACATGGGAAAATGTTTTAATATGGTCAATATTGATCATTTAAAAATCTAGTGCTTATTTCCAGTGAGCTGCCATCTTTTAAGATTTCTTGCAGGAAGTGATGTCATCATCTTTCAACTTCTATAACCTGCCGATAACAGTATAGGAAAGTAGCACAAAATCACTTCTAGACAAGTGATCATTACTTTCTGTGCAAAAATATTTTCAGGGCTTGTCAACTTAGAATAAAAGAAGAGATTTTCAGAAGGATTAAATAAGATACAAAGTTGAAAAAGAATATTTAGCTGGTTTTGTAATTCTTAATAGCTCCTCACCTAATGCTATATGCAAAGTTGAGAGTCGATGACATCAATTCCTGTGTGAAATTTTAAAAGATGGCAGCTTACTGGAATTGAGCATCACATTTCTAAGTGATCAAATTTGACCATATCAAAACATTTTTGCGTGTTTTGCTAAACATGGCAAGCATATATATAT